TTGTGTTATTAATTCTTTCAATGCCAGGTACTCCTATGTTAAGAAATGTCGACGGTATCAGATATCAGACATCAGATATCCAACAAACACTGACAGCCTGAGGCACATTATCGAATGAATCATTCCCATCATAAATAGCTGTTGAGAATCCAAACCTTATCGTCCACCGATACATCTAGGTGGGTAGTGGTGCAGAATGGGACAACATCTACAGACCAACATCGTATCTGTCCCGTAGATCAGCAACAAGATCAAGGGAACGAAAATCTACTAGTAGCTGAGTTGCCGCCCAATGCCACTTTCCCATGCTCAGGTGATTCCCAAATCCATGAATCGTTTGAGTAATGCAAACAAAAATAATCATGAGAGGCTGATACCTATACCATCACCACTTTATTAGCTTTACGAGCATGAGGGTCTTCTCGCCAGCTCTCGGGGGAAAATGGAAAGGAGAGAGGAGAGAGGAAAAGAAAGGTGTTGATAATCCTTGCTCGATATTTCATTGTTCATTCCTACCGGTAGTAACTCGCAAGTTGCATGGTATATGGCATAATGATCCATGAAAGATCCAAATCTGAGACGCTAACAACAATATTTCTTTGTCAAGGAATGCGTACGTACCGAGCATGCAGCATATCTTGTAGACCTAGGCAGGTGTGATTATCTGCTGGTTTGTTCGTTTTGGTTCCGAATTGAAAGCCAATAATGGGACATGTGATGTATTCTTTTCCCAATAGTCTGGTATCCGAGCAGAAGAGCTTCTCAGTTCTGCGAAACAAAAGCATGAAAGAGGTTTGGCAGCGGAGAAGTTGAAATGATGAGCCTTGGCAAGGATGCAACTATTACGTCTTCAGAATTCAATTCTCCCATGAAGAATTCGAAGATGTATTGTGAAAGGGTTCTTATAATGTAATGGAATGATGGTATTCGATGAGAGTAAACGAGCTGTATCATGTACGGAGTATCCTGTATGAAACTAGGAAGATGGCAGCAGGAGTGCAGCATAACGTATTTCCTATGTCATTTTGCGTGAGATGTGCAGACAGAATTGATTCATATTACCCATCATGAATAGAGTAGTGGAATCTGTACAACAGCTACCAATTATTTAGATCGCTTAGAAACGCCCAAGTTCGGTTACATAAGGATAATCCGACAATCAGTCAGTCAATTAGTCAATTAGCAAACCATCAAACCATCAAACCGTCAATCAAATCAAACCAAATCAAACCAAATTGAATGGATCATTCCCAAATCCAATGAATGATCTGGGGTTTAGAAACTCCGGGTCTAGATTTCGTGATGAGTTCATCTACGACCCAGGCAGGTACTTACAATTGATGATTACGTTGCGTCAGATTCGATTACTTAGCTACCTATCTCCAGAGTACCTACAACCCCTCCGTACGGCTAGCTGCAGTACAGTGACGAAGTACAACACCCATAGATATTGGTCCTCTAACCTTCTATGGGTGAAGTCACCCCAGTCTCTTGGCCACGTTACTCGTACCACGTTCTATCGAAAGAAAGGGGTCCAACCTTTGAGGTTTAGACCTGAAGATACTATGGATAGAAAAGACAATCGGTGAAGATCCCATTGGCGCACGAGCAAGTCTAAACTTACTCTAAAGTCGGGTGGTACAAGCACAGGGGGGAAAGTACGGGGTAAATCAACTTGCGACAGGCAGCTCTTACCATGTATAGAAATCCTTACCACTTTTTACCCCCTAATGCACTCCACATTGACCCCAAAAAAGTCGACTGCACCCAGATAACTTTCGATCCGAACTTTCCATGCGAAGCCATGTTTCAATAGTTTTCTCCATCACGTGGACCAATCAATATCCTGTTCGCTAAACTACCTGGTACGGTAAAGAGATCGAGTCGCCGCTTGCACATTTATTCGCCTCGTCGATACCTCGATATCTGGAGTCTCACAACTTGGATCGATTAACACACTTCTATTTGCTCAAATTAAAAAAGAGTAGTGGGATTTCATTGCTTCTATGGCAGTGTTTCCCATCATATACATTATAAACAAACGTCGTTTCTATGTAATAGCCCCCAGACCAAGGTTAATTCCCATATATCCATACTCCAAGGGGCCTGTATGCGCCATAACGTTACAATGAATGAGCCATCCAGGTATCATAAACGTACTAAAAAACTCCATTGTCCTGCTATAATATGGCCGGTGTTACTTATCGTCCGTTGTTGAATCGCTTGTTCTTCATTTTCTCTTTACAATCATCACAGTACCATTTTGCTATGCCATGTTAGTGACTGGTCCCTCTGGGTCATCAAGTGTGGAAGAAAGAACGTACCATTGCCCCTAGGTGCAATTTTGAGGCCCACACATTCGAGATGGAACCACTCCTTCTGGCAACTACCATTATCACAGGCTACCATCTCCCCATAACTAACACCATTGCAGTAACAGTAGGTAGGCTCATCTGCGTCTATTTCAATGTCTTCGTCGTCGCCTTGCGCACTGCTTGTCGTATCATCAGGCTCCAAATTTTGTTGAGCGATAAGTTGAGCGGCTGCACCTGCACCTTTCTTATGACTTCTTTTAGCTGTAGATATGGTGTCTGGAATGCTGCGCGATGATCTTGAGCGAGGCGGTTCGACGAAAGAAGGCATTGCCGGCGTTGAAGGTTTACTTGCCCTGCCACTCTTTGTTGTTACTGTTGTTGATTGAATTCCCTGCATAGAATCTCCATTTGATTCTACAGTCTCCTCTCGTTTCATACTTTCTCTGCTGTTCCCTACTACTATGCCACCTAAGACTTCCGGATTTTGTGGTTGAGCATCCTCAAGGAGATGCTCTCCTTTGCCATTTGTACCAGCCTCTTTCATTGTTGCCTTTACTTCTGGGACAGTTTTCCCGGTTACACTTGCTGCTGCTGCCAGGTCAGGCGTGCCAGGCGTATTTCCGTTTAGCTTGTTCGAAGCTGAAGATTGAGGTTGTCGTGTTGTATCCGCAAGTGATTGTACCGAATTCTGTCGGGCCCTTGCTGAAGCCGGTCTTCCACCATTTATAGGAGCAGGGGATGCTCGTCCCGGAGGCTTAATATCAGGAAATGTAGTTCGAATCGGGGAGGATGCTAACGAGGGCGACATTGCAGAAGTTGTCGTATTGTTCCTAATTGATCATTGGTTAGCGGAATCTTTGCTCTCCGATTGGGGATAAGCGACATACCTTTTTCTTGCTTGTCCATTCGGTGCCGCTCTAGCTCTGGCCGGTTTTTTAGTTCCATCTGGTGCTGGAGTTGCCCTGGGACTCGCTGCTTTGCCCTTTGACGCAGATCCATTGATACCAAAAACGCCATTCAGAGCACGTTCCGTTGATGGACCGACATTCGCAGTTTTCTCAACCTTTCGCCTTTTCGGGGGATTTCCATTTGTACCATTTCCATTCGTTATCCCAAGTCCAACATTCGTTGGTGTCTCGGCAGCAACAGTAGCAGCTTTCCGAGCTTTGCTATTTCCGTGTGGTCTTTTATTTGAATCTGCCTTTCTTCCTTCGTGAGTATCATCGAAATCTGAGTCTGCATGCTGGGTTTTGGCTCCTTTCCTTGCAAGCAATGCTTGCTTCCTAGAATCACTCCTCGCGGCGTGTTCCTCTGCTACTTGTTGGGCCGCAGCACTCGTATTATTGACAGGAGGGGCATCCCTTCTAGAGCTACCAACGGGATTCGCCTTGGATGTTCTGTTCTCGGGATATGCCCAATGTGTAGTACTGCCGTGTCGTGCTTCTTCGCTCACTTCGTTCTCGATATGCGGGAAACATTGATCAAGACGCGAGAGTTGTTTATTAAGTGCTTCGCCAGCCGTCGAGATGACATGGTTTTTCTCATCAAGAGAAACCAACATATTCTGCATATAACTAGCACATGCTTGAAATTGCCGTCTTCTAGGCATGTTAGGAGCATGATAAATAGCATACGCTGGATTGACGGGAGCGAACGATTCCCCTTGCATCTCCGTCAACGTGCTCGTGGGGCCGCCGTTGCCATTTGTTAACGAACCATTCAGATTGGATAAACCATGAAGCCCATTTGTAGATGCTGATCTTGAGTTGGAAGGATAATTGAGTGTTGTCGGTGGTGGGGTGTTGAGCGCAATGTCGACGAGTCTTGCAAGCTCTTCCTCTGGCCCAAATACTTTCGCATCAACTTCTTTCAGTAATGTAAAGTGTCGCACGAGTTCCTTTGGCAACGCAGATATAGCATCTGCGAACTGGGTTATTGCAGGGAATATTTCGACGGTCTGATCCGCATTTGGCACTCCATCACCGCCGCCAATCGAACCTCTTGATCCCAAAGGTCGAGAGCCGGAGATAGAGGATCTAGGTGGATTATTTCGTGTTTGCCGTAGAGGCTGAGCTCTGCGGCTCGAAGAGGGGTCCGAAGGAGGTGCTTTTGTGGATTTCATCGTGTGTACCGACGTAATTTTCTATGGCCAAGATGAGGAAATCGAGGAGGAAGTTGTGCGACACGCGCAAATTGGATTCAAAGAGATTCCGAATGTAATTTTTAACTTTCGAAGCCCATTGGGAACTGACATTAGATTCGAGCAAGTCGTCTCAGCATTTAAGATTGTTAAGACGTATGCTAACTTTGTAGAGTAGCAGAAGATCTGGGTGGGTGATCACTCCGGTCTTGCTAGGGTAAATGTGTGGGCAGAATTAATTCACCGCCCAGATTAAGCTAATTACGGTGGCCTGCAGGCTTTCAAGCTTAAACTGCCGAGCTCAAGTGAATTTATTTTTCGATATCATTGTGATGTGAATAATACAAACAGACAATTGAATATCCTTATTAATCTGTAGAAACTCTAGATATATCCCACTACTTTCGAAAGAATATGCTCGACAAGCCTTTTATTACCAACATTGAAAATGCTGACTGCCATGGTAAATTATCGGTATCAAATATCATCCCAACTCCCGAATCCCTTCTATAATGCCATTGCCCGCCCCAAAAGTCCTTGGATATCTAACGATTTTTGATATTTGATGCCTTGTTTCCTTTACTTTGCGCCTTTTCTTCAACATGCTTCTGTTTCCATTGCCATTCTACCAAGACAGGTAGAAACTGCCACAAATCAAATTCAGGCCACAAACAATCCAAGAAAACTATCTCTGTGTCCTCATGGCATTGCCATAACATGAAGTCGCTTAATCTATTAACTCCACTCGTTCGGATCAAGAGATCTAAGGGAGGATCCCCAGCAGTGAATAGATTTTCTTCAAGCGTGTCTATGGATATTGATTCGGGATCAGGAAATACTCCAGCTTCGGGGCTGCTTATCGGCGACGGCTCAGGATTCAGGGTTGTGGAGGATGACACAGATTCGTCTGGTTCGGATATGTTCGACGGAGTAGGGGAGCTTGCTCTTAGGGCTGACTTTGAGGTAGAATCGACATTTCTTGACTTGAGCTTTTGTGTTATTCGAGTCTGCGAGAAGGGTCGCTGCTGTGTATGTGTTGGTTTTGAGTAGTTTTCTACAGTAGTCTTGATTGCGGTTGTGATTTCATCTCGAGATGTGTATGGGAAGCAGATGTTGAGTGCGCAACTAGCTGGTGTTAGTAAATTAGACTCAACAGCGTTAATTTAGCCTAACTTACTCTCCGTTGTTCTTTGTCATGTCCACAGCTCTATCGATGGCCTCCAAAACATCATCTTTGACTAAATTCCTCTGGCCAAGAACTCGAACGCTGGCTCCGTATCTGTCCAGAAGATCCCCATGTTGCGCCAATTGTACCAGCTTAACTTTTGCCATTTCCATGAGAGCATCTACCTCATATTTTGAGCGTTTGAAGTTCTCTATACTGAATGCGTAAACGGTCACCACCTTCACTCCAGACTTGTAGCAGACTTCTAATATCTATAAATTGTATTAGCGGGAGCACATCAACACTTTTCGCTAGAAAACAAACTCTTGCTAGAGCCTCAAATCCCAGATTGTGCCCCTCAACTGTTTCTATCTTGTGACTTCGCGCAAATCGCCTGTTCCCATCCATTACAAATGCCACATGTTGAGGAATAGGACCTTGTCGCAATGCGCCAATGAGTAACTCTCTCAGCTTATCAATGCCCCATTCGATGGGCGGCGAGGCTAGCATCCATTTCCGGAGCTGCGAGACATGCCTCGAAGACATGCTTGATGTATGAAGGGATGCAGCACAGCAGAAGGAACCTAAAGCTGTGTGACAAGGGATTGATGCGGATTCGAGCTAGATATCGAAGTACGGATTAAGAGAAAAATGCCTTTCTCTTGACTTTTGGTGAGAATTCTGAATTCGGTATGTTGAAGTAATTGAATATTTAAACGCTGACGTATCCTTAAAGTATGCGGGGATACTGGGTGGTTACCGGTACAATGATTGACAGTTCGTAATATTACTCGAGTAGCGGCGATGTTTCTTTTGCGAGTCTCGAACGAGTCCTCTTACGCTCGGTACGGGCCCTCGGGCCAGTTAGATTAGATAAGATTAACAAATATCAATATTACTTCCTCACAAACACCTACCTATGTATCCCAAAATTTGGTTTCCTTCACATATATATGATCAAGGTCACCGGTGCTCCCAGAACAGATTCTGATTTCGCATTATCGGATTTTATTATCGGAACTTGGGACGGCGAATAGGGACCTACCTAGCTAGTACCTCCCGTTCGAGATTTCACTGCATACAATGCAACGCTAGGAGGCACATCTACACATCATGGCAATAATAGCAAGAGCTAGTTGTAGTGCTTACCAGGCCGGCTTGATTGTGTCACTAAACTCTGGGCAAAAGATATACTGTTCTTCGCTAGGCGTATCGATCACTGCGACATATAAAGCAATACTCTTTTTCATATTCCAGAGCCAACTATCAAGCATATGACCACTCTGTTTCTGACATACCAAGCTATCATGCTTTAGATCTGTTAGATTGCTGTTGGTAACTGTTGGTTTCTTCTCCACTTGCATTTTCTATATCTTCTTGCCTTTCCCAGAGGCACCATGCGAAAGCTGCATTCACTCACTCAACCTTATCCTGTTGTCACTCTACGAACACTTTACACGGCTTTGTTTTCAGAATGCTCGAGACTAGTTCGCTCATTCTCACGGGATTCCTGTCCATACTGTTATGTGTCGTTGTAATAAGTCGAGCCAATAAATTCAAGACATCGAACCATCAGCATGGTTGCGAGCATCCTGTCACTTACCCCCACATCGATCCGTTCTTTGGACTTGACCTAAAACTACAAGAAATTAGACAGTCTTTGAAATATCGAGGCATTCCCTTTATGTCAAAAATTCATATGAGATACGGTAAAACCATCTGGTTGAACAACTTGGGTACTTCGGACATAAGGACTATTGATTCGGAAAATCTTCAAAATGCTTGGTCTACCAACAATTCTGACTGGGGTTACCAACCTTACAGGCTTCCTGTGATGGGACCTTTTTGTGGACGTGGATTTATTACCACTGATAATGAGGAATGGCAAAAGGCTAGAGTTCTTCTTCGACCTACGTTCAGCAAAGCGAATATATCAGATTTAAGTCCGTTCATAGCGTTGACTAAGGCCTTCTTTCAAGGCATTCCACAAGACGGTCACACAACAGTCGATTTACAAGCTCCCCTTGCAAGTCTCGTAGGTACAGATGATGAAAACTTGTGTGGCAACGGGAAGATTCTGACTATGGTTTCAGTTCGTTGGCACTTCCATGAAGTTTGTTTTAGGGGTTACTCCCAGACCCGGCGTCGATGGGAGATCGGACGAGGTGGCTGCTTTTCTGAAAGCCTTCCAAAAGTCTTTCATTGGTATGGGACTCTCATTTATGCTAGGTCCCTTGCAGTTCCTCATTCCAAAGTCAATGAAATACGAGGCGTATAAGGAAGTCCAATCATATCTTGACTCGCTCATTGAAACGGAGATAAGTGCAGAAAATGAAGTTTCCAGCTCCCATTTCAATGGATTAAATCCAAGAAGCCTTCTTCAGGGCCTTATCAAAGAAACTGATGATCGCATTGAGATTCGCGATAATGCTTTACAGGGAATGATGGCTGTCCAGGACACAACTCCTGTTCTTCTCAGCAACACGCTATTTCTTCTTTCACGTAACCCAAAAGTATACGATAGACTGCGGGTTGAAGTTCGGTCATTGGATCTAGAAGAATCGCAGCATCTGTACGATAAGTTACGTGGTTTGAGCTTTCTCCACAATATCATTAACGAATGTAAGACAACCTAACGTTTTTTTACTACCAGCATACCATTGCGTGGCCAAACTAATCATTCGTAGCACTTCGCCTCTTTCCAATTTTCCCAGCCCTCGCTCGTGTCTCATTGACAGATACAACTTTACCAAGAGGAGGAGGTAAAGATGGCAACTCCCCGATCTACGTACCTAAAGGCACGAAGCTTTGGGCAAATTTCTATGGTTTACATCGTATTGAATCCGTGTTTGGTCCTAACATTGAATCGTTCGATCCAGATAGATGGTACTCTATCAAACCTAGTCCTTGGGAATACATGCCCTTTGGAGGAGGGCCCCGTGCTTGTGTGGGCCAGAATAAGGCATTGGTAGAGGCGTCATATATGCTAGCAAAATTTGCGCAGCTTTACAAGAGAATAGAAAGTCGAGATGCAAGAGATTGGGCGGGTCAGCGGAAGTTGACAGCAAGTAATGCGAATGGGTGTAAAGTTGTATGTGTACCAGCATGACGGTATATTTTTCTTCGATTTGGGTCGATTCTGTCAAAGCTTATTCAGACGTTTCATCCTGGGGTTGGGCGCGGAGTGCTTGTGAATGGAATGTAAAACTACCCTCAAAATACATCAAGATATCTTGCCGCATATTTGAACGATAACGTTGCACTTTACTTATGCTTTAAAAATGGGAATGTTTATAAAGTTCCTAGAATGGAATTTTGACAGGTAGTCTGGGGTGATCTGACGTTTCCAATTCACACATATAATAAATGAAGTAGGATTTGCGAGTGATTTCTTTCGACAAACCAATCCCATCTCACAGTCTAATCTATAACTAATTTCATTAAACAAATCAAACATCACCTTGACGATGCCTCGGTTCAACGAATCACCCCTCTCACTCGCTATCCTCGCCATCCTCCTTGTACTGTCCCTTCAAGTTCAAGCACAAGCTCCCTCCGGTCGTCCAATCACCAGCGCCCGTACCAACGGGACGTTGTAAGTTTTCTCCCTTTTTCTCGCCCTTTTTACACCTTGTATTTCCTCCCAACTATCTTAAAGTTCAAACTAATGATAAAAACAGTCACAATAGTACCAGCACACGTAGAGCACCAACAAGCACCAGAACGGTACCGACACTCACAGATTCCGGTGGATTCGCTACGGGAACAAGTTTCGTTAATGCGGGTGAGAATATGTCTCCCGTTGCGATTGGGGGACTTGTAGTGTTTTTAGGAGGGCTTTTGGCGTTTTGAGGGAGAGGTTGGGAATGTGATGAGTGAGTTAAGTGTTTGAAATCTTGGGGGAGATTGAGTGATTGGGGAGCAGAAAGAAACGAGAGATGAACGAGTTGGAATTGCTCGAAGTAGACGATTCTGAGCGTATTCAATACTATATGGATGGGAAAAATAAGACAATCTTAATGTGGAAGATCATCAAATTTTGGGTATGGATTTTTTAATTTAGAAGAGGAAGAGCGAGCAGATTTGCCGTTGTTTAGACAGATTAATATGCAATAATGTTTGGACACGTCATTACTTGACAACATCCTTCGATTTCACGCAAGAACACAAGGTTTTCATGTAGCGTTGAACTTTTGTTCGCCTCAGTGCCAGCATCTGATGCCTCGTTAAAGGTCGACAAGAAAATGCAAAACTTGCGAAAACCTGAATGTCTATTGGATGCCTATTCTATATAAAGATACAAATAACGCCAGCGACTCCTAGCAAACCCTTTTTTTCTTTTCTTTTCTGATTATCATGCTCTCTACCTGTCTCCGGCTATGACTTAGTTCTGTCCGTCGACCTTCTCATCAGGGCAGCGTCTCTAGGAAGTTGATCTCCTTCTGCTCGCCTTTCACCCCTCTCTCTATATCCCCTCTGTCCTTACAAGAAATTTCGTGCTCTCTTGCCGCATCCTCGACCAGCTTCCTGCTGGGAGGAGTAAACGGAAAAGATTTATCGACCCCCAGTGAGGGTTTGCAAAGTTGCAGCTCTCTTGACTTTCTTGGTGCCCTCAGAATCAGAGCTTTCATATATTTTACCTATTTTGTGTTAACAAGCGTATAAGTATGAATAAAGTATCTATCTTACCAGATTTTGTAGAGCTGGTCGTACCAGATTTTTTAGAGCTTTTCTTTGGTAGGGTGGCTGGTACTAACTCGGCGGAACCAGATCGATGTGAACCTTTTTCAAAGGTGAAACCTAAATCTCCCTGGTGCTTCTTGGGATTGTCAACGGCTTTGCCTTTGCCTTTGCCTTTGACATCCTGAGGGTTGTTGGAAGGCATATTTGTAATTTAATATTTCGATATTTCAGTATTCCAGTATTCGAGTGTTCTGTGTGAGCTTGGTAGAAGAAGATCAATAGAGTGATGGTAATGAGAAAGATGATAGTGAGGTTGATGAGATTGAGACTACAAGCTATGCACTCACCAAGCCATATTTATATTCATTTGAGCCAGACTCGTCGCTCGCATTGTTGGTATATCGTAAGCCATATTGCCGAGTAGACATGGTAGAGGCAGGCCGGTGACACCTCGACCCAAATGCCACAGCAGGATTTTTCGAAGCCACACGAAAAGCGGATTCAATTTGGTGATATCGAGGTTGGAACGATATTACGTTGGGACTCATGAATTCAGGCTGACAGCGAAAAAGCAACCGTGAACAACCTGAAGGGTCAATGGAAGATTGTCGACAGCCAAGTCGGACAGTCAACATGTCGAAGGTTCACAACTGAAATCTTAAACATTCACCAAAGACATCTCAGTACAGCATCTCCGAAAGAATCGGTAAAGAAGCTCAAATTTACGGGCGTATGATACTCTCAACTCAGTATCAATGTACTGAGAATGGACGATTTCCCAACATCTGGCATAACAGAGAAACTGCGGGTGACACCTATAGTCGGCCAACCACGCTGACAGCCATGACCTTCCCGTCCTGTACCGTACATCAATAAATTTCTTAAAATAGGCAAACAAAGATGGTCGGCCGTGGGCTACTCGACCAGGCGCAAAGCCGTAGGAGCTCGTAAACTCCCGGCCTCAATCCAACTTAGGCAGGCACTCGCGAACAAGCTGGTGAAACCCGGCTCCAGAAATATGTTTGGAAGCCAGGCAGTCAATGTAAAGTGCTTTGTTGAATGTAGGCCACACTTGCAAACCCCAAAACAGCATATTGAAATGTGCAAAATATACCATTTGAATGTAAGTTGGGCAAAAGATCCCATTTCTATGAAGTTTCATGTTTGTGGAATTTACCGCACCATTCGAATTGTTGCCGTCTTTCGATTCGAACATCCCATACATTGCTTTACGAAAGAATCTTTCATAAATTGAGCGACCAGGTCCCCACACCCAATTGGTAGGTAGCCTGATTTAAACATACATATCTTCAATATCTTACACTTAATGTGGGTGAGAATCCAGAGGTACAGCCGCCATGGCAGGATTAGCTCCATCGATTTGCCGCGGTACGATCATACAAATCATCATTGCCCTCATCATCCTTAGCTTCCCAAACAGCTGCCTTAATATTGCCCCGCTTTCTCATTGTTGGCTATCTTTCTTGGTATTCCAACCACTAATACCCTTCTTCTAATGACTCAAAGTACTTCGTCTCTTCGATTTCCTCCTCTGCAGTGTCGCCCTCCCCTTCCTCGTCCTAATTCTACTCAAAAATCCATGTCTCCTCTTCCTAACAAAGTGACTCGGACTGAACGTGTTTCTTGGCCCACAGCGTAATTGTGTTGTACTCAAAGCGGGATGTGTTGAGATCTTAGGAAGGAGATCTAGCGGTTCTACTGCCGAAGGAATGACTACAGACGTTGAGGGTTTGAATGCGGAGGGGGATAACGTGGGTCGGAGGGGCGTGATTGAAGTAAATGTTCTGTAAGATTGTTAGTGTAAGAACATGGCTGTATGAATTGACAAATTCTACCTTTTCGCAACGATAGCATTGGATTGTGAAAGCGCCCTTGTTATAGTTGGAGTGGCCCTAAGACCATGAGAGCAGCGTAGACACAGCATTTTGCTACAATTTGTGAATATCTTAACCCAGACCAGAATTCGAGGTTATCCCCATGCACTATCAAAATCAAAAAACTACGCTAGCGGACATTTTCCCGCATCAGTCGCAAAAAATCTCGGGGCTTCATGAAACTTCTTGTTTGTATACTTTGAAAATCGATTACTTTGGCATTTGTCGTACATTTATTTAACCTTTACAACTCCGACCAAATCTAGTTATACTTAAGACTCAATCAACATGTCTACGTCGGCCTTTCCACCCCACAAATCCATTCCTTCGATCCCCGTCAACCAAACAATTGCTCTCAAATACTTGCAAGATTATCTCTCTCTCGCATCCAGCACACCATATCTTCTCCCAAACGCCAAACTCGAGCCTACGGGTCCCACTATCGGGAGTAGCCACTCTAGCGTTACGATTCACAATCTTCAACGTGTTGAAGCTGGACTGCGCGGAGAATGGCTTGCGCCAACATTAGAAATGGAGGAGGAAAATCCAGTCGAGATTGCGCAGGGTTTGGAAGATGCAAGCGGGGGTGACAAGATGGATGTAGATGGGTGGCAGGATAAGGAAGAGTTTGAGAGGGAGCAGAGTATTGAGGAAGGAGATGTTGGAGCTAGGGTTCAAAAAGTAAATAACGCGGGCGTCGATAGTGATCTTGAGGTTGAGCCAAGTGCAAAGGGAGCTCCAAGATCCAATCCACCCAAAGAATTGAGCAGGAAGGAAAAAGAAGCACGAAAAGCCGAAAAGAAGGCAAGACACAAGGCAGAGCTGAAGGCGAAGGAAGCGAAGAAACAATCCGCTGCATAATGAGCACGAAGAACTACAAGTCACGAATTTTTGATGCGTTTTTGGCGAGGTTAACGGAATTCTTCTTATTCAGTCTATACCGTACATCCATTCAGAGGTTTCCTCGTAATTTAGAATGCTGTACATCTACAATTCTCTGCCACTAGCTTGTGCGGTCTTCTCATCCTTTGCAGCTGCTGGTGCAACTGGGCCGCTCGACTTCCATCCCAAAGCACCTAATCGCTCCGACAATATTGGATGAGAGAAATGGTAGCTTGCATACATCCAGTCCGCATCCATAGTACTCAAGTTTTGGATCTGCAGTTTTATCAACGAGCGAGCTAGCTCAGCCTGGTATCCAAGTCCTTGTGCGAAGTCATCTGCTTCAAACTCGTACTTTCTGCTGAGGATATTCATCAACAGCTTGATGACTGTGTCCATAGGGGCAAGTGCATCAGAGAACAAGATGAACCCTATTATGATTGGGAACTCGTTATGGAAACCAAATGATTGGTACAAGGAGTGGTTGTTGATGAAGACGGAAAACAGGGAGAAGATGTAGAAAAAATGGGCCTGTAAATAATCAATGACAATCCCGTAACGACCAACAGAAATCTGCTTACCTGAGAGATTCCAAAGAGCTTTGTAGTGTGTCCCCGGCTCCAGTGACCAAGTTCATGAGCAAGGACGGCTACAATTTCTTGAGTGTCGCTCTTCTCGATCAGAGTATCGTAAATGACGATATGCTTCTTCCATGGTAGACCGAAGAAATAAGCATTACTGTGAGCACTGCGCTTGCTGCCGTCGATAACATGCAATTCGTGAAGAGGAAAGTTCAAGCGTTTGGCCAAAGCCTCGACGCCATCTTTCAATTCTCCAGGTTCGAGGGGCGAGAGCTTGTTGAACAAGGGTAAGATCGTGATCGGGTAGACTGTAATCATGAAAACCTGGAGCCCAGCACCAAACAACCACAAATAGTAGAAGAATTGATGGCCAGTTTTTTGTATGATCGTGAGAAAGCCAGCGAGGATCGGTGGAGTCAATGTAAATGCAAGCATCTGTCCCTTCAACATGTCCGTAACGAAGAGTTTAGGCGTCTGCTTATTGAAACCAAACTTCTCCTCCAACACAAATGTCTGGTAGATTGAAGTTGGGAGAGAAATAAACTGTTGAATTACAATAAAAGTAAGGACGAAAACGATCGAGTGAGAAATCTCGCCGGTAAACCGGGCGGGTGCAAATCGTAGAAGCCATGATCCAGTGAAGTCCCAAAGCTTGGGAAGAATGTCGAAATAGATGAATGCCGTGTTTTGAATTTGTCCATAGAGTCCTGCAACGAAACCGAATTGTGCTTTTGCGCGTCCATATGCCTTTTTGGAAGTCAGCGAGTGGTAGTGGGGAGATGGTAAGGCTGACAATAACATACCTGGCTTTTGTCGAAAACTTCTTGCGAGACTTCATTGGAGAGAACCTTAGGTGGACGTGTTTGCTTTAAGACTTGATATTGACGGAGAGAGAGAAAACCTTCGAATAGGTATTGTGCGAGAGAGAACCCAACGATGAGCTTCTTCCATGGGAATAGTGGCCTATCGAGGGAACGCGCAAGGCGCTGGAATGACATAGTTAGTATTTATTATCCAGATACTTTCAACCGAGATACAATTGGGAGAGTTAGGTATACCTGAAGGAAATCCATGTTTAAACCAATATTGAATTGAATAGAATAGGTGTTCAATATTGAAATGGACTGTAGGTTGATACCTCTAAATGGAAATAAAAGAGTGGTCTTGTTGTTAACAAGTTGGAATTGAAGGATTACTAGGTGCTAAGGTAGCATAAGTCTTACCTTATCTTCAGAAGGTAATCCATCCACCAACGCCTTCTAAGGCTCCCATCTCACACCTGATCTGCTGTTTGTTTTGACAACGTTTCACTTGAAACAGCCTACTGTCAACCAACATCTTACCAAGTCTTTATCAATACCTTCAATACCTTCAATTCACTCAATGAATTTCTCAAATATCAGAAGTCTGATTGATCATGGTTATGTGATGCTTTGAAATATTCCAGAAATTTTCGCCGTTGTACAGCCTTTCTTCAGCACCTTCATTGATTCGCGAATATACTCCACTAGCAATCAATCTATTCATTCAAACACCCGCATGGAGAGTTCCAATACAATTGAAGGCTACATTTTCATTACATCGATCAAATACTCTTCAAGTCATGAGCTCATTCTTTCCCGCCAATACCCGAACGAGAAGTTCTCGAGCATATTCATGAGAGCCTCTGGATGAAGTACACAGCGTGCCATGCAAAGAACAAGAGTAAGGGACCGATACATTCTCTTCTGTGCTCAATAGCCATACTTTAGGTCGGAAAATAATTGACCGCGAAGCACCGATGTCAGTTACAATCATGAGCCTGTGCTTCAAGTCGGCGGCAAAGGAGAAAATTTAGAAGCCGATGGATGGCAGCCACCCAAGTGTGTATTTGCGAGTCACGGCTTTTCCATTGGTCAATCTTCACGGACATGCAGAAAACTATGTAATTGTACTACATTGTATGCATAATATCTAATCATTCATGATGTATTGGACGTTACATCGCCGTAGGATAGCAGTCGGGTTATCTGAAGCTTTTGACAATTCCGTGGAAAGCATAGGGAGAGAAACATATAAAAGGGCAGCGGGTCACTCAGATATGTGGATTCAGAGATCACCATAATCTTCCATAAGAACATCAAAAGCATAATACACATACTTTTCAGAAGTCAAGAAAATTTCACTTCGACTCAGAAACTACTCTACTTAGCCAGTCAATCAGAGCCAATCGAAAATCATCATGCCTCACGCAATTGAAACAAAAGCCAATGAAGAGCCACCCTACTCTGAGATGACGTTGAGAGAATCCCTCATCGCACGGCACTCAAGCCGTGCTTTTCTTCCAACTCCAGTCCCAAAATCCATCATACAATCCACTCTCGATCTCGCTCGCTTCGCCCCCTCAAATTCAAATATCCAACCCCATCTCGTTTTCCTTCTCACTGGCAAATCGCTGGAGAATCTCAGATCTAAATTATTCAGTGCCGCGTCAGAATCCACTCCCAATATTCCCCCTCTCCCTGCCGCATACACCCACTACCGGTCCGAAGTTGGTCGTCAACTCTATGGCGAAGGAATGGGTATTCCACGGTCCGATTTGAAAGCTCGCAATGCAGCCGTCCTCCGCAACTATCAATTCTTCGATGCACCAGTAGGGGCGATAGTATGTATCGATAAAAACTTGACCAATGCAGATAGAGTCAGTGTTGGTATGTGGTTACAGAGTTGGTTATTGGCGCTTACGGAGAGAGGAGTGGGCTCTTGTGTGCAGGTTTGCCAGACAGGATATCCAGATTTGGTGAGAAGGGAATGCGGGATTACTGATGATCTAGAGATTTTGGTAGCGGTATCGATCGGATACGAAGACCCGGATTTCAGGGCCAACGCGCTTAGGCCAGCAAGGGATGAATCTAAGAAACACGTTACCTTTATGGAATAGAATCTCAGAGGAATCAGTCTTGGATCATGTTTAGGGTTGATGGAGTTTTGATCTGAGTATTGTCCCGAAAGCATCGACTTTTTGCACGAGTATAGATTTTAAAATAGACTACAGTAATAATTATATCGTTTGTAAAAACCCCCAGATTCCTGTAGTTATCGGGTACTGAGGCAATGACCACATGCTCAGGTTATCACGAGTAACCCTGACACGTCTTCTCCATCTTTGACAGAACTCAGACGGCAGAAACACCCTTTGATATACCCTATCTTTTAAACTCACTATCCAAACTTCGACAGAAGCTTGTCTAGCTACCTAGGTAGTCCTTTTTATGTTCCCCTCAATCAAGTCTACCCCCAATTTATCGCGAATCCATTCAAAATTTACCATTCACCTTTATATCAACTTCGGCATCAACACATGATACCCCCTAGAGTGATCATTCTCTTCTCAAAATCGCTCGGACTTTCAGCCACTACCCTCCCAATAATCACAACAACTATTCTTTACATTTACAAAAATTCAAGTCTTCCCATCTGAAAATCTTGGTCTACGATCACGTATGAATGGGCCTATTCACAAGAATCAACTACATTTTAAAACCAGATCGATATCTTTATAAGATGGCATCAAGCAGCAATAACTTCATGGAAAACGTATATAGATCGAACCCCCAAAATCCAGAATGATTTCATCATTTACTAATCCTGCATCTATAGCGCCCGGGATCATCTTCGAAGCAAACTCGCTCCAAAGATCCAATGGCACTCCCCCCCTTCGACGCTATCCCTAATCGCATAACTCCCAGCGCACTCCTCGCCATGCCATTCATCTCCATCCTAATCGGTGTCTCCTCCCGTCACCCTACAAAACCCATCTACGCTATCTATTCCCCCAACATCGCCTCTCTCCAATACGTACACGGGGACGGTACTCTCGTCGAACCCCTCTACATCTGCCCGCTCCTCACCTTCAATAACGGTGATAAACTCTGTTCTCGTCAACGTCTTAACATAATCGAATGCATGAATCGCTCTGCACGCTATTACCAAATGATCCACTCCCCCTCCTGGAACGAAGACGGACCCGACGAGAGAGCCTTCCGCAGTGCTCTCAACAACGAGAAAACCGTCAAAGAAGCCCTAACATACATCTCCGATCTTCGTTTCGGACCCGACAGCATAGCAGCTCTGAGAACACTTCCTCTCGACCGTCATCTCGTTTCTAATCTTCCGGATCCAAGCTCTCCCTGCGTGTCTCTCACCGCACCTCCAACTTGGGACTTTGGTGTTCACCATGCCGATTTTACTGATCCTTATCTCGATCCGGCTCATGAAACTAAATTGCTAGACTGTTTCCAGACTTTTGTCCAACGCTTTCGAAATCATGTTTCTTATCCGATTTTCAAAAAGGCGGCATATGTTCTCGCGGGCATGGAACAAGTCGGTGCGATTTGCTGGCAAAGCGGACGGGAAGCGGTCAAAACACAAGGAGGATGGACTGTGGATGATTTTCTGGCAAGGTTTGCGAAGTATGAACAATTTACCCGGGAGTGGAAGTTTTTGTATGCGCCGAATCCGGTGACGTGGTTGGAAGCAGAGCTGGCGGATGAGGCGAGGAGAGAGAGAATGGGTGGAAGGAGAAGAAAAGCTCCGTGGATGGGATTGGTGGAGGGAGTTGAGATGGTGGAAGTTGTGAGTTGGCAAGCGCTGGGTGAGTTTTATTGGGATGATGGAGAAGAGGGTAGGGGATATCCGAGAGTACTTCCTCGTGAGGATGATGAGTTTGAGGATGGTGGTGATCCTGAAATTGTGATAAAGAACGAGGATTCAGGAGAGAATGAGGCGCGAAGTGGGAATTCGCATGAGCAGAAGTATTTTGGTGAGTCGACCAAGAAAGGACATGGAAAGAACGGAAAGAGAAGTCGGGAGGTATACGACGAGAGTCCGGCGATGAAAAGAGCAAAGTCGGCTGCGCTGAATATGATTTCAGGTTCTTGATTATTATTTTGATTCTTGCAGAATAGTTGATCGTTGATTTGGTACATTTTAGACCACTGATCATGAGAGAAGCAGACGTAGATTCGACGACGCTTTTACACTACCATTTGAGATCGAGGTGTCAAGATACTCAATGGTTTAATTTCCCAGTGACCATAATGAATTATTATCATTAATGATACTGTGCTAGTGGTATACAGATGTCCTCTTCAAGATCACCTACCTCTCCCTACTTAGGCACTTTAAGCAGTTCATTAACCTGTACATGGGTGTTCAAGATTGATATCATCCATTGGGGTCTTGATTTGTCCAATCCTTGGCGTATACATGCTCCAGATATAATTGCTTGTTATCACACAGCATCTCTATAAAAATCCTTCAAGCTGCAATTCACACGTTTTTATATTACCACAATCTCATCTAATTTCCCCATATGCCTCTCTTCAAATTGCGACTGTAGAATTATGTTCGCCGGATATCATAGACCCAACAATAGTGACCCCCTCCATGCCATTTCACTCAGCACGTAGTTGCTCTTGTTATAATGATACACTGGATACTCAACAAATGTACGATACACGACTAGAAGGCCCACGAGTGGCATACACGACTAAGAACTTGCTATTGTAATCAAAGTAGTGGAAGGCCAATGATGTATGAGAACATGATCAAGGGAAGGGAGGCACAAGAAGCAAGTAGTCGTGATTCAATTTCGACATGAATGTATGAAGATATTTCGTGGTCACCGACTGTGATCATTGTTGAGATGAAGAGGAATGAAAGCGATGAAAGAATTTTCAATTGGAAAGGAGGGGCTTATAGTCGCGCTATTGAGCGTTCCTTTCTTTACAAGAGAGGATATCAATTGGAAGGACTGCAGTAATTATTGTTCGCTCCCTCGGTATAAGACAAAAATTCCTATGCTTTTCTAACTCTCTAACTCTCTTGCTCTCTTTTCGCCTTTTATTTCATAGTCAATAGAAAGTAAAAGAAGCGCAGCGATTTCCCAAAAGAAAACCCATGTCGAATAAAAAAGATGCATCGGATTGAGCGTTTGAAAATAATAATCGCATATTCAACTCGAAAAGCAGATTTCTTCCTTGTTATAAAAAAGCAAAAAATTCTGTGCATTGGTGGGGGATACAAGTTCTCAATTAACACCGCAGCACAGAATGCCCAGAAATAATTTTGGGGACAGGACGAGAGAGGAGAGGAGACGAGAACACAACAAACATCATTCATGAGATTCACTTGAACACTCAAATGCCTACTGCAACCCATATCTCGAGTTTCAACTACCACTTTATTTATAGTCCTATCTGTACCTAGTTAATCCACCATTCTTCTCAAATTCCCAATAAACAAATACTAATCTCAACTCACACCAGTTCTTTCGAGCGAGTTCCAAATTCCAAAGTCCAACAATTGGTGATGTTTGATATGTTCTCTCTAGGATTACCAGCACACCCCTAACCCCCGTCATCTGACAGGCTCCACCGGTACAATCACAGCGTTACTTTTGAGAGAAGGAAAAAGAAAAACACAATGCATCACTACGAGCACTACGAGGATGGAAAAGCAGTCAGCATTTAGAGGGAGGGAAACTCGCAAGATTATCTACTTGAGGAAGGCATCCGGTTCTGTGTATTATGCTGCGTGTGCCTGCAGATGCAGATGTCAGTGCAGATGGACATGCCAATGCAGGTGGACATGCAGATGTAGATATGAAATAAAAATTGATAGCGATCTAACTGCCAGATTTCTTTCCCGCCCTCCCCCCCCACGAATTTACCGCGAAGGAATTGTCAGAGTTGGTCCAGACGTTCGGAAATTTCAAAGACCCCAGTGGTTCATCAGGATTTGCTTTGCCGTAAGCCTGCAATACGCGGGGTTAATGCGCAGGCATTTTCATGGCGATACTCGAGGATGTGATAACTATCACATAGATGGATCCAAACCCTGGTTGTAAGATGATCTTGCGTGTTCCATTCTATTCTCATGTCACCGTTAAATGTAAATTTCAGCCGTAGTGGATGATGCACTTTTTAGTTCACACAGTCACAACTTCACACATTTGTCGGGACGTTAATCCCTAATTAAAAATTCTCGATATTCATCATTAATGATAGATCGGATTGATCATCACGCAGCTATGCAGAGCTACGCATTAGAACTATGTTCTACTGGACGTTAGAAGTTTGATATCCAATCATCGTTGTATTGTTCCTTTGATATGTCGTAAATTATCCTATTCAAATCGCCACCACAACCAATTAAAATCACAGCAGACCTCCCGAGATACACTGTTCCAGCCCATTTCTTCGCGATACGGCAATACTTGAATAAAAAAGAAGCCATGGCGACGGTGGCTTTTCTCGGCTCACAAGGTAACATCCAGCTTTGCAAGGTTTTTGGAGAAACACAACAATGTTTTACTTTTTCAAACGGATTACACGGATTACACGGGTTGCGACAGCTTGGATATGTACCGACACTCCCGATACTATAGGCATGTACCGTAACACCAAGACAATCTTGGCCGTGGTACTGGAGCCATGGATATCTCCTTTTCAATGCAAATTTGGGGTTGTTTTGATTTTGGTAAATCAATGAGTAGTTCCATATTGGATTACTGTGTGAGACTTCCTTGCCGAAGAGTAAAAGTGATAAATGCGAAGAGACTCGCCATCCAAGAGCTTTACGAGACATTTCAAAGATCTTGGACTCATAATGATCCAGCGAGTCGCAGCGTGGGACATCATGTAAGGGACGGGCAGCGACTTGGTATAGCACTAACCATACTTCTATCCCCTTCGTAAAGAAATACGCAAATGTACAAGAAAAATACAGATCAAGGTGACAAAGACAGTAACATGAGTATGAAGTAGTCTAGCTACAAGGAAAAAAACATCAAGCCTTCGGAAAACTTTCGGAAAACTTTTGCTGATAGTCTCTGTAGCTCGTCGCTCGGCGAGCTGGTAAGCTGGTGATAGCGGCCCCTAACTACCTGGGTAAATCTCGTCCATTACTAACAGTATACATACTTGAAGTTGATTACAAATACCATAGTAGACGTATGCTCGGAGTTTCGGTCTCCGAGATTTGTCAATAGGGCTCGCGGAGTTATTTTGACTAGTTTCTTTTTGCCGATGCACTCCAGCGAGAAGATACTTGGCCGGCAATTTGAGGTGTATGGTGTCAACGAGAGGAAGCTCTTAGCGAAACACGATGATCTAAAACACCATGTGGATTACAAACTCTGAAGGCAAGAGCTCCGCACATACCGGAGATCCATAGAGAAAATAACAAGAATTAGAGATAGCTATCGATGCGAAATTGCCGTAAACATATCTATCTCCTACACAGGAAACATCTCCGGGAAAAGGCACTCGAGCACTCACTCGAATGACCTCGTGGCCCATACAGTCTGTGTGTTTAAGGGTCCACTGTGGAAATCTCTGCCAAAAATCGCAAATCGGCCGAAAACAAACTGTCTACGGATTTCTCACATAGTTCCCGCAACGCAGTGACGGCTATGGATCCAGTAGATCCGACCCTTTAATTTGATACCTGTACAGACCTTGAATTCGAGACTTGATTTAAGGTATTCTCGTCACGGTCCAGCTTGTACCTCGGGCTTCGCGGCGCGCACAGAAGAAAATGGATACCCCGATGGTGAAAAAATGATGTGAACAACGAATGACAAAACTTGAAGTGCAAACATTGTATTGCGAGTGATATCCGTACCGGGGTAGGTATCGAAGCAAGTATCAGGTCCTGGTATATTTCTCCTCACTTCGCACAATGCCTCGGGAAGATGTGGCATTCAGTGGCTGGCTGTCGCATAAGATAGATGGCTCCCTGTACGAAGTCACTGATTCAATTGTTGAATGGCTATCTCCCAATTGGAAAGACAGAAGGAAGTGAGCCGCCTAGTTCCGCTATTATAGACTCGTATCATAGAAGGATATGGACTAGTTTGTTCGATGGGCTTGCTTCATGGCATCGATTGACAGAAAACAGAAGTTTCGTCAACAGAAAAGATTTTCGATGATGTCGATAAACTCTCGCTACTTACCTGTTTGTTCACACAATGATGTCGTTTTGGCCAGTGTAGATTTGAGTTTCAAGCTTTCGCCAATAGTGCATGATTCTAGAAGTTACTGACTGTAGCTACTGTACGTACAGTACGGAGTGCATGCATATCTGTAGCTTGGAATTTGGGAAGCTATATGCCAGTGGGATATAATGTCCATCACTTAGAGCCTGCATATTTTGGGATCGCTCTAACCCAGTGACTAGAATGCGGCACGAATCGTAAAATTAAGAGTAAAGTTACAATCCGAGATCTTCCAGACAGTGCGTATACGGACTAGAGGAGAAAGGTCAGCTACTACGGTTGAGAGAAAAAACTCACCTAGCAAGGAATTGGTAAGGTATAGATGAGCCTAGAAAAATCATGGTTTCTTAGGGATTAGGTGTTGATCAGCGACAGGGATCAATGTAATGATCTTCTAGGGTTTACCGGGTAATGCCACACTAATGGAAACCTAGTATCAGTGGTGGATCGTGATATCGGAGTGGGTACAAATATGAGTGAATAGCTAAACGTGATTGTTCAAACTTTGGTAGTCATCACCATCGTCATTGGTAATGGGTAGCGAGAAGCTTGAAGTGTCACACTGAAGTTAGACAAGAGTAAGATGAGGATTGGCGGACTTCATGATCGTGAGAAGAGATTTGGAACGGCAACCAGGAACGACCTCGTGTAGCGTTGAATTGAATGTGGCAATCTTTCCATCTAGTTGATTCCAGTGCCGGATTGGTGATAGCCTGCAGTGTAGAAGCTGCTATAGAAAGAAGGCTGAAGGCAAACGGGGCGATTTTCATCCGGGAAAGCCTCGGGCCACGAGAATAATTGGCAATCAATGATCTAATGTCAGGTGTGTACTAATCATGTCTGTGTACAGATTGCGGAGTCCCAATCGTAGAATTTAAGGAAAGTTTAATTTCTTTTTACGGTTTTGGTAACCTTACCTGGGGGGTTTCCCCTTGGCATTTCGGAATGTTTTACTTTATGCAGTATCGTTGTAAACCGGGAATAGTCGTTGGGTGGAAGCGGATTCGTACACCCGAGGATTTATACAAGCTATTAGCACTAATGACTCGACGATTTGCGTGGAAATTGTATGATAAAACATAGGGCGTTGGTGAGTGTAATGTGGCTGTCACTAATACACACAAGGTAACTCAGGTAAGAAGGTGGAGGGGAAATTAGGCCTTGACGTTCGAGTCATTGACAGGACGGAATAAAGTCTTTTTCAGCCTGCTCTAAATCCAATGCATGTCTAGTGAGGCACAAGACTAGCTTCAGGACATCTGTCCGAACCCTCCCGAGGAAAGCTTACCAGTATACGCGGGAAGCTTAAGAGCCAATGCTGTGTTGGTAACTTGACAGAGGTGCCGGAGTACAAACACAGAGCAGGTTAGCTTGCAAACAACTGAGAAATTGTCACAATGGAACCAATCAAATTCTTACAATCGGACCTTGAAGCGAAGAAACTCTGCAGAGACTTTCAGAGCCCAAAATTGAACATGGATAGCTGGTAGGAGAGAGCATCGCATGAAATGCGCTTCCAGGTATCATGGTGGCGGAAGTTGGCCCTGGCTGGATCGCGGGGTGAGGATCATTGTTCAGGATTGATATTAACTTTTCTACGAACGTTCCCAGCTACTCGGGACAGGCCATGTAGCTACTGTGGGGTTCGCATCTGAATAAGCAAATAAGCAGGATGTATTATAGGAAAACTTTGAATGTTATTGGAGTTTGGTGATTCATAGGGAATATGGACTCCATGTTTCAAGGTATATTTCACTGTCCAACAATCTAACGATGTTTTCCCGCCGACGTTGGGATGCCTCCATGACCACCATGCTTTTCGGGACTTCGGAAGATATGTATGTATGATCGACGCAATGTAATATGTAATGCAATGCAGGGCAGTTGTTACAGGGTCTTCAAACTGCTATTGATAGACGTGGCTGCTGCAGTTCACGTTCTAAAGGGGAAGAAAAAAGACGTGCGTACAGGTTCATCACAAATACAGCGTTGCGGAGACACCAGGGGCTTGGGAATCGAGGCGCGCCTGGATTCTGAAGTGGCTGGTGATCGTATTTCGCAGTCGAAGCCGATAATCATGCAGATATCTGGTATGGTCTGCGTGGTCAAAGACCTAGCTTAGTGAGAGTATTGCTATTTTAGGCTTGTGATGAGTGAAAAGGTACATGTAGTGGAAATTAAAGGGACATGAAGGACGGTTCACCTCATCGTATGTCAGTGCAGTAGTACTAATATTGAGTCACTAACACTCTCCAGAACCTCTGTAAGCTGTAAGTCCGTATGGTTGTAGAGTCTACACGATCTTAAACGTCTGTGTGTTTAATGTAAGTTGCAGTCTCTCTGCAGTTAGACGATTGTGACAAAATGAATGCTCAAGTATGGTAGTCCAAACTAGTCACAAATCAAGGCAGAAGAGGCGATGTCATGTCTGTAAGTGTGATAATAATTGCACGGATTTGTGACTAGTTTGAGAAGCTAGAACCTTTTCTCAGTTGTGATCCATGATTGACATCAAATATGGTTAGAGATGGGAAAGATATCACAAGTAGATTCATAACGCCCCTTATTATAAGCTGATCATGTGAAGTGACATAGCGCGTGTGTATAGGAAAGTGAAGAGACAAAACGAAGCTTGAATTTACATTCTCTGTGACGTCTTAAGTGCATGAATTGTGTAAGATATTGAAAGACAATAATGGGGGACAACTACAATCTGTCTGCATATGTTTGAAGACTCAAACCTTGGCAAAGGCGATGTACAAGAGTTGGAGAAATGCAAGGTACAGTTCAAAGAGTTGACAAGTAAAGGCGATCATGTACGCTTGGACTTGCTTGTTGAAAAGATATGGCGATAACCAAAAGTGGATATCTTTATGAGACATTTGTGATATTGAAAAGATACTTCTTCCAGATAATCATGTGATGAATACAATCACGTTGCGAGCGTCCAAGCACTTGCTTGCTGTGGTAGAAGGAGCTGATCAGCCAGCCATAGTTACCTGGGTACTCGCTGATCTTGATATGCAATTTAAGTCACGAGATTGTGCATCCACTAATATGAAATAAGAGGCATTAACAATCGATCTGATAAAATGGATTTTGTTCATAATTCACCCCTTTCGCATGCGGGGTCACTTGCAGTTGCATCAGCCCAATATGTAAGTGACAGGATGTCTCACTACCAGGTCTGTTCCAACGAGACAAATAGATAAAAGGAGAAGCGCATTAAGCGGAAAACGATTAATTCTTGACCCGTGCCGGGCCGTGTTGTACAAGATTCGCTACCGAGGGGTGGTTCTCAGGTACGGGAAGGATGCAGGTGCTCCAATCCGTGTAATTGCGGCGTCAATGCTTTAGGATGTGTACAGCATCAGGCTTTTCGCCTGAAGAGACCACGGGCGACCAACTAGAGAAGCTGCAATCAGGCACCACTGGAGAATGCTTACTGGGAGATTGAGTAGTGATAGGCATATTTCAGCGGTGTGAGACGTGACATCGAAATCCAGTAATTGGAGACATTGTACTGTAACTCAAAGATGTTCCAAAAGTACTGCAGACTTGTGAAGGTACGATGAAAGATGCAGAGATAAAACAGGGTTCGGGGATGGGATGAGATGTTGGTCGGCTAAATGCTCAGTCCGGGGGGAGAGGGAGGACATGAAAGGGTTGAAAACCTGAAAGTGGATACAAAAACTACGGTATTGCAGTTGGAGATTTTACAGCTATTAATTTATATCATGCATACATACAGTATGTACCGTACTGATGATAACGCACCCGCCAGTTTGTCTGGTTTCCATAATGGATTTATTTAATTGGTGAAAGAGCAAACGCATATGGAGCACCACGTAACAACAAATGAGATCGGTACGCGAGTTGGTGTATTGGCGATGCGAAGGCGAAGGAATACTACAGCTGTTTGATAATGAAGCAAAGGAAAACGTTATTTGATACTGCTTCTGTTCGGAATGTTCCCGCGTTTTACCCTTATCTTTAAGAAAAAAGCAACGACAATCACACGTTGAATGACGAGTCGGTACCCCGCAGATACTTACTCGGCAAGTGGCCGTTCGTTCTCTGTTGGTCACACACAATAAGCCTTCCCCGGATATGTCCCTCTCGACTCCCGGTTTGACAATATTGAACTGTGAGTATAAAAATTACACATATCATTGACTCGAGATTGTTCGATGCTTCAAAGCGTGTCACAAGATGCGATTAGTGATTCGAGGAAATTTGATGGCCCCACCAGTCATTAGGTATATTGAGATAATGATTGTTTATTACTTTCAACTCTAATTTCGTGGCGGGAAGGATTTGAAGGATTAGTCTGGGTTGTGTTGGCCGGCATTCGATCTAATTCACGGCACTTGGTGATTGTTTCGCAATGCTAATCATATTAAGCATAAGCGAGAAAGTCACCTCAGGATTGATTGACTCGAATCGCTCATGTAAAGATTGTCGAAGCCTAATCTACAGTGTTTATGAGACATTACTATGTTGTTGAGATTCATGGAGATTCATGCCCCGCCATGCCCTCAATTGCTAATCTCATTATTAGTCTCCTACTCCCCCTGGGTTTTGTTGACTGGACTCATCCTACGCACGTTCTTGATCGGCACACGGTAGCTATCATGTGCTTTTCCACTGTAATAATGATGCCAGCATATGGATTCTGTTTGTAGTTGCACCACGGCAGTGATCCGTTGCGTAGTATTTCTCTCATTTTAATGGCCTATGAATCATTCACGCGGTGATATGATAGTACAAATTTGAAGATACTCATGCGAACGTTGAGCTTTCTTTTACCATAAAAGAACCGGGTTCTTGTGCATATGCATAACGGGGATACTTGAAGATGATGCACTCTGTTTCCATGTTTGCATGGAATGAAGAAGAATAGCTCAGACTAAGCCGAAAATGCTAACAGTTGCATTGGAAATTGGTCCTAAAGCTAACAGAAACAAACTGAAATATTGAGGCTAAAACGAATATCTACTAGGTAGATAGGGTATCGGTGTAGTGCTCTATTGAAGATCCCCAAATCTCGTATGACCTTACCGAAGTATTGTTTTGCAAATCCTTAATGTGATTAAGTGCATCGTTGTATTAGTCTGAAAATGGAAATGGAGCTGCAATTTCTCTCCATTGAGAAAAACAAAAAAAAAAGGAGCAGATCCGGCAGTGGATTTACCGAATAAAGCTGACAGCTTCATGATCATTTATTGTGGCGTGCTTAACAGTGGCGGATTATGCCTTTGAACATCCGGTGTGCCTGGCGAGTAGTAAATCCCGCGATTCTTTGAGAGGCTGGTTGCTCTACGAAATACAAACTAAGCCATGCAATGAAATGGTGACAGTTGCATTCTTCCAAGGCATTTAAAGCTTTGATGAAATGAGTCAGGATAACAATGTTCATTTCCGCGGTAAAAACCTATCACGTTATACAGGTACGATAGGATTGTAGCATGATTTATTGAATTCAGGTCGCACAATTGTAGCTACCGCATCTAGTTGTGGATGTAATTGTTGCCTCCTAAGTAGTTGATGATGCTAATGTGATTTTGTGACCGGCGTTTGACTTGCGTTTGAAGATTTCTCCGTATCAACCAGAAAGCCACGTTTGATTTCATGAACACTTGGCCTGTGGTTTTGCAGACTTGCAGCGAAGGTGCGGGCAGTCTCAAAGCTAGAACATTCAGATGACCGTTGCTTATAAACTGTCTAGACAAACATCCAGAGGCTTTCGGTAAAGACGACGTTGTATCGCTCGTTTCGAATCTGGATACTAAGATTTTTTTTAATCGAAAGCATACATCAGTTTGTAAATCTGCTTAAATGACTGAAGTCACGATAAATTCGTAAGACATTCACCAAGGGGCCACGAATTTAGAAACATGAAAGGTATGCCTTCTGTCAAGTCTACATTGAATACCGCCGAGGAAACACAAGCCGTCTCCCAAGGAATGAAGCATTCCACGTCGCCTCATGGCGGAGCAGGAAGATTCGTCGCTTCCCGTGAATCTCATCGTCTCAGGTACTATCCAGAAGCATCATCACTACGAGGTTCCTTTTCATGACAATTCCAAGATAGTTGGGGGCGCAGAGACTCAATTTGGAATACAAATTAGTACAGCGATGCCGCATTAGGATACATGCCGATGTGTAAGATAGTCTGAGGGTTTCGAAAGTCGTTTCATGTACGCCCTGGCAGAATCCCTGTACTTAAACCCCTTATCCATTTTCAGTATCAGAACCGTTGTTTATAGATAGGATATAGAAATGGTATGCTGGTGAAAATCTCATTTCAGCCGGCTGATTTAGCATAGGACGTAAATCTACGGAGTGTGCTTGCCCCGCGTTGGCCTTGGAAAAATTGAATACGCTCATTTACGATACATATACGGAGTATATATATATATAATGTATGTTTCAGAATGCTGTACCTGGCATGACTAGGTAGCAGATACCATGAATTCCATTGATAATCTGCCGGTGAGGTATAGTGAAGTAAGTTATGAGTCGGAATCAACATCCCTTCGTTTGTACCCTCAAGAAGTAACAATCTCATGGGAGATGCTCAAGTACATCATAGAATTAGCTCTATTTGGACCATAAACCAAAAGATTAAGAGATGACCTTTGAGATCATCAAGAAATAACGAGTAGTTGAGTACCTGGCATGTGATTCATGCTGGTGATTGATATTAAGGTCACAACTAGTGGCTCTTTTTCCAAAAGGTTTGTTTCATTGTGGATAATGCAACTGTTCCTGCAGCGTCGCAGAGAATTGGGCGAATAGGAGAATTTTCAAACATTATTTATGTGTATGATGAATTCACTTGGTTTCAGTCAAGAGGCCAACATTGACGTATAAATTTTAGAAATTGAAGAATTGTCTCCCAAATACCTAGGTAGACACAGCAACTTAGAAATTCACTTTGTCTATCTCGCGGTATAAACGATATTTCACTCGCCTAATTGTATAAATGTATAATGGTAAATGTTCACCAACTCTTATCTTTGAAATTTATATTACTACTGGCTTCATCTTAGGAGTTCCAAGGCTATCTGTATACTTCCTTCTAAATTTCCTACAATATCAGGCTTAAACGAATTGTTTATTAAAGTACTCGTATAATATTTTTTCTTTCTTCAAAACTAAAACGAAAACTAAACTGTTTTTCTAAGCTTTTGGTGCTAACTCTACTCGTAGTCCATACTCCGGACACTATTTTTACTACCTCTCACCTTATTCCCTGTAATCGCGAGGGAACAAGGTTTTGTGAAGTCGTGTGGACGGCACGCATCCGTGAGACAAGGGAGATTGAACGATGCCGAATGGTTCAAAATGTCCTTCGAAAATCCCAATCAAGAATGAGTTCAACCAGGATATCTGCCACCGTAAATTTCCAAAAACTCAAATCAGTCATGATTTCATTATCAAATGGATTTCATCTCTCTAGAGCAACACTACAATCTTATCAACGATAGACTTTAGATGCCACTAATTGTAATGCGTGTGTGTATCTAGATTTTGGAGGTTAAATAATTAGTCAGATTATTCGAACGTTTCTACTCTATTACATCGTTGCTCGTGGGTTAGGTCATCAATCGCGATTCGGATTCGCTTCAGGGAAGGAATATAAAGAAGACAATACAGCTATGCTAGTAAAGCATCTCGTTGAAATTACTAGGAAGCGTCCTGGCTCTAGCTCTTGTTAGCCATCAACAGCATTTGATTCTAGTACCTTTTCGTAGTATTAATTGATATTTCTGTCTGCATTTGGTCATATAACAATCCTCTTATACCTCTCTAACGGCCGAAAAGGGAACCCAATTTCATCATTATTATTGGAGATAGATAGTATGACAAGATTGCTCCGAAAAAGCTGGCATCAGAATTACTCGGGGAATTAGGAGTTTCTGTCCTTAATCCTGTGACTTTTATCTCCGACGTCTCATGGTTTCCAAATAACGTGAATATTAGACACTCGAGTCAATAGAGTGAAGTTAATCCCCTCTAAGTTCTAAGATAAATAGGCGTCATTAATCGATAAGTGCTAAATGATCCGGTCAAACACCGGTCGGTATTCAAGTATTTGCAATCTTTTCAGGAATTCGACATTCCAACAAGAGTCATTTCAACATCATCAGTGGAACGACATCTAGCCATGAAATTGCCTTGGGGCTTAGCAGGACAAATTGAGGCGCACTGGAATATCTCTTACTGGATAGTCTGGGCTGTTGCGAGATCCGGTATGATGGAGAATCATGGTTTCCCCTTGAGAAATTTTGTTTTCACTGTAACGTGACGACTCCACCACACTTTATGCTAGTCAAACCCATGCATGCGGTCGAGGAGCTATCTTGGGCGAAATATCCTTGCATGGGAAAGAGTATGGGTGACTACAACCGACAAGGTCTCTTGCCTCGCCCTTCGGAGCTTCGTCCATAAACAATTTCCAAAAGATGAAGTACAAAATACTTATTTTTGTCTATCAGAGAAAGCTGCGGCTAGAACTATCTATATGGACGAGCTGACAAGCAAGTCTTCATAATGATTACTGCTACTTCCAGTTGACATATACAGCAAGATCTTTCTCCTTTGTCGACTACAGTTATATCGAGATACATGCAAAACTCAGAAACCCATTTATAATTCCCAAGATTTCTATCATACATCCGAGTTTCGATTGAGTTATGTCATATTTATGGAGTATTCAATAATGTCTCCTAGGTAGTATATGTGTAGAAAGTAGGTATGTATGAATCGTAAAGCGTAGCTAACTGACTACTCAGGTCTCTCCTTTCTCATACCATTCCAGAAAGTTTGTCCGACACTAAAACCTTGATATAACACTACCAGATATCCAGTTATCGTCAACTAAACTTCCTTTTAGCATATCAGGTATATGATAGGTACATATATAGTAAACTACTATATATAAATCTCTAACCTTGTAGGTATATCAGAAGCGAATAAATCGAAGAATATAAATTCTATAACGCAACAGCTTTAGAGTCTAGTTATTACAGAGTAGTATAAAAGACTAATATAACTTTATAGAGTACTAGCTACTTGGACACTTGTACTACTCAGGTACTAGTTAGTCCAGAAGAAAGTGCGGCAGAAAGCGAAAAGCGGAAAAGGGACCTGAAAATCCCACTATTTATCCTTGTCGAATAACCAACCTTGTTCTTTTCCCTATATCTCCAACTTCAAAAAGAAGCCTCCTGGTCCCAGCCAGTCCTTCATCAGTCCAATGATATGATACTACTCGAGAGCCCCATGTATGGATTCTGATGCAGACTTGCTGCAGACTGCAGGACGGAATGGTTTACTAGTGAACGGCTAATATCTAAATCTTCGCCTCAAAGGAGAATAGTCTGCCTTTAATTCCTTTACAATTCGCTGTATCAGTAAGCCCAAAACAAACACCACGAGTAGAATACGTAGGTACTTACGGAATGCAATGTTTTGGTTACTTCCACTTTTCTATCTGTTACTCAGAGAGACGGAGACGATTTGTATCGAACGAAGAGGAAAAACGAAAGAAAGGAGGAAGTTTACATACAACAAGCAATAGGAAATGGGAAGCAAAAAAAGCAACAAGAAAAGAAAAAAGACGACAAAACCGTTCATTCTGGGATTTATTATCACATAAGAGAGAAAGCAAAAACGAGGATTGGACTCCACTTCCATCAACTTATATTATAACTTAAAATCTTCAATTCCACATTAATCATCAACTCATTCGACTACCGATCGGATTATCATTAGACAAAAGAGGGAAGAGGGTCAACTATCATCTCAAGAGTCAAGGATAATTCATTCGGATGTGAAAATCTCACTTGTCTCTTGAGATCGATATTGCATCCACTGCTTTCCTTGCATACCTATTGATCCATCCATTCATATGTACTGTACCCATATTGCCATCCTTCTTGGATTGCTTCATTGACAATTGGAAATCGAGGGAGGCCCTGACTGCCCTACCTCATTGTTGGTTAATGTTGATTGACTGGCTACCTGGTTTACAATATCATCCTCGCATATCCTACTGGGGTCCCTCGTTACCTTGCACTTTCTTCTTCGTGGGGAAAAAGGTATTTACTCACGAGAATTCCATTCATTCACTGTCCACTGTATTGCAGATACAAGCCGTACGAGTCAGAAAAAAAGTCTAATATCTTGAACGCAATCTTGCCTTCGAGCTATAAAGCATCTCATATCTTATCAAGGCGCCATGCTATCTCTAGATTCTCTACTTTAAAAAGCTTTGAACCATCAAGCATCTTCCCACTACAAAAAGCTGGACATCCATATACTGCATCTTTCTTCTGACTCCACATTCAAGAATCACTCTTACAACCATCATCCTTCTCAACTCCCCCAGAAAACTAAAGTCGTCGATCTCGGCCGCCTTTGAATTCCCGACGATTCTACTTCAAGAATGGTCCTTGTTTCGCAACTTTAACATATCCACACTACTTCAGAGACACTTTGACGTCGAAACAACCAGACCATATTTTCACCAGTTAGTCAAGTCTACCTGCCGAGAACCCTTATTTTTTCACACCTTGTCCAGCCACTCGCATGACCCGACACAGCACAAGCTAGAGCTGGATCCAGGAACCTCAACTTTAGCCTCCTTACCACGTTCACAGTTTCCCTCTATTGCTCGTGCGCCCCACCATTCCGTGTTTGGGTGGATGATTAACAAGCTCCAGTCCATATCCCGCATCCAAAAAAAGTATGTATATGAACTCTTCCTGCTCACATTGCTACTTCATCAAACTCATCCAGTCTTCAATTCTCTGACTTCCTCAGATCTCCTTGAAAGTTTCGTGCTATTCTTGTACACAGTTTACGAGAACCATCGTAGCTTTCCTTTTATAATACTTTCTTGCCAGGGCCTTCTCCAAGTCGGATCGCCAATTATCACTCTCGCTCAACGCTATTGCGCTGGACGCTTTGTATCTTACAAGATTCTCCCATTGGGTTTCTAATCGACATCACTTTCATCTCAAGCAACCAAATCACAACACCTGCTTTTCTTACATATCAAATTCTCAGTCCATTACTCGATCAGACTTTCACAACATCAGACGCACAACCGGCCAGCCCTCTCTTGAGACTTAATACTTCAACCTCGATAGACAGAATCTAGGAATACACAATGGACGTCATGGAGCTAGTCGAGAACGAGCAAAATGCACGCCCCTTCCAATGCGATTGGAAAACATGCACCAAGGTACGACCTACCAATGCAATGAATACAACGTCAGCTGACAGTAAATGTAGAGCTTTAACAGAAAATCTGACCTTCAGCGTCACTATCGCATACATACAAATGAGAGACCTTACTCATGCGTGACCCCAGGATGCGGGAAAAGCTTCATCCAAAGAAGTGCCTTGACCGTCCACATCCGTACACATACTGGTGAAAAGCCTCATCAATGTCAACACATTGGCTGTGGCAAACGATTTTCTGATGTAAGAAATGCAAAGAGAATTTGATGTGACTATTGCTAATGTTATCATATAGTCATCTAGTCTTGCCCGTCATAGACGTATCCACACAGGCAAGAGACCTTACAAATGCGCACACGATGGCTGCTTGAAGAGGTTTGTGCTACAGCGAAACTGTAGTTTGATCAGCACTAACACTCAATAGCTTTTGTAGAAAGACTACCATGGTCAAGCATCAAAGACGTTCGCATCAGCGTGGCATCCATTCATCAGAGCTTGATGATGGCGAGACATCTGATTCTGATAGTGGGGAATCGCCAACCACTCCTCAACATCACTCTAGTCAAATTCAGTGGCCCCAACACTTGACAGTCCCAGGTGTTCCACATGCACATCAGATGCATAGAGCACACTCATTCGCGGATTTTGGACAACATCAACAGATTGATGGTTACCCCATGCCACAAGCGTATGCCCACAGACACAGCCTGTCGGGAGGTCCTCAGGCATACGGTGCTGTTCCAGATCAGCACCATCACATTATGCAAAGACAGCCTAGTCTTCAGCACGCCTCTTACTATGTTCCTGAGCAGAACAACCCAGGAGTCGCAACTTTGAACACCAATCCGGCTCCAATTCAAACGTACCACATTCCTCGACATTCCATGGAGAGACACCCTCAGGAGATACTACAAAGCAGCCCTGGTAGTTACTCTTCCCACTCCCGCGCCAGCCCAGTCTCCCAAGAACCTTACTATACACACACTCAGCACTCGGTTCACGTTCCTACATACGCTATTCATGGCCAGTCACCAACTGAACCACAGCCAATGATTCATTACCAGCAGCACGTGCCAACACCTCAATCGATTCCATCACCAGTCGCACAAGTGCAGCATCAATTGCAACACCAATATCCACAACCTCCCGAGCATGGTCAGTGGTATGAGAGTACTCCTTATCAACAACCTGAAGTGATCAGCCACGTGCCAATGTATCCCCAGGTTACTGTCTTCAGCGATCCATGGCATAAGCTCGAGACATTTGATGATCCATCATTACAAATGCCCAGTGCTCGCATTGAGAATTTGTAGCAACACTGAACAGTCAAACCACACGCTCGTTTCGAAACTCTCTTTAGCGATTGTATCATTAATAAGACGTCGTATACCCAAGGACTGAGGCACACAGGACTGCAGTTTGTTCCGTTTCATCAACAAAAGTTTTCACTTCTCCGAGTCTATCCGCGATATATCTAGTACATTAACGACATTCACGAATGCATCTCATCCGTCGTTCCAGCCCTCCATTTCGGAATAATCAGCTTGTCGCGGCATTTTCACATACTTTTTCTTTGTTTCATTATTTTTCTTGTTTTATAGTAGTTTCCGTCCGGTTTTGCGTACAGATGAAGCTGGATCTAATATTGGCCGGGAGGGGAGGAAGATGGAGAGAGGGTACATAATGAGGAGGTGATATTATGGCGCCACGAGTTCAACGAGGTCATTCCCTTTATGTTATATACTCGCGCATCTGGAAGCGTACCGTGCTTTTTGTGTCTAGAGGCTGGTGATCAAGGCCGGGTTTGCCATCTGTATCAATACTTATTTAAATGTTTATTAGTTTTGGACATGGGAATCGGAATTGGATATGGTATTCAATTTGGAACGGGAAGTCTTGTGTGTATTTATAGTAGTAGTAAATAGCTAAATGAATAGTATAATATCATCTATGTCTGGACTTTATGACTCGGTTTACTTTTCTCCTGCCAGTGATCAAAGACGAGGTTTGAATTGGGTGTATCCAAGACAAGAAACTCAACTGGCAAATACTTGATCCGGGGGAGGAATCTTTCAGGACTTTATTAGGCTCATGTAGGGTAATGTTCGGCAGGTTGTATGAATCCTTGACTTCTTGTACTCTCACTTTTCTTGAACATTGCCCGTGATACATTTTTTGGAGCGATGTCTCAATAGTAAATGTATCCGTAACATATATATTCTAGATCCCCCTTTAGTAAATTGTTACATAGTTTGAAGGTACTATTCTGATAAACACGTGGTAGTAGTCGAACAAGATCTAGATTGGTGGGTAGCATATCGGGCTAATCCAAAATAGGCTTAGTGGATTAATAAGCGGCAGTATCAGCCTTCTTCCATGATGCACTACCGGAAGTGATTTACGAGTTTGCCTTCGGTGTTCCAGTTTGGCATCAACAATCAAGACGTCCTCGAGATCGAGGCTCAACAAAATTTCATTTATTAGACTTTGCCGACAAAATATTGATACAGTCGACCAATTTTGCAAGGAGAAATACTTAAAACAATTCACTTGGTGGTGGTTGATAGGAGGTGTTCATAATCTAATTCTATTTGGTTCTGCCAGTCATGGCAACACCAACTCATGGGTTTCCTACGATGGCTACATCTCTAAGGCTTCTAGTTCGGAAGGCACCGGAAACCCAATTTGCAAAGATGACACTTCCATCGGCGCGAATGGTTCGTAGAAACAAACACCTTATCTCTTTTAGATTGGCCTAACTAATGCTGTCGCAGCTTTCGACTAAATCGATTCCTGTGCCACCTTCCAGCGCACGAATGGACTCATTGTCCCCAGGTCTTCGACACGCATTTATCTCGGTTCCAAGACGTATTTCTACTACAAATTCAATGATTCCATCTTCACCGATTCTGGCCATGGCTCATTGCCGACAAATATCCACGTCTTCATCTCTACGACCACAGCAGTCCATGCCATTTACCAAACCCTTCAAATCTCAGCGAAGATCTCTCTTCGGTGGTAGCACATCACACAATTTACTCTCTCACTTGGAAGAAACTGCGAACAAGAATCCTACTAGTGCCACGGCTCAGAATGCTCTCTACCAAGCGCTATTGAAGGCAAATATGCCAGCCATCATTGCCGACAGGTATCAAACTGGTCATTTCGCATCAAATTCTGCTTGTGAAGGCGCATATCATAGAGCTCTAGGTATGTTGGGACAAATGAACGGTGGCATGGCAAATCCTTCCGGACAAGCGGGAAATATCGGCAACGCGCAATTACAGGCTATTGGTCAAGCAGTCGCTGCTACTTCTCGAGGAGGTAATATTGCTATGTCTCGCGGTCAAGCATCTGGTTCTGGCGACAAAAACTCTCCTATGCATGTTGTTGTTGATGAAACCTTGGGAAACACTATTTTTAAATGGGTCAGATTCGCTCTCTACTTTGCACTTTTCACGTATATAAGTCTGGTCGTTGTTGCTATGATGATTGAAGGCTTTAATTCGATCGTTGCCAGAAGACCGGGAGGGGCTAAAGCCGATAACGAGGCCAAGGCTGAACACCAAAATGTCAGGTTTACGGATGTTCATGGTTGTGACGAAGCAAAGGATGAGCTTCAAGAACTCGTAGATTTCTTGAAGAACCCGGAGAAGTTCTCCACGCTCGGCGGAAAACTTCCAAAAGGTGTTTTGCTCGTTGGCCCTCCTGGAACTGGTAAAACTTTATTGGCCCGTGCGGTTGCTGGCGAGGCCGGCGTTCCATTTTTCTTTATGTCTGGTAGTGAGTTCGACGAGATATACGTTGGCGTTGGTGCAAAGCGAGTTCGAGAACTTTTCACTGCTGCGAAAGGCAAATCACCAGCCATCATATTCATCGATGAACTGGATGCTATAGGAGGCAAACGAAATGCTCGGGATGCCGCATATTCCAAGCAAACTCTCAATCAGCTACTTACTGAACTAGATGGATTTGCGCAAAACAATGGCGTTATCATTTTGGCTGCTACTAATTTCCCAGAACTGCTAGATAAGGCTCTTACACGACCTGGTAGATTTGATCGAAATGTTGTCGTTGGTCTACCAGATGTGCGTGGTCGATTGGCGATCTTGAAGCATCACATGCAAAAGATCATTGCTTCTCCTGATGTCAACATTGAAACACTTGCTTCTGGTACACCAGGCTTTTCTGGCGCGGAACTTGAGAATGTCATCAACCAAGCTGCTGTACATGCCAGTAGAGCGAAAGCAAAAGCGGTATCTATGTTGGATTTCGAATGGGCAAAGGACAAAATAATGATGGGCGCGGAAAAAAGGAGCATGGTCATTTCCCAGAAGGAAAAGGAGATGACAGCCTATCATGAAGCAGGGCATGCCCTCGTTCTCATGTTTACCCCAGGAACAGATCCCTTGCACAAGGTTACGATTATGCCCCGAGGCAGTGCTCTTGGTATAACTTTCCATTTGCCAGCAATGGATAAGTACTCAATGACTTTGGATGAGTATGAGAGCAGGCTTGACGTCTGCATGGGAGGTAAAGTGGCAGAAGAAATCAAATATGGCCCTACAAAGGTCACTAGTGGAGTTTCTAGCGTAGGTCTTCCCAACTTGTTACTAATATTCAAGATTCTGAGGAAGCGGAAAAATACTAATTTTGTGAATAGGATCTCCAAACCGCCACAAGCCTTGCATATAATATGGTCACTAGATTTGGAATGTCACCTGAGCTTGGTAATGTAGACTTGATGACAAACTACGAGCATCTCTCCGCAGGAACCAAGCTGCTTGTCGAGTCTGAAGTTAGACGCGTCATTGAGGAGGCTCGTCTTCGTGCTGTTAAGCTCATCGAATCCAAGCGTAAGGAACTAGATCTCTTGGCAAAGGCTTTAGTGGACTACGAGACGTTAGATAGAGAAGAAGCCTTCAAAGTTGTTAAGGGAGAGAAATTGGTGGGTAGGGCAATTTCTCCTTCGGGAAGCATAAAAGTACCTGAAAGTATGGGTACTTCACTTGCACCAATTCCTGGAAGCCAAGGTCCCGAGGATAAAGGGCCGAAGGGACCACCAGGTGGTGGTGCTCTTGCACAGTAAAGGAATGATTCACTCAACTCATCGGGACGGCGTTTCGGTGGTGGTGAACACACATATACATGTGTTGTAACGATTATTTACACGATTAAGGATAGGAGGTGGTCTCATGGTTCAGAGGATCACAGCATTATAGCCTTGTTATTGGTAGAGGGAATGGGAATCATGTCTCTGCCTTACGATAGTGATCATTAGCGCTAGAAATTTCACCTTTTTTTTAATTAATATTTTGAGATGACTTGCATAACTGTGTGGGCTTGGTAGCTCAACGGGTGAACAGATGCTCCGAACATTATTTCTGAAGTATGTTCTTAGTCTGTAGTTTAGCATCCCTACGCATCTCCAGACTACAATGCACGCGAACGGAATACAATAGCACACAGTAGCTAATTTGCAATTGTGCCACTCGTCAGTCATTCGGCCTATGGTCATTAGTATACATAATTACTCATGTATTCTTGTCAACTAGAATCTATGATGATGTTATGAAGAATACTAATTTTTTTATTTATGTTCATTCAGGCTTTGGTTTGATTTACGAAGTATTTGACTCGTTCCTACGGTGATTCCCCCCAGTGTGCTCTCGCGACGAAGGTACGCACGCTTGATCTCTCTCTCTCTCTCTCTCTCTCTCTCTCTCTTCATATTGTAAGAACAAAATTGAGAGATAGGAAGGTACTTTAATCCCGTTTCAGAGGTCTGTTGCTTGCTCAAATTCGCCTTTTGCTTTTCTGCTTATGTTTTTTCAGGTGGTTTTGGTGATTTGACACGAGAGAATATGAGACGTTCAATGTTATTCTCAATCTGTTACGTCGTACATGCTTACAATGTATGAGACGGGTTATCTTCAAGATTAGACCACATCACCGTCGTCAATTCTAAATTGCTTCTCTGGAAGAATAATCGAGCACTGTAATTCAGCATACACGTATTAACTCGTTATACCGGAAAGACTGATATGAATACTGCACTAAAGAAATAATCTAACTCCCTCCCCCCAACATACAATCCCGGAAACCTCCCCAAATCCTTTACTTCTTCGGCTTTCATTGAGAATATTGTTTTCCAGAGAGCTGCTTGCACAACTTTGCAGGCCCTTGTTTGTTAAAACACTTTGCGTGGAAATGGCCTAATGCATATGAGTTCGAGAAATAAACGATGGCTAATGCCGCTGCACAAACTGTTGGTAAACTTAATACGGTAAATGCAAAACTATGAGATCCTGTAAGTTGCAGATGATAAGCTATTGAGGATGAAACGAGAGTCTCTCCACCAAAGAGCTACTGATTTCTTGCTAAAAATCAATGGACTCTTCTGCATGTATTTGATATCAATATGGCGAGATACAGAGAAGAATAAAAAATGAAAGCGGGTGGAAAGTAGCGCCAACTCGCACTGACAATGTTAAAATAAAACGACCAACCTTCCTTCGAAAAATATTGAGCATTGTCATCCTGAAGCTTCTAGCGAGGAAGACCCCTCCAAAGGTGCAGGGCGTTCTTCACAAAGTAGGAGATCCAGAGCCAAACCGAGGTTGCGATCGCCCATCACCCATTGCTCCTTTATAGCCAACGCCGACCGTTGACTAATCTTTCGCCTGAATCCATCACCCTGCACCATCCCATCTCAATAGCTTTCTCCTCGTCATCAAAGATCTGCTCAAACTTATCTTTCAATCCAGCCAGTTCTTTTCTCACACTAGTTTGCAAAGAAAGTCTTGATAGCCGGTGTACCTTATCTTCCTTAAACCAATCCTCCTGATCATCCGTTGTCGCAAGGATTCCACCATGAATATCTACCTCTAGAACAAGTCTCCTCCTATCACCTTTCTTCACAACAATTCTTAATTTTTTGCAGCTCAACTTCATGATAGCATTCATTACCTCTCCATCTTCCCATAGAAAATTTGCAAAAGTTATAGGAGTATGTTCAAATCCCAAAGCTGTCGAAGTGAAGCCAACCTGCCGCGGTGTCAATACGATGGTGAAAGTTTTCAGTGCTGGCTTCGCCACTACCAAGGTTTCAATGCTTCCTGCTGCCTTGTAATACCAGTCCAGATTCCAATTGTCTTTTGGACATTCGAGAACCACATTTTTTACCAAAGTTAAATAGGTGGTTGTAATTTTTGGGATGCTCCAGGCAGGTAGTCGTGACATGTTCTCTCGGAGCAGAGCATGGAAGGTATTGTTTTTATAGAGGAACAAGAGAGCCTCTGCACTGATCTGTTTGCATATGAACAATATCTTTTTGACAACGAAATCGGGACAGCGTTCGACAGCTTCCCAATCATAGTTCACGAGGATCGAGTTTGGGGAACGAAGAAAATACCCATAGATTCGCTCACGGACTTCCAAGGGATAGCGCAGGAATGGAGAACGAGTTGGACTATTCACTTCCACTGGTTCGGGTGTAGTCTCAGGACTGCACAGTTCTGGGTAGCGGTTGAAGAGACCTGCACTGCGTGCTGCATGATTACGGCCGAGTCCTGGTCGTTGCTTGGAAGTGGCGGATCTACGCTTGCGCTTCGGGGCTACAATCACCGCCGAAGAGGGGATACCCCAGGTATTATGCGAATGAGAATTGGCGTCGAAACTAGGTGTAAACTGGCTCAGATCATCATTTTCATCATCAATTTGGAGTGATGCCATGGTGATTCGGGCACAACGGCGTTTGCGCGACGCCTTAGAAGTCATACTACCGATAATTTTACCATTCTCATCACGATCTCTGGGAGCTGGCCTTTTGCGTGAACTCGAAACCTTCCCCTTGGGTTCCTCACCTGAGGGTTTTGGCATATTTGACAGTGGAATTCTGATAGTCGCTCGGTTCGTCAAGTTGCCCAATTGTACCGGAATTATATGATTCAATTGGACGATAATTTAAAGACGATACTGGGGTGCTTTTTTGAGTGAATAATTTCGATGACCAATGTGAAATAAGTCATAGGATTGAACTTTGAGAAGTGAATCGCTCTTACAGTCTGAATACCGGTAAGAGGGATTCAAAAACAGATAGGTCGAAACGACTGCCTCAAACCGCCGAAAGTATCAAAAGGAGTAGAGCAATAGCAACGGTAGCCAGAGACTGGATTTGTTAAAAGCTGAAGTAGAATTTACCTACCAGGCCTGGAAAGGATGAAAGGAGGATGATTTTGCCGACTTCAGGAAATGAAAAGAGTTTGTAGAAGATGAACTCGAGACGCATGGAATAATAGTGAAAGCGAGGTTGGACCAGCCCATGGAGAGTATATCTATTTCGAAATAGGCCAATGAAGAAAACGGAAAAGATGGTTGCAAATATTTCTGGTAGATTGAGACAAAAATTGAACTGAAAAAGAAAGAACCATGGCTTATTAGTAGAATAGGTATGCATAATTGGCTTTGGACGATGGTTACTTGATTTCGTATCGTCTTATGGGGAAGGCGCGATGAAACCACTGCATCGTCTAATCAATGAAGCGGCATGGTTATACCATTCAAATGAGGACTAATCGAGACATTTAAGAATCACGGTATCCCCAATTCTATGTCCTAAACTTATTCCAGATGTAAATTCCCGTATACAAACACACTTCTAACGAGCGAGAAGCATAAAGGGGGAAATTCAGATATTGACCGATGTAGAGAAGGGATAACGTGGTGAATATAGGTACTTTTAAACTTGTGCTTGAGAGCTATGCAATGATCATCTTGATCTCATATAGAAATATAAATACACCCGACACCATTATTAGAATTTTGTGAGGAATAATAAAATATCAACCAGTTCGTAGAAAAATAAACGAACATATATACTTTGATACCAATAGGTATGTGCAGCCACGATAATAAATTTCACCTCGAGATGTATGATCCATAAATACTGTCAACACTCATATCCATAAAGCTAGAGAGCAGCTTTCTAGAATGACAATTTCCTACTATATATATACATCTCGGGATGAAAGCAATGGAAGATGAAAAAGTCGATGTTAATATTTAGCTCTCTAGATGAGAACATGGATAACGCTCCGCTGGGCCACTGCCGTGGAGGCTTCCTCGCTTCGCACTAGAATAGTACCTGAGCAATACAATCCCTTATTAGATAATATAGGAAGTTCTTGAGAAAAAATTGTAATATAGGAAAGACAGTCGTATATTCTGCGTACAACAGGTTGATAGATACAATAGATACCTAGATAGATGTTGATGAGTAATTGATCGAATATTATGGGTCAAGGGTACAAATGACTTTAATTGATGTGCACAGCCACCAATTCCAGCTCTTCAGGGGAAATCATCTTACAACGGTAGAAGTTTGGATTCTATTGGATCCTATTGGTTGACAACGTTTTAGCACTGGTTATCTGTCGATAGTACAGTTTCTCGATACTTGATTCCATAATGAAACGAGCGACCCTTGAGTGAACCCATGTCTCCGCGTCTCCCCCCAGATCAGTTCCTCTCTTTTCTAGAATAATTAATAATAAATTACCTCCCTGGCTCCTGGGTAGAGTAACCTTAGCCTTAGATTTCAATCCAGAAGTAGGTCCCGTTCAATAATGGACCTTTCGCTGACTGGACCCCGACTTGGATCTTCATCATCTTCTTCTCATTCTTACCTTACGGTATTATATTATATGTAAGTCTCGCTTCCCTTGTTATTGTTGTACAAGTGAATCATTGTCGCGCCGCATTGCATCTGTATCTGCATCTTGATCTTGAATCAATTCAAATAAAACATCATTACCTTTCCAACACATATTTCCTACGGGACCTGATTGTGTGTGTGTGTGGGACCTGATTTTTGTGCAATGATAGGCACAACTACAAAGAGGTCCTTCGGTGAACCCCTCAAAACAAAGCGACATTCGCGATCAAGCTCGAGTACAACCACAAAATCACTCCTTATAATTACACCCTCGAGTTCTGAAAGCACTCAAAGTCCCTCGACCTCACCCACTTTTCATATGCCTGTGCACGACAGCACCTACACCGAGAACGATCGAATTGCTATAATCAGCGAGAATATGGAGAAAGCGACTATCAACGGCCTGAGCAATGATTCGAGTACTGGAAAAAGGAAGACTCCTTTGACTAGGAAGCAATCTTCTCCTATGATGCCACCGTTTATGGTATCAGCTCCAGGAAAGGTTATTGTATTTGGAGAGCACGCGGTCGTGCATGGAAAAGTGGGTGCCATTGCTCTAGATATGCGATTTGAAAACTAACAGTAGAGATAGCCTGCGATTGCTGCCGCGATTTCACTCCGATCATATCTTCTAGTTACATCCCTTTCAAAATCGAAGCGCACGATTTCCCTTCGTTTTCCCGACATTAATCTCTCACATACTTGGAATATCGATGACCTGCCATGGAGCACCTTTTCGCACCCGTCGAAGAAGAAGCACTATTATGATGAGGTCACATCTTTAGATCCAGAATTGGTCGCAGCCATGAAACCACATCTTGAGAACATTTCTCCTGAGGAATCACCCGCCATACGAAAGATACACCAGAGCTCTGCCTCGTCATTTTTATACATATTTTTATCACTCGGTTCACAATCATTCCCGGGTTGTTTATATACACTTCGCTCAACAATTCCAATTGGTGCAGGTCTTGGTAGTAGTGCCTCGATATCTGTCTGTCTTTCGTCCGCACTTTTGTTGCAGATTCGCACATTATCCGGACCACATCCGGATCAACCATCTAATGAGGCAAGCTTACAACTTGAGAGAATCAATCGTTGGGCATTTGTGGGTGAAATGTGCATACATGGAAATCCGTCTGGGGTCGATAATACAGTCTCGACGCAAGGAAAAGCAGTGATCTATCAAAAATTCTCTGATGGACCCACTGTGAAGCCATTGAGAAATTTCCCAGAACTCCCTCTGCTGCTTGTAGACACGCAGCAAGCAAAATCTACGGCTCATGAGGTTGCTAAAGTGGGGTTGTTAAAGCAGAAGCACCCAGCTATTGTAGATTCGATATTGAATGCTATTGATATGGTTGGTCAATCAGCCGCGGCCATGATTTCAGATCCAGAGTACGATAGCAAAGATCTTGAGTGCGTTGAGAGCCTGGGAAAATTGATGACAGTCAACCATGGACTTCTAGTTTCTTTAGGAGTATCTCACCCTCGTCTGGAGCGCATTCGGGAACTTGTCGACCATGAAGGAATTGGCTGGACTAAGCTTACTGGTGCCGGAGGGGGAGGGTGCTCTATTACATTATTGAAGCCGGATACTACACATGAGAGAATGGCACGTTTAGAGGAAACATTGGAGACTGAAGGCTACAAAAAATTCGAGACTACACTAGGTTGTGATGGAGTGGGTGTTTTATGGCCCGCAGTGATCAAGAATGGAGAAGATGATGATTTTGGGGGAGATGAAATCGACCAAGAAAAATTCCTCAACGCTGAAGGTATAGAAGGAGTTGAGGAATTGGTTGGAGTTCATGGACAAAGTGGTGATAGGGAAGCATGGAAGTTCTGGAAGGTTGAAGATTAGAATGCTGGCGACAGCACAATTACTTCCTTTCGCTGTAAATTATGTTAACATGTTATTCTATAATGCGACGGACCGGTGGACAATAATGAAAAGAAATTGTATATATAATGATCAAACGAATCAAAACATTGTTCTTCGCATTGTCAAACGTTTCTTTCTTCAGCCTGACAGCTTTCTCGCACAAGGCTGAGGCTAGCCGAGCTCGTACTTTTGAAGCCTTTCAAATGGGCAATTGAGTCTTCGTTTTCGACCTCGTAACAAAGAGCACATTGTGAGATCAAGGCTTCCTTGACACAAATCTAGCCTCTAGCATTTCAAGTTCTTAGTTTCCGGGTCTGCACAGATATTTAACTCACACTGGCCTATTCATGCGTCTCTTAATTTGACCTCCCAGTCCACACCTTTCACAGTGACCCCGAAAGCAGAGCTCGCGAAGACTCATAGGATACTCGTATACTGATATACGGAGATATCTGAATTGTATTTTGTCAACAACTTTGCAAATCTAAGCATTGCGAAGTTTGCGCAAGCGGGTTTTTAAAGTAGGAAGCATATTAGCACAAGTGCTTGCGGAAGAGAGATATTTCATTCGGAGAGCCGTAAGACCACGACAGAATAACGACATACGACTAAGGATATTAGCAATCAATCTGCGATATTAAAGCGGCAGAATGGGAATATACGAGAGGGATCCTATCTGGGACGATGTGGTACCAATAGCACAAGATGATGGTGAGGGCGCTTTAGCACAAATTGCATACACGGATGAATACGCAGAGGGTAAGATTGCTATCCTTCATTCTCTCTACAAGACTCATGATATGTCTAGCAATGGGATACCTTCGCGCCGTAATGGCAAGCAAAGAATACTCACCTCGCGTTCTCGAACTTACTGAACACATCATTACCCTTAACGCAGCTCATTATACAGTCTGGCTTTACCGTGCCACAACTCTCTTTGCACTATCTTCCTCTGTAGCCGACGAACTCGCATTTGTGAATCAAATTGCGCTGGAAAATCAAAAAAATTATCAGATCTGGCACCATCGACAACTTCTCATCGATCACCTCTACCCCTCCATTTCACCCTCTCCTTCGTCGCTCAATGTGCTCGCAGATTCGGAACGAGATTTTCTGACACAGATGTTCGACGAAGATGCAAAAAATTATCATGTTTGGAGTTATAGGCAATATTTGGTATTAAAATTGGATATGTTTAACGAGGCGGAACTAAAGAGTGTAGAGGATCTGATAAGGAGAGATGTACGAAATAATAGTGCTTGGTCATATCGATTTTTCCTAGTTTTCTCGGACCCAAAATATTCGACCAAGGGATTGAAAGCAAATGAATTTGATGGCAAGATTCCAAAGGAGATAGTGGATAGAGAAATTGAATATGCGAAATCGGCGACATATGAAGCACCGCAGAATCAGAGTTCCTGGAATTATTTGAGGGGGGTTTTGAGGAAAGGGGGTGTGAATATTGAGAGCTTGGAGGAGTTTGCGGGTGACTTTGTTAAGCTTGGAAATGCAGATGGAAAGGGGGAAGATATAAGGAGTAGTCATGCATTGGACTTTCTGGCGGATATCTGGGGAGAGAAGGGAGAATGGGAAAAGGCAGACAAAGCTCTCGAGTTACTTGGTGATAAGTACGATAAAATCCGAAAGAATTATTGGGATTGGAGGAGGGGTTCATTCAAGGAGATGAAGGGATAGACTGATGAATATGGGACGAGACAAATGGTTGGTAATGGAACGGCGTTGGGGTGAAGAGCGTGAGCGTATGTCTGCTTCGTTTTCGCTTGCGTTGTTGCTTGAGATGAGCATATACCAAGTTGCTCCCTTCTGTTGAATGAAGCTTGCATGAACGTACGATTGTCTTGTGGTGAACACATCAACTTCTGGTGATCATTTCGATATTCCATCACACGACGTGAGCGATTCATTCACCGTACCACATGCCAATAGTGACATTCCTGTGACCCCTCCAAATAAAATCATCGTGTTCCTTTCGACTTTCCTGACTCGTCCCTAACATCACCACAGGAGACAAGAAGATAAACTCAAATTTTCAAACCCATGGATGGTCGGTTCCACTATCTAAAAAATCTCACTCTCAATCACCCAAACAAGTCAGAATCCCTCGCTCGTCACATACATCATCAATATAGAATATTAGATCACCAACCCAAAAGGACAATAGCTCGAAAATAGCTCACCCCGCATTTGCGACACCTGCGCTATGCATAAAACCATTACCCTATAAGTATCTCCACATTACCCTATAACTTTAAATCGCATGCCGTCCCGAGCTTCCCTTATCATTCCAATTACCCTATAACTTCTTGCGCGTATCATGATTACCCTATAGCTTCTCTTGGATTACCCTATAAGTATCCACGTGTATCTTTCTGAGAAAAGTTCATTACCCTATAACTTGTTTTAGCGAGATAGCGCATCCCCGCTTATCGTCGGATTCCCCTTTAGTAGGCTGGATAGTCTGAAGTGCCGAATCGAAGGAATGCGTGCGGAACCATAGGGATCCTGGTTTGTTTCAGTAAGGAGGTGTTATCAAGTGCTTGGGTTGGTGTCGGGTCATCATGCATGCACACACGCCTTTAGCTCTACATGTTGGTGCTGGGAGCGAAAGTTCCCGATATTGATACGAAACTTCCTACATAGGAAATATGTTCCATATTTGCGATCTCCGTGCTTCTGCGGATTGTTCGAGATGGATTGATTTCGTAGGCTTGCGTGGAAATGGAATGGATTGGGTTGGATGCAAGATGAATGAGCTAGCATGGATAAGATCTTACGATGTGAGTACTTAAGGTTTGCGACGCACACTTCCTTCAAAGAAAGATTTGGTTGGAACATTTGAGATTTGAGGTGATAAGATAGTTCTTCTACCAACATATTCGTTCAACAAGAGATTCAAGATACAATTTGAATCCAGAAATAAATATCACACCATACAAAATGGGTTCAACAACTCCGATCACAAATGGAATGGGAGAAGGACATATATCGAAACCTTGGATTAAAACTCCATTGGTTAGATCGGCTGCTTTATCAAGACATGCTGGATGGTGAGTTTCTAGAATGCTTTCGGCCTTGTTGGAAGCATAAACTGATACGGAGATAGTAATGTTTGGCTTAAGCTTGAGAATTTACGTATGTATACATACATTCTGTTTCCATTATCGAATGTTGCGCAGTTCATCTTTCGTCTTTGCGACATGTCCTGATCGTTTTCTTTCTTCTTTGCCACCTTGTTTCTCCTTTCACACCTTGTTTCTCCTTTCACAGTTCATTTTCTCTGTTCTATTCCATCACATCTCAACCTTATCCATCAAAATAACTAACACAGTTCAGAACCATCTGGCTCGTTCAAATCCCGCGGCATAGGGAATCTTCTCATCCGTTCTCTTCCCCCGATCCCCACACCCCCGTTCACTTCTACTGTTCCTCGGGCGGCAACGCCGGACTCGCCTGCGCCCACGCAGCATTCTCTCTCAACCGCCCCTGTACCATCGTCGTTCCCATGACCACATCCTCACACATGATCTCCAAAATAAAACTACTCAAAGCCGAAGTGATCCAGACCGGAAACCACTGGAGCGAAGCCGATAGACATCTACGCGAAGAACTATTAGCTAACGATGCTAATGGTGTATACGTACCACCATTTGATCACCCCGATATCTGGGATGGACACAGTAGTGTGATCACCGAGATTGAAGAGGAGGTTCGTGGACTAGGCATCCACAGTTTGGATGCGGTGATCTGCAGCATTGGCGGAGGAGGATTATTTAACGGAATCATGAAAGGATTAGAGGATAGTGGAAGATTGGCATCGCACAGTGGAACGAAGGTTATAGGTGTAGAGACGACGGGAACGGCAAGTTTCCATGCGGCAATGAAGAGGGAAGAGTTAGTCAGGTTAGACGGTATCGATAGCATTGCTACGTCGTTGGGTGCGACACAGGTAGCGGCGAAGTCTTTGGAGTGGGGATTGAAGTATAGAAAGAATGTGAGGAGTGTAGTTTTGGGGGATGCGGAGAGCGTGAGTGGTATGGTGTGGATGGCGGATGAGGAAAGAATTGTAAGTTTCATTAATTCATGGATCTTTTGGTTCCATTCACTAATTTTGACGTAGTTAGTTGAGAGTGCGTGCGGTGTCAGTGTAGCAGTGGCTATCAATGGCATGCTGAAAAAGATATTAGAGGAAGATGGGGAACCCATGGAGGGAAAGAATGTGGTGATTGTGGTTTGTGGAGGAAGTAATATTTCACTGAAGGCTTTGGGGGAATATAGAGAGAGATTTGGTGTATGAAAGCTCGGGGCATACTTTCATTCTACATCGAGGGGCGGAGTAACAATGCAACGTTTGGTTTAGAGGAGTCTTTCCTAATATCAAATGAGGTTTACTTTATCATGGGTAACGAATTCTTTGCATTTCCAGTATTGTTCAACGCTTTGGCAATAAGGAGTGTCTCAATTTCTCATGTTATATTTGGGGGTTAAGTGAAACGTTTCTTGTGGTATAGAGCAAGTAAGATGACTGGCAACAGAACATTTTTAGAAGTATTGAACTGTCTGATCTTGTTCAACCTTAAATCTTCTTTGACCCATCATATCGACAGATTAAGTGATTGTTCGCGATGCTCCTTTACTAGCGACTCAATGATTGAGAATCATGCAAGCTACCTATAGCTATTTCCTTGCAATGACTCTTGTGGCTAATACATGAATATGTGCTACAGCTCAAAGCATGTCCCCGAACTTGGTCTTAACCAATTCATCTTTAATTCATGTCAAGAATTCTCCACCATAGTTTATACCGTATCATAATGGATACTCCTTCTGCCTGTCTATGCATCCTCCGCTGTCGAACAATCTATCGTACTAGCCCCATTGGATTCTTCTATATTTACCAAATCATTATTAGGACCACCAATCAAATCCACTGTTCTACGCTTCGTTCTCCCACTAAATAAGCAGGTCCAAAGATCGTTTTCCGAAACGGCTTCACCATCATGCCCTTTGAAGAGAAGATTCCCGGGCACTGATTGCTGCATCTCTAGGCTATTGGCCTCTTCCAGAGCCTGTGCTACTGATTCCTCATCAGAGACCGCTCTCCCTTTGCCCTTTTTTGATATGGTTGCGTGGCCTAGGTGCTCCAATCTTCTTCTAGCAGATAACTCATAGATTGACTGATCAACAGTGTTGCCCATGACCATTACCCAAATATTGGTCTCAAACTTTTGTCCTATTCTATGAACTCTAGACTCCCCTTGGAGTGCGATTGCCGTGTTCAACAACGGTTCGCAAAAGAATATATTACTAGCATTAACTAAAGTCAATCCAGCACTATGTGCTCGAGAATGTAAGAGGAAGACTTCTATGCCAGGATCATTTTTGAATTTCTCAACCCCGTTAGGTCTATCAATGGATGAATGACCAATGCGAAATGCATCAAATGCGCTAGCTATAACCGGTAGGAACTCGGTAAACTGAGAAAATACGATTGACTTCGCGCCAGGATCTGATTCTCGAAGGTAAAGAATGTGACGGGCTTTTTGAAGATTGTTAGTGGTATTTGTTCAGTGAGATCAAAATTTACATACCCAGAGTATCAATTTTGGTGCCAAATGAGTTGTTGTCTTGTAACTCAATGCTTTTGATGGCGGAGAGAGTAGCTTTGCTGACATCGGAATAGATCGCAGATTTTTGAGGGGAATTCGAGTTGACTGATCGTTCCTTCAACGGTTCTCGAATGCCCTCAGTTTCGGCAGTCAGTATTGGCTCATGTGGCTTGTAGCTAATATTGTGAAGCTCTTCATAAATTAGCATCTCTTTACAGATGGGGCATCTATGAGATACTTCGATAGGTCAGTAATATGTATGCGGCACTTGGAGATGATTGCGTTCTTACATTTCCACCATTCTCTGGCGCAATCGGAACAGTATTGATGACCGCAAACGGTCAAAACTCCAAGCTCAAATCCATCTCTGCAAACGACACACGTTCGCTTATCTTTGGGATTTTCGACCTCCTCTTTCAAATGGACTAGATACCTTCTCTTAGCTCTCAGCGAAGCTATGGTTTGAGTGAGTGCATGCTCCTTTCGTAGAAAAGACTCCTTGACACCATCATTATTGGGGCCTGTATACGGGGCAACCTGATTTGAAATTGCTTGTAATTGTTTGTAGTACTCTACTCGAAGATTCATGCACTTTGTGAACTGCCCGATTTCCTTCTCTAGATTTGCGGTTGCTTTTGTTTGATCTGCGAGATAGTTGTGGGTCAATTTCAGTTGACCTTCGACGACCGAGAGTTCATTTTGAAAATGATTTGTCTTGAGCTTGGATATAAGCGTCCGGAGTTCTGATAAAGTCCCTCTCACACTAATGCCCTTGTGCAGAAACAGGTCTCTTATGTTAAAGAGCACGAGTAGCTTTTCTGGAAAAGGACCTTTGCCATGTTTTGCCTCCCGGAAAGCGGTTTTAGCTTCTTCATCAATTAGAAAATTTTGCACTCCAGACAACGAGGCCTGTCGATCGGCAATCATTGTCCGCAATGCTTGCACGTATACCACGACTTCTTCCTGTACTTTTATGGAATTATCGTACTCATCCCCACTGATGGCAATGCCTTCATCATCGTTGTCGACTAATGGACTCAACAAGATCTGGATGAGGTGGTTTCGCCATTCATTAATTTGATGTGCTTGTCTATCCAAATTGGTTCCAAGATTTGCGAATCTAGCCATTGATAGTTAGTTAGTATGTAGGTACGACGCGTAAAGATATGAGAAAGTGTATCTGAAAAGATAAATTGAATAGAGATATAAATATCCACAGCTTACTCTTCCATAATCCGGCGGCTTTCGGGACCCCCTTTGAGAGTACTAGACACGAACTGAGGCAACTGAACAGCTGCACTAGATTCTGTATCTTTTCTAATTGCGGTCATCATGTTATCTGTTCTCTTGAAAGCCTATGATGTGTTAGCCCAGATATCTTCATGTTGTGGGACAACAATCATCCGATCTGAATTGTGCAGTTCATTCTTCGCAATAAATCAAGGAATCAAAAGCGTGAAATAGTTAGAACTATATTTCATAGCAGTGTACTAGTGCAATACAGAACGTACATCTTGTAGTATCTCACGCCGTAACTCCTTAGCCTCTTCGTAACCCTGTCTCTCGAGCATATCGAGGTTTTCAAACTCGGCGGAATTAACTGCTGTCATTTCCTCGTTTGACTTTATCTGAAAGTAAGCATTTGATAGGAAGAATTTACCCATGTGATGAAGCTCCAAGGCGGCTCTCAACCGTGTTCGACTCATCACTACGCGTGAGGCAGGATCCATTCTGTATGGGGGCACGTTAGAGTGTTCCAAGGGCGATGAAAGAGGTTCCTACCCATCTTGCCCTTCAAGATATTTCTCACCATTGCCTTCAATGCTCTGGATTTCGCTCGGGGCAATCGTTCTTTGAGTTTCTGCTATTTTCGGATCCGAACCACTGTCTGAATGAAATGCCAGTCTCGCCTTCTCCGACAATATCTCAGCGGATAATTCATCCCGAGCTTGATCTACAAACGTGGAGGAGAGCGTGACGCATTCTTTCCAGATATCCAGAGCCTCTTGAACGCGAGGGGAATCTTCGTATAATTGGCCCCTCTTTAATTGAGAAAGAAGAAGTGATCGAGAATTCGCTCTAATAGCAGCATCTGTTTGCGAGAACATAAGTTCAAGGGCCTTACCTGATCATGATATTAGTCTTTGCCATGGAGTACCCCATAGCAGGAGATCCGACTTACTCGCAGTTTGAACTATTGGTTCATCTCCGATTTTCTTTCGTTTCGTGGCTCGTTTGGGGGGAAGTGCATTAGTTGCCTGCCTCAATCGTACAAGCCATCGTCTCATAACCTCAGCATAGTCTTTTGGATCCCAGCCATTCATGAGAGGCTCGCCCTCGGTATCCAATCCAGATTCTTCACACATCTTGCCAAACATTTCTTGGTAAAATTGCTCTTCAATTGGGTTAAAAGAAATAGTAATTACGAAGCGGTGTTGCTTGGGTAAGATAAGCTCTCCGCGAATATCCTGCTTTGAGTGACGCAAACTAATAGCCTCGAAAAGCTTGTGGAAATCCTGCTTGGAGTATACAAGCGATCGCCACACCGAGACCAAAAGCTCATATTTCAAGAAAATGAGTAATCCTAGTAAGTCGTTGATGTTTTTCCTGACCTAAATTGTAGTCAATATATTTCAGCCCCTTCGATGAATAAGAAGCGTTCCAGTCCCCACAACAACTCTTTATCATCTCTTCATGATTAAAGAGCTCTTTCATATGCAGAACCAATTTGACACATTGAATTCACTGGAAAGATAGTATCTATACAAATATCAAGCAAGCCCCACATTGCTCCCCAAACAAAATGCAATGAATGTCTCATAAGGCTTGAAACCCCAAAACGACTCTGAATATTGAGCTTTGGACAATAGTCCGGATAAGTTCCACATTGAAATAGATAAAAAGATATAAAAGGTTGAGAATACATACTGGAGTGCCTGTGATCGCCCAGGCATTGATTCGAGGTATCATCCTTGCTACGGTTGCGGCTTTACTAACACCACTTTCAACCATTTGCGCTTCATCGAGACATACACGCCACCACGAAAACTTCATTAAAGGTGATTTGGGCCTCTGATATCTTGACTCGCTGCGCAGCGTCGTCTTCTCCGGATTGAGACTGGTGAAGTGGATCTCTGATGCAAGTATAGCGTACGTGGTAATGACTATGTCAGAGGTGGCAAAATCATTGATTATGGTTTCATATTGAAGTGACCGGCTCTTGATACCTTCATAATACGTAACCTTGAGACTTGGCGCATGGGCCTTTATCTCACCGATCCATTGTTCTATATATAATCAATAAATAATATGATCCGCGCTCGATATTGATTCAGAACTCACTTGAAATCGAAGGCGGTGATATTATTAGAGTGGCATGTGTTGTCTGCAAGGTCTCTCCAGAAAACGGATCGATAACCGATGGTTCTTGATTACGACGGGTGTGAAGTGTCATCAGGGCAATCATTTCTACAGTCTTACCCAGGCCCATCTCTTCTGCAAGAATGCCACCTTTGATATCCTGGTCCATCCAAAAGAATGGAGCAAGATCGAAGGTGACTATTGCAAATAAATGGCTAACATAACAAGAACGCCCTTGTAGGTCTGTTGCGGCGAAAAACGAAGGCGGTATTCGGCCTATTCCCTCGGATTGAGTTGTCTCAATACATCCAGCCGCGCGAGACCACTCAGAACCTTCCCTACGAAGCATCCATTGAACAGCCCGCTTTTGGAACGGATAGAGAGTTGATTCCAATCCCGGCGTTTCGATCGAGGCAGCAATTTCATCATCCGGATCTGGAGAGTATGCAGATTGATAAAAGTCCTGCGCAGAGAGCGGTTCCAAGCTCGTGCTGTTTGGATCGGGAAAGTAAGTGTTTAATACCTTCATCAGAGCATCCGTCTTTTTAGGCTGGATAGATTTTCGATTGGTTGTAACCTCCCATTTAATAGTAAAATCAATCCGAACATAATCCGAATCATCCATTTTGTACACACTTATTCCGGCCTCTGTCCACAACTTACTTGATTGTTGGGCACGCTTTTTGGAATCTCGATCAACCATCAGACAGATGAGCACGTCATCGAAGGAATTTTGAACATTCATCGACGTATTTTCGAGTGATAACGGTATGGTGAGCAAGGAGTTGTGGTTGTCATCTCGAAGGATGATATTAGATGGCTCGCGGTTGCTACCCTGACGGCCCCAGTGGCTAGTAAAACGAATCTTCTGCCTATTCAAGGTGGTGCAGTCTAACGACAACTTTGATCGAAGACATCTGACTTCCAGCGAAGCTTGTTTGACTGTGATGTAATCTCGAAAAATAGCATCATTCGATGATTCCAATTTCGATCCTGTTGTTAGTTTCTGACGTTTCCGTAGAGGTTCTTCTGACGTGTTCTATAATATGGAGTTAGTACTTCTAAAAGACACGAGAAGCTTCAAAGTTCTGCTGCCAAGAATTTCGAATGTAATCCATGAAATACAAATAGTAAACCATAACAGTTACCTGATCTGTGGCAAGATAATTGATCAAGGCATCCGTAATATCGGTAACAAGAACATACGGAGCCTTCTCAAGAGGAACATTATCTTTTGCATTATTCATTCTTTGTGACTCCTGTGCAAAGATAGAGTCACCAGGAATGATTGCGAAACCCTTTTTCCACCCAGGCCGGACTGGGGCCGTTATATCAAACTTCTGAACCAGGCTTTTACACTAAAGGACGTGTATACTTCTGGGCCGCACATAGGCTTCCATGTACATATGAGAGAGTTTACTTTTACCGCGTTCAACAGGCACAAAAGTAAGTGTGTTTGGTAGATTGGCAACGATGGATGTTTTGTTGTTCTGGCAGAATGTTGGATGATGAGAGATGAATGACAGATGGTTCAAATCGAAATTTCAGTTTTATGTGACTGTAGTGATTGACTGACTGCGGACTGACTGCAGACTGACTGCCTTGCGCGAGAGAGACTGTCCGCCTGTTTACTGTAAGAGGTATGGAGGTATGCACCGACAGTAGCGAGCATGTACTGTGATAACAGATAAGAGAACCTAGCACGTGCCTAGGAGCCTAGGTACGCTCGAGCCATGTATCCATACATCCACACACCCATACCCTTGACCTCCATACTTCCATCGGGAATACCTTATTCCGAATACGTCACATGATCTTGGATTTTTCGAATAAACGCTAAGGTTAAAATCGAATTGTGAGATAGGTAGTTTGGAGGATTCCCAGAAATAGACAGGTACAGCCTTCCAACGGTTGACACAAGTTGACTTACATTGACGCCATAAGTTGACATAAAATCTATGCTCCCTCCGGTATCTACACTTTGACCTGCGGGAATCCTTTTTGATATAGGTATATCATTCCTGCCGTACGTTCAATGAATCCTCAGTCCCACTTTCTGGACGATTAGTCCTGTTGTGCGAAGCATAGCCAGCCATATTGACTTCCTCTATAGAATCTGCCCATCATGATCCTTAAGCCTTACCAGCTACGACCAATTCCCTCATTTCTTCTCCCTTTTACGGATGCAACCACTTGCAATCAAGTACGAAGCCTACATTATCGCATGAAGGCATCGCCTGTACCCCGTCCTACACCATTTGTACCGAATGCTCAAACGTTTCTCACACTCATTGGACGAAATCTGAGCCAGCATGCATCGAAAATTCCTTCATGGAAAGCATTGTTTACATTGACCTCTGATCAACTACGAGAGCTGGGCGTTGAGCCTCCACGGAGTCGACGCTACCTCCTACGCTGGCGCGAGAAATTTAGAAAAGGGCAATATGGCATTGGTGGAGATTTACAACACATCGAAAATGGAATTGCAGAGTTGCGTGTAGTTGAAGTGCCGTCATCAGACCCGAGACATAGTACAGCTACCGCAACATCCTCACCGGGACAACAAAAAATAGTGGTCAATGTACCCACAGGAGGCAGTGCAGAGGATAGTATCGCTGGGCAGATGGTTCCAGTTCAGGGTTTACGTATCAAAGGAGCGCACACTATTATTGGACCTCATGTACAACCTTCCAAAGGAGGGCAAGCGGCGAAAATTGTCGTTAAAGAAGGATTGTGGGAAGATCGTAGAGGCCACAAGATTGATGGAGGCGAAAGGAGACAGGCCGAAGTTCGAGCAAAGAGGAGAGGAGAGGAGAAACGTGCAGCCAGATAAACATTGAGTAGATTGTCAATCTTGTCGTCCATGTAAGATTATGTTAGAGGCTGTGTAGGGATGCACAAGGAGGAGGTGGCTCTGCTGTGATAGTTCTGGGATCTTCATCCACAGATCATGGCCTTCTAGAAGATATCACTCGCAAGGCTGCAGATCAACCCAAACATATTGAAGTTATATTTTAACTCGAAATCCTGAACAGCGATTGGTGGTTTACACGGGTGAGGTCGGCACTAGGGCCACGTGAGATTACAGTTTCGCGGCGTAGACGTCAAGTCCACGCCATTCCCGTCCGCCTTTGGCCGAAATGCCTCAATTGCTACATATTTCCCTCGATGTTTTTCCGTATGCTAACCTTGATCAAGATTTCTCGGAAACCAAGCGATTCCTGTACGGGATCGGGATACATGGTTTCCTATTTCATGATTCCCCGGACGCAGCCCTCGTAAGCTCGCTCGTGCTCCCCCCCCTCGTACTCCTCCCATTGTAGCAATTGCGCTAAATGTGCCCGATACCACATCTTCAGTGAAATTTGCCCGCCGGCTTCAAGTATTCAAAATTCTTTCTCTTTTATATATGATAAATGGAGGTGTATTGGTTGATATTATGGTTGTGGATGACACCAGGGCCTGGCTGTGCTGGGAAATTTCCTGCAAGACCGGAGGATCTTTCCTCCAGATTACTATCTCGCTAGATAGTCTTACTTGCACAACCCACGCCGATAGTTAATCCCATAAATTATGTACGCACAACCCACTTGCAATCATTAGAAAGAACGCATTGTAGGTCAGCAATTAGTTAGACTCTAGATTAGACTAACCCAGCGGCCGGGACTCGCGTCAGAGATCTCGGAAAATACCTGGAAACCATAAGAAGCAATGTTACTAAGCCAATACAAGTCGGTTCAGGCAGCTCAAGCTGGCCAATCCCATGCTCATCTAGCAAAAGGTCGTTCATTTCGCGCAGGAGCGAAGGCAAATGTGTACTAATCTGTGCCCCTTTGGCACAGCAAGGCTCTTTGATATATTCTCGTCTGATGTTTTCCTCGTTCTCCATACTAATTGAGCGAATAGTGGCACCTCAAACTGGATATTAACAAGCATTTCCACAACGACATCGTTTAGTCGTTTACGGGTCCCGAGTCAAATAGTCGATATGGTAATGGATGTGTGCGTCATCTCATCTCAGAACAAGTGATCAGAATTGTAAGTGTCCTTACGGCGCAATGCATTGAAGAACGTCTAGGAGTGTAGCTGAGGTTTGTATACGATGATGTCCTTCGAAAGTAGAAAATTTTGACGAGTCCGGTGAACTGATTCGTGATGTATCGCCGGCATTATCAGACTACTAACCTCAGGAAAGGATACCTAGATGGTACATTTACAAAATAAGTGTACTTGATATACTGACCGTACCTAGATGAGTCTATTCATTGATCATGAAGTTTTTTTTCAACATGGGACTTGTCTGCCTGATCTCCCATTAAATTGATCCCTTGTCCAGCCTAGCCAAGTGTAAACGAGCCTATGCAGGAACCGAATCTCTGCCTGAACATCTTCGAAAAACAATGGGTACTCGCTACCATTTCCACAAGTGGCTTTCCAATTATCCTCTTGTTCTCGGTATTCATGACGAAAACAAAAACCGCAAACTTTTATTCATTCAAGCTCAACCATGGAATTTTTTGATTTAAAATGGTCGAAAACGGCAATGCCGCGAATGAGGATTCCTGTCAATCCCCTGAGAATGGATGGCCCCCACCACACCGCAAGGCCATTATCTCATCGACTTGAAGCTCCACTATCACTATGATCCTAGATTCATCATCCTCCCTATCTCGTTTCGTATTTCCCATCTCGTCCCATATTTGGAGGAGTTTCTCTATACAAGGTCACATGTGCACTTAGTCCAATCACTGGATCAGGTTGTAGTCCAATTCAGGTGAGGCTGCCTTAGAGGAACGGGGACCTTCTCGATAGTTCGTTCAGTCATATCCTACTCTTATCCACCTACAGTCAGTCACGTTTTCGTGGCGGTCATAACTATGATCCGTCTGGAGGCAGTGCTTCTACTCGACGTTCCATCCACTCTTGGTCTGCTTTTTTTTCTTGCAGTATTGCTTATGAAGATCTTTATATATCTGTTGATATCCAAAAGCGATCATCAAATCTGCCCTCCGCGCCGCTGTATGGTTTCTATAAAGTAGGGAAGTTTCCTTTTACCAAATAGCTATCAGCTCATCATCACTATCAATCATCTTTTAACGATATCAAGAAAGCTATAGCTTTCTTATTATCTACATCGTCACTCATTGCTCTACGTTTCACGCCTCTCAAGTACCGCATACATCTATCAAGTCAACTCAAATAGCGCGGTCGTCATCCTGATCATATTATCCTCGAAGTCTAGCGGTAGAAGATCTCAACAAAAGTATCAAGTTCCGCTGTTGATGTTAGTATACTGTTTTCTGTCCACTCAGCCAGTTTCTGAATATTGAAAGGGCAGACGCCTATAAGTCAGTGCACATCGAAACATCCATCGAACAGGAAGAAACATCCGAAGCTCCTTGCATTACAATTGAGGATCCTGACCGCAATCAGACCATCAAGTGCGAGTCAAATCTCGAGTCAACACCTAAGACTGAACCCGAGATGTCTTCTTCCCATCGATCTTCATCTGGCAAGGGGAAAAGCTCCTCTTCTGGGAAGTCAAAGCCAAAGCAAGACGATTGGTCTGGTATCACAGATCCAGAAGAGCGAAGAAGGGTGCAGAACAGGTTAGCGCAGAGGAAGTTCCGTAAGTTATCACCGTACCACTCACGCTTCAGCATGTGACTAATATTCTATAGGTGACAAGACGAAGGCGGACAAAGAGCGTCAAGACCGAGATGATGAGAATCGTGCTCACGCAGGCCATTCTTATCACACAGCTGACTCGAATGATGTATACTATGACACTGCCGATGCTGGTGGCTCTCCATGGGGTTCTGTCTCTATGAAGCATGTCGTTTCGAAAGGTAGAGCTCAAGAGGATGCATCCAGACACGGGTCTCGGCCAGACGATGAGGCAAGCTATTATGAAAACCCCGACGCAACTTATGAAGGGGAAGGTTATTACAGAGGGGAAGCGACTTCCTATGAAGATGATCAGACCTATTACGATTATGGGAGTGCAGCTGGCAGCGGTAGCGGAACTTCAGGTTACTGATTAAACCAATATGACTCACCTGGTCATTGGACAAAAGCCACGACGGTGCGCGACCTGGAACGACCTGATTATATTTCACGACCTCGGAACACTTTTTCAGGCTGCTTTTATAGCCTGGATCGCACGCTGTATTACATTCTTAGACTTTTCCTTTTATCTCGACTTTCATTCAAGAATTTATTTTCATCGATACACACGGTGGACAAGCAACAAAAAGGAGGATAGATTTAACGACACCATGCCCCGATATACTTACGCGGTTTCTTACTACTTTTCTTTCATTCAAGCTTCAGTCATTTTCTTTTTGGCAGAAATCAATTGATGCCTATTCTCATGTAATACCAGATTTCCTATGTTCTATGGTGCTTACTTTCGCGTGGCTCCAATATCCACAGTTAAATCTGTAAATTTAGCTCACTTTGTATTTTTACACGTCTATAGAGATTTCATCCAATGCAAAAACCTTAACATAAATCAGCATTTGAAAAAACATGGACTTCGTGAGATTGTAGGCCTCTGGTAATACCGCACTCGCTAACCCCTGATGAAGCCACCGCTGGTTGTCTCATGGATGCCAATCATGAATGTTAATGTAACCATTGGCAAGCTTGTACTCAACGATATAATTACCACCCTGCGGAACCTGCAAAGTTCACACAATGACAAGGAAGTTCGCAATGAGTACGACAGATAGAAAGGATGGTGTAGTTGTTAAGAACCTGTCAAGCCATTCTTCACCAGGATTGGTGGGGGGAAATAAACGTCCGAGGCTGTGCTTTTGTGATGTTCATATGTCGTGCTACCAGATATGACAGGTCCTGTTGCCCATCTCACTCAGCCTAAATTTTAAAGTAGATAAGCATTCCAGATAGGAAAACAAACGAGATGAGAGCTTAACGGCAGTTCTCGTATAGTTCGTGTGGAGAACGGAAATGCCTTGAATATGATCCTTAGGAAGCGGATTGATGCATTTTTGACGACTGAAACAAGGTATGGATGGTGGAAGGAAGATTCGGAGTGGCGAAATAGGGAATATTTCAAACGTTTTGGGATTGGTACTTCTTCTCTGCTAGGATATTGGCGAACGAGAGGATTCTTTAACCTTATATCCAGATTTGGGAAGCGCTTGATGGATGATGAATGGTGAGGCGTGTAATGAGTACTCTGACGCCAGATTGTGGTAGGTGCATAGGATGCCGGGGAGGTACTAGGTAGTCAGTTCGATCGAATGCCAGATCATCTGCAGAATCCAGACAGCAGTCGTAGCAAAGTTTCAGCTGATGCTCCATGCTCCCATCGTAAAGAATCACTAGGTATGTGAGGTATGGGCGATGTGTACTAGGCGGGGCCGGGCCTGTGATATTCCTTTCAGTTAGTAGCGAGGGGGACTACGGGCGTAAGGTGAGTAATAGTGATTAATTAGTAAATGACCCAAGAAGAGACTGAGAAATCAATGGTCTATTCGGTACGGATTAATGCAGACCAAGATATATCTAGATTGAAATGGCATAGAATGGGGCCAGTATTTAATCCTGTGACTGTGATACACTTGACACCTTGGCTTTAGTTGAACAGACTCTACGTATATTGAATGTTCTGTTGCTTTGTACTCTAGAACATGCACAGTTAGTTAGTTGGGGTATGAGTATGATATTCGCCTTTTTCCCCATTTGATAAGGGGAGCTGGCTGGACTGAGAAGCAAGCTAGCTCATCGTATCGTAGGTCATACGGTGACCCACAAGGGCCATAGATGCCTGAAACTACGCACTCGAGGTACTCTCAGTACTCTGTCTAGTACTGGTCCACCATAGTACCTACTGATTGATAATTCACAGCCAATGACCTAATAATAAAAGCTACCTACCTACTACCTACCATCTTAAGTCAAAATGTAGAATCCAAAGTATAGAAGTTCGAAGCTTCAATTTCCATCAAACAACATCTGTCAATTCCAACTATCTTTTATCTTTTATCTTTTATCATTTTGCAATCAGAATCCTTTTTCATCAATATTCCATTTTAATTCACCCAATTTCAATTCAAATATTAATTTCAATAATAAGTAAATCCAAAGAGATTTCAATTCCAACATCGATTGATTTATCGACACAATTGCTTTTGCTCTTACTTCGACTTTGATTACTTCTCCTTTGCTATTCGGTCCTATGCAGTAGCGACGGAAAATGGCAGATTCACAAGATCCAGTCGTCACTGTCGCTTCCGACAAGGGAGATGTATCACCAACTCGTTCAATCTCAAAAGCCTCGCCCTCAAAAAATGTTACTTCTAATACCAACTCTCCCCAAAACCCTCCACCAACAACGACCAAACCAACAAATGATATAACAACGGAAGACGAAGAACGCAGAACGCCCGTCCCAGATAATAATTTAACCACGCCTGCTGGCAATACGTTGTCGCGCTCACGTAACAAATCGGCAAAAGATCAAGCCTCTACTATGCAAGGAAATCTTGGACCTCAGAATAATAAGGTTCGTCATCTGAAAAAGGATGACGGAGAGCCTCTCTGGAGAAAGGACATTCAATATGATTTTCTGAAGCTCATCTTTGAGGACGACAACGCCGTGTTTACGAACGGTTACGATGATACCCTACCGAAACAGACTTTTGCAGACCTCTACATCGATACGATGGCTAGGAGTAGTAAGACGAGTAAGATCTTGAGGGATAAATTACTGAGCGAGCATGAGCCAGCAAAGAACATGGCAATGGTGTGCCTTTTGGTTAATCTTGGTCGTATGAATACCACTTTGAATTGTGAGTAATTATCTTCTTCGTATTTTCGCATGTATTAATAAAGTTTTAGTCTTTCCAGAGATGCGAGCACAACTCCGTACCTATCACGCCATTCCATCTCTGCAAGCTCGACAAGATCCGAACTCTTACAAGCAGCTTCAAGATGCGCCTCGACTCAAATCTATACTGAAGGGTGCATCTGAGGATCGCCCTGAACCTGGTACATTGGAAAAGATCAAATCAACACCGGTTCCTCGAACAAACCCAGTCAACCTTATCTTCGTTCTTACTAACCATGCCACGAAGGTTACGGAATTGCATTTTCCTACAACCCGTGAATTTTATGATCTCATCATGAACACTCAAATCACCAGCAAGTCAAGAGCAAAGGCGTTCTTATGGTTGATGTGGTTTTATCTCGAGTCGGATTTCACGGAAGAAGGGGCAGATGAGAATCCATTTGGGTCTGGCGTAGATTATGATACCGACGTCAGAAATCAAGGTGTTCCACGACTGCAGGACATGACAGAAGAAGAAGAGTTGTTGGAGAACGTCGATACAGAAGAAGAGCTAGAGTATGGTCATACTAAAATGCGCGAACGCAAACGTATCATTGAAGCAGACCAAATCGCTTTCCAAGCAGAAAATGGTCCTCCAAAACGTGGTCCTAAGCCAAAGCTCAACTTACCCCTCGATGAGGGTTCCAATTCATCTACTATTATGAGTCGTGTTCGGCCTCGTTATGACGATGTAGTTGGAACTCCTGCTGGTTTGATTAGTAAGATTCGCCCCAGACACGACTCCGATCTTGACAGCACACGCTCAACCCCGCCCCCTCGAGCCTTTAGTTCCAGCAACATGCGTATTAACAGTGTTCTTAATGCAGGCTCCAGGTATCGAGGCGGAAAGAATGGTGAAGGTTCATCTCCAGCGCCAGAGGTGCCAGCTACTCTTTCCAGGCGACATCGACCGCTCACCGCACATCAAATCGCAGTAGAGCGAAACAGGAACCAACGAGTCGATTATATTTTAAGTCGTGGTATTAGAAAGGCACACCACTCGGCGAGAAAGTTGCGTAAGCAGCAAGGCGTTTTCGCTCGCGCATACCAGAGGGTGAACGCAATGTCAGATCCATTCAGCGATAGTGAGGATGACACCTATCACAGGAATCCTTACCCATTTAAAGAACGTGGATTTGGTGGTCTAGTTCAACTCGAAGCTGAAGAGGATGATTTTGGAGAAGAAGTATCAGCGTATGCAGCTGCTTTTCGACGTGCTGGGAGAAGACTTGATCGCTGGGATGGTCAGAAGGGCTTGAATCTTGGAGTTATGGGCACCAACCGCATCTTGACAAGCAATGACATCAATGGTCATCGCGCACGAGATAGCGATGAAACCGAAGATGAGCCAGACGAGGCAGTTATTCATAACCCAAAGCACCAGGCAAATGGGCATGTTACCGTACAGGCAGGAGGGGATGATGATCTTGATGATATGGATAAGGAGCTTTTGGGTTTGGTGTCTGATGATGACGAGGATGGTCTTGATCCGATGGAAAAATCATTGTTGGGAATTGGTGGAGACGAAACCGAGATGGAAGCTAGCGACACGGGAATGGATGTGGATTAGCTAAACTTGTATTGATATGATAGGGTAGGGTATTAAATGGTATGGAGAAAGCTCGATAGGCTTGTCGAAAGAGGCGTTCTGGGAGACAAATTATAGCTGGCGTCATTATTAAGGTATGAAGTGAAAATGACTTTATAACTTGTCGAGACATGTTTGATGGAGGAAAGAAGGGATTGAGAAAGATGAGATGGCTATTTATGTATAACATATTACTTTTAGGGATTCTTAGCGGCCAAGGAAATCTATCGTTGCATGATTTTACTAAAGAATTTGAGACGTTTAAAGTGTTGATATATATGTTGCGGATGCTGAAGAGTCAGCTACCTATATTATTAGAGTTGGCCACCAAAGATGAATATGCAAGTTGGGTATAATACCTAGGTAGTAGGTACCTACTAAAGAGCGTTTCCAAGAGACCGTTTGTTCAATTGTGACATCGGCATAAGTAGGCAATGTTACTTTACTGAGTGCCTTCCTGGTATGTAGTTTATTTTTAGAGAGGGATCCATTATTCCGTGGTGTAAATGCAAGTAATCGCCAATTACACGCACAGAGTAGTTGAGATCTGATGTTTCTAAGGTTGTTATCCAAGATGGGTAAGTAGATAGCAGTAGATAGGAGTAGATAGCAGTAGATAGCAGTAGATATTAGTAGATGCTAGCTAGATACTAGCTAGATACCAACTGGATACCAACTAGATACCAACTAGATGTACCTAGTAAATACCTCCTTAGCACCTATTAACTTACTCTTTTTCTTTTATAAGCTCATAAGCTCATTTTATTTCTAGTAAGCACATCACTCCCCTTTTCAGATTCTTCTTGTATATATTTGTCCTATCTATGTATCTATGTATCTATCTATCTATGTATCTACTATTCAATTATCTGTCGATTTACCTAGATACGTATCTGTCGGTCTCCCTTTGTATCTGTCTATCTACTATGCATCTATATGATTGATCTATTATCTACATCCTGTGTGCGACGCGACAAAAACCTGGTGTGAGATTGCACAGCAGGCCTTTGAAACCTAAATTCAGGGTTGGTGGAATAAGCTTCCAAAAAATCGAACTTTGGAAAAAAATACGTCACGAAGCCTACCAATTTACAATTTATAATTTATATTTGATAAACCACTTAACTAAATAATCACAATCCGAAACCTTACCATTCAATCCAATCCCATCCAATCCCATCCAATCTTCCCCATCCCATAGTACCTGCCTTGCGCAGTGTATACTTAAATATACAATCCATTCTATTGAAGAAACTCTATCTTCTGCGACCAGCCAACAACTCGGCCTTGAATCACCTATGCGAATAACAATGAACGTGAAAACGTTAAATAATTCAACCTAAAGGAGTTGTCGAGAATCTGCTGAAAAACATCTCTCCGACCTTGTTTATTCTTGTATGAGCTCCCACGACAAGATGTTCTCTTATTTACGACCTCACCGGCGCATTCCCTCGACCCCTTCATCCCCGATTCCAGAAGTGCCTAGTTTTGAACCGCCAGCACGTCCAGACCATGGCCATCCTCCACGACCTCATGATGCTAGATTCGAAGATGAATCGTCGCCTGTTTCCTCTCCTCCCTTTTTACCTCCAGTCGCGCGAGTTTCGAGCGCGGGGTACGGAAATACATTTGAGAATTTGAGTTTCAATGGAAAAATCACTACACATAGCCATGATCCAAGAGGGCAGAACTGGGTGGATGCGAAACTTAATAATGGACAAAAGGGAGGTCCGGAGTTTGGAAGCAGCCAGAAATCGCCATTATATACGAGCAATCAAAAGTCTGAGTCTGCGGAAAATGCAGGACCGGTGCCAACCAGAAATGCTGGATCTGACCACTCTAAATCACAATCCAATGTCATTTACGATTCGAATACGAAGAAGTTCTTTGGTCCGATGGCTCCAGAACTAGATATTAAATCAACTGGGAGACGACCTACGGGTGCTCGAATTCCTTCTCCAACCCTCGAGGCGCCTCCCACACAATCATCTAAAGGAAGACTGAAGATGCTAAATCCCATGGCTCTTCTGGCCCGGCGAAGAACTTCCCAGGCTATAACTCAATTAACACCGGAATCACTTACGACAAACTTCAACTCGAGTGATAATTTTGATCCTCGAATTAAAGGCACAGTTGTCCACGACTTTAGTGTGCCAAGGGGACCACGACGGAACGTCTCCCACAATGATGTCAATGCAGCGGATGGGACGAGGTCGTTTCAAAGAAGTCCTTATGCGGATTCAGCAACAAGCGATAAAGCAGGAAATCACACACCGGTATTCACGGAGAATTTTGAAGAGGAGCAATATCCCGCTGCTGGTCCTCATGTACGGAAAGCCAATGACTTATCTGATCTCACCGCACCCAAGCCTATGTATGCGCGAGAAACTCAAAGGCCAGTTGATCAAGGCACGGCGTCTAAAGGAAATGATGAGTTGCAAGCTGGAGATCTAAAGAGGTTGAGTGCACAAAGGTTGTCCTCAGATGCTGGACCTTCAGTACTACCAAAAGCCGAAACTCCTGGCCCAGTGGACTCGAAACATGTATCAATTGACCCAGCATCAACTCCGCCTAAAGCATATCCATCGTCGAAAAACGGTGGTCGAGCACGAAATGTATCCGATGTTTCGGCAAAGGATATTCCAAAGCATATGAAGAGTACATCGTCGAGGTTCAGCTTCGATATGATAGGAGCTGCCGAACAGGAACGCCTGCTTGAAGATAGACATCGTCAGAAGGCCTTGGCGAAGAAGAACAATTTGGATAGTAACGACGATCAACAAATTTATGATGAGGATGACGACTTTAATTATGATGACATGATGGATGATGATGGATTGGAGGAGAGAATACCAGGTGTCAACGCGGATTATGACGAAGAGGATGCTTTTGCCGGATTCGATGGTGGCTACGAGGAAGACATACCAGGTATCAACACTAGTACCTTGGAAGAGATTGAAGAAGCAGAAGAGCAGCAAGAAATGGAACAAACTGCTCCCGTTAAGAATGAACCGCAACCAGGTCTGCTGGATGGAAACGTCGCAGGCTTTACCTTTCAACCACACTTACCTAGTCCATGAGTCCGTATACTCCTGGAGCTGCGACGACACCTCGTGATTCTAATGGACAAGTTATTGGCTTCGCTATGACGAAGTACTCGCCTTGTCTTACGCCGGATCCTCCTAGTTCTGTCTTCACACCAATCTCTCCAGATGAAAATTTGTACCTTCCAGACAAGCAGCTGCCTGAAGGGAAATCGATTCCAGTATCGAAATTTCAGGGCCTTGGTATAGTCACTGAGGTTCCACATGAATCACAAGATGATATCATCCAACAAGAAAGCTCCAAGTCAACATCATTCCCTTACATCGCAGGACTTGATGACGACGATGACCTGTATTTTGATGATGGCATGATTGGTTTAGAGGCGGAAGGTGATGAGAATAGAGATGCCGGCGGTTTTGATGAGTCTTTATTTGATAACAATGATACGGATGAATATGGACGCCCAATAAAAGATCAATTTATGGCTGCACAAATGCCTAATGTCGTTCCGACTAGTGTTGCAGGGGCAATTGAGGAAACCAAAGAAGACACTCTATCACTGCTGTCGCCAACGGCTAATCGTCCAGTTGGAGGTTTAGCACCACAACCATCCTTCTCTGAAAATAGAACCTCAGATGCCGCTCCTATTCAACTAATAACTCAATCCTTAACGCAAGATAAGCTTGCTGCATACCAAGCGTCCCTCGCAGCGGCTGCTTTCAGTGCAGCTGCCAATGGCAAATTTAGACGCGATAGTACGCAAAGTTTATTTCACATTGACTCGGATCGCGAAGAAAATCAACCTGGTCTGGTTACCGATTCTGGTCATACTTCTTCCCAATATGACCATCTATCCCCATCTTACGATGATGATTTTGATTATGATGATGCATTAGAGGATGATGAATTCATCGCTGCTGCTAATGCAGAAGCGCTTGCAAACGACCAGGATGGGTTTTATGGCCAAGAATTTGGGTTTTACTCACACCCTGCGGCTAGCTCTGCAGAGTATGTAAATGGCGGATATTTTGGTCCAAGGGGAATGGATGGGATAATAAGAAGTCAAAGCGGTAGAATTGCGTCTCGAGAACCTAACCTTACACCTATCACTGAGCGCTCGGAATACTCCAATCGGAATTCTTTCATGTCGATCTCGCATCTCCATGCGCCGTCAGGTAGCTCCCCCATGGTTAGTCCGGGATTGGCACAGTTGATGATTGCGGAGAGTTATGAGAAGGGTTCGGATGTGAGCATGGAAGCATTGTTGAAGTTGAGAAGTCGTGCGTGGGGTGGAAGTCAAGCTAGTGTGAAAAGTATGGGTAGTAATGGAAATGGAAATGCTAGTCCGAAGAGTGTTGACGGGAGTGGTAGTCCTGTGGCTGCAGGACCGCTTGTACAAACACTTTGGAGTCGCAGGAAGAGTAGCGCATTTGGTCTTGTGAATGCAGAGATGGAGAGCGGGATTGGCGATGTAGGGAATTTGAATATCAACCATTCGTCCCCCGAGTTAGAACAAGGGAATACCGCAGCGAAAGATGTATCATCAGGGAATGAGCATGAAGGGGACATTGAAAAGGTTCGAAGACCATCATTTACAAAACAACATAAATCAACCACAAGCGTAGAGTCAATTAGCTATATGAAAGAAGACGACCCGGTCAAAGGCGAACGATGGGTCTTGGAAAGGAGGAGAACAGCAGATAGTGGAGAGGTGGAAGTATTAGGTAGGGAGGTTCTGAGTGGTGGTGCGATTTAAGCTCCTTGGTTCTGTGTCGGTATAAGCTCTGCTTCGCTCTTGCATATATTTGGCGGCTAGCGTTCATTTTTCTGGTGCGAGGGAGGGAGGTTTGATAGTTTAGAGAGGTACTTTGTTGGAACTGGAATATATAGGGATAGATTGGTAGAGGGGGCGGGGGTCTTGGAGGAGATGGGTTGTGCAGGGCATAATACTATTTTCAATTAATTGTTATGATATCCAGAGTTATTATTATTTTCTTACCTAATTAAAGTTGTTCAAAAGGGATGGAGATTTATATCATTTGTAGTCCTGTGTGTTTGTTGTGTTATCGTGCTATGGATGAATGAATGGGGTGATGATGTGGGCTATTGGATTTGTTACGGGAGTATCACCATGGATTCTTGTCTCTTGTACTGGGTCTTTGACGTTTTATCTTTCGTCACCATGGCTGTGATTTGCTATTGTGTATTATGTATTATGTACTGTGTATTACTATTATGTATTATGTAGGAATAGGGGAATGAGGAATGAGAGAAGAGGTAAGAGGTAAGAGGGGGAATTCTACCCACTATAGCTTATTTATTCCTGATACGATATATCTATCATGATTTATTTATTATGTCGTATAAGTGGTGTATTTAGTGTGTTGGTAATACATATATATATATATGTATCCTGATTTTCATTCGTGAGAATGTGAGTGTGATTTTAGTTGTGATTTTGATAGATATGTAGATATCTTTTCTTGGAGATGGGGCTCCGAATTTCCTGCTGGGGAATTGGAGTGTGAGTGTGAGTGTGAGTGTGAGTGTGGAGGCGGATAGTTTGGATTTTGGATTTTGGATTATGAATATTAGATAGATTTGGAGAGAGAGGTGTGTGTGAGACTATGTGAATGGGATGATGTGGGTTGGGACTTTAGAGGGATGGTGGATAGTGGATGGATGGGATGGATGGAATGGAAGGGAGGATTGTGAGTGTAGTGTACAGTGATGAATAGGTGGATGGATGGATGGATGAGTGTTAAATTTCTGAGGGTTGACTTTTAAGGAGAAAGTTGGATTTGTATTTGGATTTAGATCTAGATTTGAGAGAGAAGAGGGGAGGAGAGATGATTGCGGGATTGGTGTGGTGATGTATTGAACTGGATTGCGTTGTATTATATTGTGGGGTGAAATTTGTTGCGTGCTTTGTACATGGTTAGATGGAAATCGGGGGAAGGGGGGGGTCATGAAGTTTTGCGAGGGGTTTGGTTTCGATAATGGTGTTGGGAAACTTGAAAGAGAGAGGAATCGAGGGAGTGGGAGTAAAAGGATTGGGGGAGACTATTTTTGGCGCGGATGAGGGATGAGATTTGGGTGAGGGATTCGGGATTGGGGGAAAGTGTGGGAGTTCCAAAAGAGACTTGGGAAGGGGGAGAGAAGATTGTTCTTGGGTGTGGTGGAGAATATCGGGGGGATAGTTAAAAGAAATTGGTATCCGGGAAGGGGTTGGGGCTCTTGAAGAGCTTTGAATGTTGGTGGTGGGTAGGTTGCGGGAGTAATGTGTTCAGAGGGTTTGGGCCTGATCGTGGAAACAGAGTGTGGTAGCTAGAAGGCATGATTTCTTGAAGGAGTGCTGGGAGTTTCTTATTCTTCAATGGAATTGTATACAGAGTATTGGAAATTTCTTGATACTTTGTAGTGGTGGTATCTGATGCCGTTAATCTTGTTCCTTCTGATCGGAAAAGATGTTTGATCATGGGAATCAATAATATTCTATGTAGAAATCAAGGGAATGATGTTTTTGCTCAAGTAGATATATATCTATATGGTAGTTCTATCTAAAATATAGCACTCAATTGTTGTGGTTCTTGGAAATGTGATTTTTTCCGGTCTCTGAAATGACACCTTGTTCTTGTCGCGCCAGGAACGTTCGTTCATCGTGGCCAGCACGACGCATAAAGATGAAAGAACCGTTCCACTAAAGATATCTGATATAAGAAAGTAGGGATACAAGGAAATGCTGTGTTAGCTTCCGGTGGTATCGTCCTTCCATGCGATGTTCACAAAATTCCCCATTTTTGGACAATAAATGAACCTCATGTAGACTATTGAATCACCAGAGACAAACTTCACCAACGGGTTCTCTATTTTTGAAATCGAAGACTCCTTGCTAACTACCCAGGTGCTTCTAACTGACATGTGTTGTCCAGGCAATACAGCACTTCTGGATTCTCCCGCCCACTACCTCCACTACAGCACCCTCGCATGTTGTTAATCTGATCATCAGATCTGTCTACGGCAATCTCGATGCTTTGAAACGTACCTGGAGTTTCTACAGCGGGGAGTTATGCGCAATGGCGCAAACACGAAATCCATGTGGCTGCCTTGTTGCTTACGTTTGATAGAAGTTCAATCATTTGAGATGAGTTATACGGCTGTTTATGAATACAGCTTTGGCTTACGGTGAGTGAGAAGTGTTCACTTTGGGGAAGTGACTTTGAAAGTGAATATGAAGTTCGGCAAAAAAGTGAAGATGAAAATGTAGGTGAATGATGCAAAGTGAATTGGTCACTTTGAACGTTGAAAGTATGAAATACGGAATTTGAATTGTGTTGGAATTGAACAAAACTACCGGCTATGATAGGAGCAGATTCAGCTTTATGTCTGAGAAAAAACTCTCCTCATTTTGATACCTATAATGCCAAGGTTTGCCCCTTCGCTTCTCTGAGAAGTCGATCACGTGCTACGGGATAATGCCAACGTCCTTAGCGATGAGCTTACTAGACGAGTAAGTAAGGATTTGAAAGCTTATTTTGACGAAAAGATTCTCTGAAAACTTCATAAAATAATCTACGAATTCGAATATGGAGATAGTGTGATGCAATGCGCTACGTTATGATACAAGCCAGAGCAATCTTCAGGTCGTGAGAGACGAGAGAGATTAAAGAGATAGTATACCAAAGCATATATACATTGTACTCTACATGATTCCAGGGTCGCTTTGTAATACTTCTATCGATATCAGATGGGTTTTGAAGGGGGCTGGGAAGGGATGAAGATGAGATGTGTGGTGAATATCGCGAAGTCCTTCACCACTGTTTAAACGAAGGACTTCACTCTATTTCACCTTCGAACACCAGCGACGATATATCATCTATGTAACTTCTTACCAGCCTCCTATCATTAAGGTAGCACACGTTCAATGTAATGGATGAAATTCGTCTTTGTAGCTTGATTTCTGCGCACAATTAAGAAACATCTAAATATCCTGATTACTTTCTCGTTTTTCTTCCTCCTACCAACACACAAGAACGACGAGTGGACAGAAAATCCAATATCAACTGAACGTACCCCTTTTCTCATTTCACGATCTGGTGAGAACAACACTTCGATCTTTCAATTCCCCTCATACCCCCATTACTTTTGTACCATCAACTACTCTGTTGAAGCTGTTTGTGCCGGTTACAACTCACGGTATTTTGAGATTTCATTTGCCTGTGTACTCTACTACTCCTCGCATCACCATCTTTCACCTAAGGCTCTCCAATTTTCGTCTCGCCGTACTTGTCCAATCAATTACACGTCGTCGTCAAGAGCGAACCTCAGGGGATTTGCCTTCTACCGTATCAGCCGTACTTGTTTACATACGGCTCACTCTTCTTCCACTAACAATTTCGAGCACTTTTGATCTTGCTTATAAGCCTCCATCTGCACCAACCCAAAATTTCTTCTAATCTCCATCTTATTTGATAATTCCTCAAGAACTTCAGTGCAAAGAATCTCCGGCAGAAAACTTGCAACTTAATTAATTTTACCATCTCAAGTTACAACTTAACTCAAACGAAACTTACCAATCCTATTTTCGAACTCGATTCTTGTCACTATCACACCGAATACGTGGAAGAACTACTACTACTACTACTACTTTTGTCGCAAATTTTATCAATTACGACGATCTCGTTCGATATATTCGACACACCTACACTTTTGATGAATCTCCTCATATTCTTCTTGTTATTTATCAATTTGCTTCGAAGATACGTCAAGATGTCTACAACACAGACAACAAACAGCGCCCCAACTTCCGCCCAAAAGAAGTCCGCCGATATCAAGTGTGTCCAAACCACCAAGGGATGGGTCTGCGCTCTTTGCTTCCCTCTCGGACATCCTAGTCGTGCTCTTGAGCGTGTTATGAACCTTGCTGAGCTCAGAACTCATGCTGCTGGAAATCATTATGCTTCTCTCGGACAAGATGAATGGGATAACTATGGCAAGTCAAATCATTCGCTACTATCACAACTCTTGCTAACTAGCATCATAGTCAAGAAATCTGTTTACTTCGAGGCACAATTTAGAAACCAAAGCAGTCTTGGTTTGAACAATGGTGTCATGTATGCCCCTCCTACTATTGCTTCTCAAAAGACACCTACCAACAAAGCCGGTTTTCTCAAGCGCACATACGTTAAGAAGGCTAAGCCTGCTACCGCCGAGTCTGCATTTGATCTCATGGAAACAATGATCAATTTCAATCCCATCGCTAACGATGATGCCACTAACTTTGCATCGCCAGCTACTCCACCATCCAAAGTTGGTCCTTCAGTCGATCCATATGCATATCTCCAATTCGATATGGCCCCACAAGATGACTTTGAAATTGTCGCATCACCAAACACACCATCTCGCAAGAAGACGACCACTCCCAAGAATCCTCTTCGTCAACGATTGAGTGAAAACCCTTCATTTGAATCCGCAGTTTCTGTTCACGGCCTCGCTAAAGTCCAAGCTGCTGGTAACATTGGCCTTCAACGATATCTCGATCGACAAGCTCGTGGTCTTCCTCGCACATCCAACATCCCCCTTCAATTGGCTCCGACTCCTCGAAACGGTACCATGGATCTTCCTCTTACTGCTGCAAACTATGCCGCTGCTGGTATGCCAAATATTCATGTTGATAAGGCTACTAGACGTACCAAGAAGATTGATCGTCGTCGTCAAGGATCCACTTCTCTCGATATTGCTGATGCTGCTGCAGTCAACACCTTTCAGTTGACTAACACTGCTACGACCAACACCTCGCTCAATATTTTTGGTGTTCCGACTGCTATCTTTGGCCAAGCTCCCGGAGCTGCTTATAAATCTCATGCATACAAATCTATCTATGCGGATGCTCCTTCGCAAGAACAGCTTCCACTTCCTGAGATTTCTTTTCCCGGTCTCTCTTTTGCAGATCAATCGCTCAACAATGCTAGTCTCAATGACATTCGCGAAGCTTTCGACTTCGACGCATATATGACAGACCCCAACTGCACCTTTGGCAACGATTCAACTGTTGAAAATACAGCTCCACAACAAAATACCGATAACTTCGATGACTTCTTCGCATGGGCTGGCATTCCAAACCAAAATGTAGCCCCCTCGAACAATACCGAGAAATTTGATGCCGATTTCTTCAGCATCGCTAATATCGCTAACGCAAACAGCTCGGAAATCGATGCTATGTTGGGTTATGATCATTCTTCCTCTCCTCAGAGTAACAGCAATAACTTTACAATCTTCAAGGCCACTTCTTTTGAATATGGTCCTGCGGGTGTCCAAGCCTTGAAGGATGCTGAAGCAATCATTTCCGCTCGCTCATCTTTATCTAGAGCTAGCTCGACTGCTTCTGCTTCTTCGTCAACTGTTTCATCACCTTGTTCAACTGGGTCGAACAACTCTTCTGTCACCGAAGCTTCCGCACCGGCCACCAAGACTCTTCCTGGCGCTGTTGCTCTAAACATGGTTGCTGTACCACTTTCTATACAAGAGCTGAAGGCTGCCAATAAGGCATTAACACAAGAGCTCGCATTCCAAAAGGGCTTGCACCAGGCAGATGTTAGACGCCGCAAGCTTGAGGAAAAGAAGGCTATCCAACGCCGCGAAAATGAAGCTCGGATCAAGAAGAAGACTGAGGCTCGATATCAGAGATTGAAGGATCAGAGAAAGGCCAATGAAGTTCTGACAAAACAATTGGCGGACCAGAAGAAAACCAACGACGGATTGAGACAGCTGCTGGCACAGGAAAAGACCTCGCGCAAGGAAGATAAGGAACGCCACAATGCTGAGTTCAAGGCACAGACTGAGCTCGTTGTTGAAGCCAATGCCACCATTTCGCGACTAAATTCCGAGATTGATATGCAGAAGAAAAAAACCCGTCAGAAGGCCCAAGTAGTAGCTACCACTAGCACTAGAGAGGCTGAGGCCATGCGAGCTCCTGTCATGCAGAAGCCTACTATCGACAGAAGAAAGCTTCTCGCTGCCAAGAAACCCATTGCTTCCGTCCAGGCACCCGAAAGACTTGTCTCAGCCTATGATCAACGCAGAAAGACAACTCACCCCTCCAATGTCGCTACCGCAATTAATTCAACTCGCGCTTCAAATTCTAGAAAGCGAGCTGCTCCTGAAGCACCAGCTACTTATTCTACTAGAGAACATGTCATCAAGAAGGCACGAATTACTGTTGCAGGCGATGCACCAAGAAAGCTCGTTCCAGATGGCAAAGGAGGATATCATTGGAGTAATAAGTTTGATACTTCAGACAAGCTTGTAGGAGAAGCAAAGAAGGAAGCGGAGGAGGAGCACAATAAACAGTGGTTGAAAATTATGAATGAGCATACGGATAACAAAGTTCCTGGCAATTCATTGGGAATTCGAGGTCATCTTCCTGATCCCAAGCGCTTCAATGATAATGGTCGATTCTAAGGGAACTGAGAGAGTTGGATGATTGGGAGATTGGGAGATTGGGAGAGTGATTGAGAGTGATTAGTTTTCCTTCGTACACTTTTGAAAGGGATACGGGATATAGGATTTTCGGATTTTGTATGAGCCTTGGGTTGATCATTAGATAAATATACGCTCATCTATATTCACGCAGTTCGGACTCTAGCGTGGCTTGAGTAGAGAGAATTCGTGGTATAATGTTCTTACCACAAAGATAAGTACTATAAATGGATACGAAGTAAAAGAATCATGAAAATTATATATTGGATTTGAATTTGAATTGATATGATTTGTTTTTATTAATAATGTTTGACGCAACTTAGGATCATTAGAGTATATAAAAAGTATGCTCTTCGATCACAAAGACTGTGATGGTGTGATGGTATTGGAGAATCGAGATAGTCTGAATAGGCTCATATGGTTGTGAAATTTAATATATTCTCATGGGGGGAGACTAGATGAGACAATCTGACTGCCCAAAAGCAATACGATGTTATTTCTTCTGAGAAGGGAGACAAATTTGAGTCTGATACTAATCATAGGTGATTACGTTGATCAAAACCTACCTAGTAATTACGACTAGAGAACATACCGAAATATTTTACTCCCCATGGAGTTTTGTTGCAAGGAATGAAATCATTTGGGAGTAGTGTCCTATTTTACTTGACTATCAGATCTTTTCCCTGTAAAAGACTTCTGCCATAGCTTTGAAGAATATCAGATATCTACAATGTAATCTGGAGAACCAATCATTCTGCTCTGGATAATGGAGTAAAGCCAAGATGTGTATCACCACCGTCTCTGGTTGCATAAATCTACAATAAGTTATCCGAGATTGGATTTCGTCAAGTCATGATCTACTATTTTCAAGAAGACTAAGCTTCTGCTCTCGACTGTATAGTAGGAGCGCGTAGAAATATAAAAATATTCTGCGTGACATAAATGTTCTCAAGTGATCGTAAATGTGCTAATGCGCGGAATGTTTGGCCTCACTTCAAATCAAGAAAGACATCCCTCTCTAGATCTTAGGAGAATACATATTGAAATTTTCTATCCTCTTGGAACAGTCTGGACAACTGGCATGTTCAGAATCGGCTAATTGGTGCCATTAGCTAGATGATGATGGAAGTCTTTCATAAGTCATACATCGGGGCTTGGATGTATCTGCTCAGTTGATGCAAGTCTAGATCTGAAATGGAGATGACTAGCCATGAATGATCTACTATGGCAGAGTGCTTAACGATAGATTTAAGGTATACTAAGCTATAAGTCTGATTGACGGCATGCAACACTATGATACTCATCACTTCATGGTTTTTAGATTTCCAAATGGCAGCAAGTTATCTCAAACCGCCCGACACAATCGCTCCACTAGAGACGACAACAATCTGCGTTATTCTAACTTCCTTCAGTTGTGAAAACATACTCAACAACACAATTTGACCCTGGATTCCTGCGATAAATCCAAATTTTACTTATGCCTCAATGCTCAGCACACATAATTTCAGAGTGAAAGCTGATGGTCATCAAGGATAGAAATGATAAATGCACATGCACGTGACACGCTCCTACGACCTAACTATGCATTGGTCAATCTCATATTGTGTAACTACACATTTGTATTCTCCATCAGCATTATTTACGACGTTAATATTAATATCTACCTACCTATATGTCTAATCTACCTACTAGGTATCGTATCTATGGATATATACAATATCCATCTGCTCTTAATTACGGTCTTATCGCAAACAATAGGCATGGAAACAACATACATACAAGGAATAGATGGCTTGTTTTCATCTCCAGGTGTTTACATCTGCACCCACACTTGATTTCGTTAAGTTCACTTATGTCAATACTCCCAATTTTATGATGTGTTCCTAATTTCACAAAGAGAATCTATACGGCCATGGAACCAGCTGTCCAAGTGAGAGATCAGTGTCTGATACTTTTATCAGAAACCACCAAAAGGGCAATAAACAATTTCATTACGCTTCACATACATGTCCGAAAACGAAAGCCAAGTTTCAGTATCCGTTAGACTCGACATCACTATTTTCTGGCTGTTGCAGTTGTGCACTCATTGTAACTAGCGTTATGTCTCACAGCGAAGCAATGATTTAAGCACCAATTATGAAGTCATCACTTCGATCGCAACATCTGATTGTCCTCTACTCTCTACCCTATATCCTCGACCATCTGACTCCGCAATACCTACAAAATGAGGTTTGAGACACAATAGTGCGATTCCCATGGAACCCTTCCTACAATCATCTTTCAGAACTCTCCGTCCTCTCCGGACTTCTTACTGCTTGTAACATGGGGTACGGTCTAAAGCTGTGAATGCACTCGCGCACTTGTATTTTCCTCCAGCTGCGCATGCAGTCCCGGGACCATCTGCATTACTTGTACCATCTGCGCGATGAGCATTAGCGCAATAGGTGGGGCAATCGAGGTTGCCGATTTCAGCATCCTATTCAAAATGTTAGAACACAGGGTGATTGCACCTTCATGGATGCAGACTTAAAGCCTTCTAGGACTTACCGAATAGACACAGCAGTGATCACCATTTGAGAATTCGCACTGACAATAGGTGCATGCTTGCACTGATAAAGCGCTCGCAAGGAAGAACATGACGATAGAGGAGATGCGGACCATTTTGACGGTAGTGAAAAGGACTTTGGATAAAATTGGTGAAGTGTAGATTATGTTTTGGATGTTGTTGGAGAGGTAGCTGGTATAGAGAGTATCTTTCAGCTGGGAGAAGTCGTCTTCTTATACACATTTCTCACAGTTGACGATCTATTCGGGTTTCTCACATAATATGGGCCGGTATGAAGCCGGGATAGATACCTGCATCGACAACTTCCTACCTAGAACCGCACACAACCCATCCTGGCATCAGTGTTCTTGTATGTCACCCGTTATTATACCGTACAAAGCTGCCAATTAGAATTCCTGCCTCCCCACCTTAGAACTCAATAACACCTTGACGGTATCCGTAGCTGTCGACTTTTAATTCTCTCTAACCATCCACCTTCATCATGTATAGATTTGGACCGATGATCACCCGAAGTCGAACCTCATGAGATGAGTTCGGACTTGGAGTTGAGTTGAAACAAGGGCAGGCAAGTTCTGAACAGTGGAATTAAACATTCAGCCTTACTGTTTTCTGTCCTTTACGCAGACGACCTGACAAACTTTAAATTAACGCCAGTGTATTGAAGCCAGGGATTCTACACTACAGCACTTGATTTCTCGAGAATAGCCCACTTATCAACGGTGTGGACGTACCATGGAGGATGTGGTTGCATGAAAGTACCAGTCATTGGTATTCATCTGCATCCGAGAATGTGGGGAGATGTGACGATCTATACTAAGATGTAAGCTAGCCCAATTAACCTTATAAGCTTTAATCAAATACCCGAAGCTTGTGCGAAAGTGGTCAGCCAATGAAATTTCTCACTCGCTACACGGCTCTCGGATCGACGGCAGCATGACTGTATTTGGAGGACGACATTTTTCTTAAGACAGAATTAAAGTTTGAATGACAATGCTTCACCGTTTGATTGGCAATGCTCGTGTGGAGAGCCTCAATCGTTCCGAATGCCGGTGGTCTTGTCATCTGAAGCTTTATCAAACTTCCATCGAAAACCTCATTCACCCACCTAGCCGTCCGTCAATAGAAAAACTTATCAGACTTGATAACTTTACGCTTTCTTGGCTGATGAGCATTATAGATAAATGAAATCAATAAAATTATCAAATCATCAAAATCATTAATCAGAATGTTCACAAAAATGATACCAGGCTTCCTCAATATGCGCTATTGATAGATAGACAGCATCGATTCAGAATTTTCTACTATTACTATGCGCTATTGTTTGACAAAAGAGTATACACTTGCCTATGCCGCCTCGATCGAACATTATGATTATAATTACCTCAAACGCATAGATCATGACCATGACATGTACGTGTATATAATATCCTACGCTTGACTGTCCAATAAAATAATACTGCTTAAGTTGCCAGTAGCATCTTAGCTATAGCAATCTTACACAACTAAACTCGCGTAGTCAGATGTCCAAAAGTTCATGCTAAAACAGTTGATTTCGTTTGACATGTAACAAAACTCGCAAATTGTACTTTTTTTTTTGGTATATCCCTTTCGTCGCTATGATAATTGTGTTGTATGAGACCGACGTTGTATGTTGGTAAATTGTTGGCATTTTGTTATCCTCAGGTTTGCGCGAAGGGGCTCTTAAGCGAACCAATATAGTACCCTTTATCTCATTCCTGAGCCTCCCGTATTATGATTTCCAGGCCCATTTCAATTGATGAAAAGCATTTATTATATGTTCATTAGTTTCCCAGAATGTACGAGTTTTAAAAAGGTTGAGATTAGATTGATGAAAAAATCACCTCTACCCTAAAGTTTCGCCAATGCTGTGGCGCGCACCCAATGCCTTTGTCAGTTTCTTGAGCTCAATGTTAAGATGTGAACGCCTTTGTTACTGGAAGTGGAAAGTGTCCATCCAGATATGTAAAGAAAATAAAGATACGTCCAAATGCGGATCATCTGTAATGTCAGGCTTTCATTACCTATGTTGTCAAGTTTCAAATTTGTTGTCAAGATGAAAATTCATTGTGTTCGCACGGAATAATCTCTGCCTAGGAATTTGAAGGCGATAAAGAATAATCTGAATGCGATTCATTTATAATAAAGAAATTCATCCCCTTTCTAATGTTGTGAAATGAAGAATAAAAAGTAAGAACCTTTGTTATCAATACTACATCTTAAATCTTCATTCTTTTTTATACTCAGATATCATTTATGAAGTACATTTTACTCTTCGCTTCAAAGTTTGATACAATTGCTATACACCAATTCATCTAGAGCAACAATCTTCCATCTATATTCACAATGGAGGAGGAAAAGGTCACAGAATTAACCCCTAGGGTCGTTCAGCACATGACAGAATTTGATACCACCTGTGGGTAAATGTTCATCACATACAGTAGTTTAATACTAATCGGCTATATTATAGTTCATCCCGGGGTAGACCCCAAAGATCTTGTTCACGCTGTTCATGGCACGGTAGTTAGTGAACTCAAGAACTGGAGATCCGCACCACCTAATTTTGGTGAAATATTCTGCCACAATTGTGGATTGGATGATAATATGGCCCGAAATGGATACACTTCACGCGTAAAGATCACATATATTAGACAAAATAATGCCATATGGGAACTTGGCGGACCAGATGGGCCGTGGCTATTGAAAGATGAAATAAACGTGGCCAAGGATGGCAAGTCGGTGGACTATACATCACAGAAATTTCTTCGGGATGCCAACATAGGTATACCCCTTGTGGAAATGTACAGATTTGGGGGCGGCGATGAAAAGTTCCATTTTACAATGATGTCTCGAGCCAAAGGAAAACCGCTAGAAGAGTTGAAAGATATTTGCGATGAACAGTACAATGATCTTTTGATGGATCTTAAAAACCATATCAAAAGCATTCGCCAGTTTACCAGTCCTCACATGCGGAGAGTAGATGGCGGAGAACTTTATGATAACTACATTGGAAAATGCTATGGATTTCCCTGTGTGAATACAGGGCGAAATGAAGAAGAATGGCTGGAAAATTTAACTCCTGCGATGCGTAAAGCCCCTTTATGGAAGCTTTGGTTGCGCAATAAAACTGGGCGTAAAAACCCAAAGACACGCGACGCGTGGATCAAATGGGTGGACGAACAAATAGACAAGGCTAAAGCAGATTTCCCAAAGGGTGGACCATATGTTCTAACCCATGGCGACTTGCATGATGGGAATATCTATGGCTCGAATGACAATGCGGATCAAAAGTGGAAGGTCACCGCAATTATTGATTGGGAAACGGCTGGCTACTACCCTTGGTGGGTGGAACTTCTTCGCGAACCTCGACTACTAAGCGGTCCCGGTACGAGCGAAGAGAAGATGTTGGAGTTTTGCCCCCCAACATTCAAGAAGGAAGATTGGGCTCCGATGTTAAAGGCCATAGAGAGGGTTCGTAAGCTATATGAAGCTGGAGGAGGTGACGGTCATAGCATTCATGGAAAGGGTGGCGCAAATAGATGGTATAGCAAGGAATTTTGTGAATGCCATAAAGTGAGGAAGACGTTTCTGGAGTGGAATATGGGGTGGCCCCAAGAGCATCATGATGTATTTGAGCCTGAGCTTTCGGATCCGGATGATGATCCAGAAAAAGAAAACTTAACCTACAAGTACGACTTTGACAAAGAGGACAGAGAGTTTTTGCGGTGGTACAACACAATTGGTACATAGTTCGTTGAGCTCGCTGATGCTTATTCCAATATTTGAGAATTTCGCATTCTTTTACCATACAGCGTACTGTGCACCTTCTATTGGTATATTACTTTGAAATATTTAAGATTCACATTTATGATACCGATGTACAAGGATAAAAGTGAACAAGTTTGTTTGTATGCAAAAGCACGAACCGCTACTAGCAAAACCGCCGAGCAATTGAAAAATAGCTTGGAGAAAAGAAATGAAAACTTGTGGGCTGAACACTATGACTGGCTGTATAGGCTAACGGCTACCATACGTTTAAGGTACTGTATGTCCTACCCATATTGATATGGCATATGAGCTAGTCAAATAGCATCCGATCCAGCAAGTAAACTACCCCCGTCAAAGATCCCGACATCTGTGTCTAGTTCATCATCTTCTAGTAAACAAATATTGCCTGGCGTCGGGAAAGTGGATGGTACTGTTTACTAAGTCAGCTCTGGTGCCTAGCAGATTGCAACTCATGAGAATACTCACATGGAGTCACTCCTACAATTTCCTCAAACGTTGCCCAATCGGCAAGTTTGATCTCCACCCACCTCCTAGAACTGGCCTGGAGATCGACCGGGCCCAGCTTTGTAAACGACAGCCTCTTGTCTCCTCCAGGTCTGTGTAAGAAGACCGCTGTCTTCTTTTTCTCATTCTTACCGTATGGGCTATCAAGAGATTCGGCGCAAAGAACTGCAGTATACTGATCATTTTTGATAGCGATTTCTGCATTTTTCAACTGTTCGCTCTTGACTTCACTCGAATCCGTATTTGCGATTAGAAATTTTTTCCAGTCGATACGCTTCTTTGGTTCCTCCACTGTCTCTCGAGGGTGTGATGGTAATATCCATCCGTTACAATTGTAGCAAAATTCTTGAGTGGGAAAATGTTCAATGCCACAATTCCAGCATTTCAATGGAATATAGCAAAGCTTAGGTGGGCTGTGTGTCTCGCCACAGCTTCTGCATGTTCGTGGAATCTGGGAATTTTGGTAGGTCATCTTGAGCGATCGATTGCTGAGTGATTGATTATTGGGAGATTGATTGTTGAGTGATTGATTGCTAAACTTCAATGAAATGAGCAAAGAACTGGTTTTTATATTATTGAGAGATATCTCAGGCACCCTATAGTCACGCTGAAAGAGAAATGTCAAGCTCAAATGTTCATTTATCAACCAGACAGTTCTACTAGGGACTGCTCGAGACAAAGAGTCCTGCTATCGATACTTCGGAGCTAGGAGTCATGTTCCGCATGCGTAAGTAAATAATGTTTAAAGGAATACAGTTGATCAAGATCGAATCGGATGGGTTCAAGACAATGAAGTGACTGAACTCAAAGGGAAACAAGATTGTGGGTATCTCTTCTCTGACAGAGAAAGAGATTTTTATCTACAAGAAAAAATGTGTTTCATCAGATCAAAGAACTCTTTGCATGGCCAATCAGTGGAATTGTGAATTTATGAGAACAGTATGTTTTTGAATTTTGCTATTGTGTGTATTTGTTTTGACTCCAAGAGAGCATATGCAGTATTGGTACTTGTAAGAATTGAGTACGTAATTCTAGCTACTTTCGTTGGGCTACTGTGTCAAATTTCCCTTTTAAATCTAATTAATGAAGGAGTATGCGAGGGGTACAGCTGTGCATGAGTGTATGTGTTGGTATCCCTCAGGTTAAGATTATTCTGGTGTCCACTAAGGCTTCATAAAACAATGACAAAGTGTATCGAATACAACTCTTGAGAAAACTATTTGCTCAGATTATTGACATCACAGATTCTACGAAACCCTTAGAAACGAAAAGAAAATCTTGATCCTCCGCCTTTCAATGTCCTACTCTTATCTCCAGTAAGTCAATGAAATAAGAATAGAAATCAAATATCCACATTTATGCTCGCCATCACACAACATAGCTCCTTTCAATTGCGGTTTCGACATTCTTCCTGCTCGCTGGTAAGTTTAAAGACTTTGTCCATCCTTTCAATGGCCAAATTCAAAACTTCCGGTTCCATCGCAAATGAGATTCTTGTCCAAGCTGGCTCCAGAACGTGATATCTCTTTCCTGGCCCTATCAAAACTCCATTCCTCTTAAACGAATCTACCATTCCTAATTCCTTTTCCCAAGTTCCCTCTGGTACTATCCTTGCCAAGATAAAGAGTCCTGCGTTACAGGGAAAATATTTGATGTCATACTTTTTGAAAAGAGCAATCATCTGAGTGTAACTGTTTGATAAGCGTTGGGATTTGGGCGAGAGAAGACCAGGAAGCCTCGCGGATCGGAGAAGAGAGGTGGCGTATACAGTGGACATTGTTGATAAATTCATATGAGAGGCAAGAGCTAGAGCATCGCGGAGAGAAGAATTGTGCTGCGTTATCGTTACGCCCTATATAATAGCATCTGTATTAACATCATGGTGCCAATCTATAGAATTGGACGGGTTGGTTCTGTGTTGGGCCGGTGGGTGGAAAAACATACTCATTTGATACCACTAGCTCCCAACACCTTGCTTAAACTCCACACGACATGTACTCTGCTCGAATTTATTCCCAGACTGACTAGATCCAATGAAGATACACTGGTGAAGCCTACTCGTTCTTATGTCGTAATATCCTTAGTATCAAAAGTACAGAGTGCAAATACTTCATCGGAGATAAAATGAATATCATGCTTTTCACAGAACTGGAGGGAGACGAGTAGAGAAGGGGTATAGCAGCGGCCAAGCGGATTATGTGGATTAGCAATAAGTAAGGCTTTGACCGGGACGGAAGAGGTAGAATAAGCTGTGTCGAGAGCATCAAGGAGCGCAGTGGTGAAAGAATCCGAGAATGTCGAGACGGTTACAGGGATGAGAGTTGCTTGAGAACGAATTCGCAAGAATATATCATTGCCATCTAGTGGTTTTCTTTATCAGTATGAAGGCTAGCAGTCACTCGATTTGTGTATCACTTACTCCAATAAGGATCGGGGATCAGGACACCTTCTGTAGTATCGCAAATGTTGTACAGAAGAGCATCTAAGCAAGCTGCAGCTCCTGGGGCTATTACGAGATCCTTGGGCAAAACTGCAACATCTGGATCAAAGTATTGATTCAAAAAGTTTGACATGGCGTCTAGTAGTTCAGGATCTCCCCAGAAACCAGTCGGCCATGAAAGATGCTGAATGGACAGACAGGGACATTAGCATCTCTTCTGGTTTATTCACATGTAAGACAATCTTAAGTATACTCAAATGAGTTTGATATCTACTCTTGATGCATTATTGCAACATGTCAAATATCTCTTGTCTAACAAGCCAATTTTCAGCCATTGAGAGATCGATTTCGACATTGGAACGTTCCGTGCTTTTTGTGGCTTCTAGTATTGTTCGAGGAATTCGAGCCATAATTGAATCGAGATTATCCCGTCATCTGTTGGATAACTCGAGCATGATTGGTTGAACTTTGGGTTAAGTCTAAAGGAGGTAATTTTCTCAAGGCCAATTTTGATAAGTGTGGGCAGGTTTGTGGTGAGCTGGGGTGAAGGAGGAGAAGTTAAGTGAGAGGAAGCAGTTTGTTGGGGGAAGGCTCGATATTTATGCTCATCGTAGAGTTACTAGACGCATTACCACTATTATGGAAGTAGAGAGGTCATATTATCGGTTCTTGCCATAAGTGATATGTAAACAATTCTAATCTAATTAGATTAGTTCCAAGCGTGACGCTGAGAATCAGTGCTCAGAGGAAGTACAGTATTGCCTACAGTTTCACTTTGTGCATCGTCAATCTCGGCAGAAATCTCAATACATAATATAGAAAAATACATGTGGTTACGCTTTAGCCATCAAGATAGGTCCAGTCCTATAGAGTCGTGCCAACAGAGCGAACGCCCCAGATAAAAGTATCATTGCTCCACAAAAAGCTTGTAGCCCCTTCCACCCGCTATTGGCATCCAATATTGCTCCCGCAATCGGTTCTCCAATGAGCATACCGAACCCTGAGATACTGAGTGCCATCCCAAGTTGAATGCCGATAGTTTTCAGATTTGGCGATATCGTTATGACAATGATGCCGGGCAATGAAACAAATGCGCCGCAAAAGAATCCATACAGAAAACAGAAAACCACTATTCCAGCCTCCGATGTAATTCCAATCCATCCAAAGCACAGAACCGTTACTACAAGTGCAAACGGAATAAGGATAATAAGGGGTCCGATCTTATCGGCGAAGAAGTTTGGAATCAATCGACCAATTGTAGAGGCCGCATTGGTGATTGTCAAAAGATAAGACGCTAGTAAAGAACTGATACTAACCTGCTCTTCGGCATAGAGCTGAATATAAAAGAAGGTTACGTAGATACTCATGAACCCGAAGAAGTCGCTGAGACAGAAAGCCAAGTATGGTTTTGCCTTGAAAGCCGTCAGGTCTAGAAAATCACGTCTTGTAGTACTCGACTCGCCGCGCAGCTTCATGCCAAGTACCGGGATCACTAGAGTAACGAGCATTATAAACGCAATGATTCGAGTGGCCCATCCAAAGCCAACACGAGGCTGCAGTGCCCGAAATATCAAAGTATAAAACACGCCACCTGAGTTCCACATGTTAGCAATAACTTATCGGGGAGCTAGATTTAGTTTATATACTCACCAAGACTACTGCCACTGGCAGCGATCCCAAAAGCAAAGGCCCTTTTGGTCGAGAAGTACTGTGATACAATAGCAACACTTAGCAAGAACAGCATGCCGAAGCCTATTCCCGTTATCAAGCCCTGGGCGAGAAATGCTTGCCAATACTTGGTGCATAAACTCGTCATCATCATGCCGAATACGGAAAAAAGGCACCAAGGGAAAGAAGCATCCGCAGATATCCCATATCAAAAAACGGGCCCGTTACAGCACTTCCGAGAAATAACAGAAAGCCTTGGAAGGAACCAATCCAAGCAATGTTTGAGGACGATTCCGAAGCCAACATATCAAGTTGATAGTATGTCTGATATACGCCGAAAGTGTTGACAATTCCCCTAGAACTAAATGTGAGAATCGTGCATGAAAACCAATGGCATCATAGGTTTGCCTACCAAGTATTAAAGAAAAGAAAAAACGCGCCGGTGACCTGCGTCCAAGCAACCAAACCACCGTTGGGTGGGGGTAGATCTTCATGGTGATGACCATCAACTTTCGATTTCTCGGTGGTTGAGATGGCATTTCTATTGACGGGAAGACTTTGTGTTTGTTCTGCCACTGGCTGTTGCTCGGAACCATCATCAGAAGTCATTTTGCGCACTCACTTGACTGGGGATGGCCGCTACAGAAGTGACGAAGGTGGAGGAAGAAATTTCTGGGTACAAGATGGACAAGATAGAGGCAGGCACACAGATAGCAAAATAGGATGGACTCGAAACAAATGGGTAGAATATCGTGGGGGGGAGGAGGATGAAAACGCGCAACGTGAAATCTGTATCAATAGATACCTAGGCACTTGGTAATAACAGTGTTATGATCAATATTGAGACAACTAATGCTACCTATGTAAAACTTTGGCATTGTGAGGGAAAAAAAGATGCTCTGTCGAAAGTGGTGATAGCTTCCTTGCGAGTCGTATGTTTGTTGGTTGAGGATAATCCGCATAAATTTGCATACGTGTGTTATTGAGCGCCACCAACATTATCTGCAACCTTCTTAATTAAGAGCATACTAGCTTCAGTAGCACTGTTTTGGATTGGTTCCAGTTTAATGGACCGCAAAAATGTGTGTCGCTTACTGTGCCGCATACTAGCTCGATATTCCTGAATTGTTATGCGTAATTTCTAGCAATGGCCAGATAGCGCTACCCCTGCAAATCGAGCATCGTACCTTGGCCGTACAAATCTACCATAGGCGTCATAAGCCCTATAGATTGTTGACTTCTAAAACCAATGACATTGACAGAAATTATTGGTCAGGGAGTGACAAATAAACATTGGTTGAGATGACGCCGCTGGCATCTATGATCATATTACATCATAGGTAAATTGGACACCAGATTGACCTACAAGTATCCCTAGAATGAATAGCGCGACCTGCTCATACCGCACTGCCAGTTATGTTTATCAGCTAGCAGAAAATGATTTTTTGATCAAGATTAAGTTTTTTCTGGATGGTCTAAAACTTCTGAAGGCGGTTTGAGAGGTGATGCTCTTGTGATATTGCACGGAGGTGTCGAAGTCGCTGCCACGTCGAATTATCACTTGGTCTAGTATGTCTGTTGTGGATAATCTAGTGACGCATCAGCCATTCTTATTTGAAAGAAACCCCAACATGTTGGTGCTGATTGTGAGACAAGAGGCACAGGCCGGAGGAATTCCCTCATTTCGCTCGGCTGGCATCTCCCGAGCTTATGGTTCTGTGTTAGGCATAGCAAAGAAAAGGCCAGAGCACGAGCAAGGCGGCACAAGTTGCAGCTTGAAAAACAACAGAATTTCTCCTCGTCCCTTTAAACCTACATCAGATCAATGGCTCTCATATCTTGCCTTAAATAATCCGGGATTCAGTTTCACGTATCAAAAGTCCACCATGGACAAAAGATCTATAGTTCAACAGTATCGCCCTGAGCTTGCTCCATTTGAAGAGATCTATCGCGATATTCATCGAAATCCAGAACTTTCTTTGCAGGAGGTCCGTACGGCCGCCCTCGTCGTCGAGTTTCTGGAATCTCTTGGTGGCTACCGAGTCATCAAGGGAATCGGAGGACATGGCGTTGTTGGAATCCTAGAAAACGGATCAGGAGCTACAGTTCTTCTTCGCGCCGATATGGATGCTTTGCCTCATTTAGAGAACACAAATTTAGAGTATGCAAGTACCAAGATTGTTAAGGATAGTGACGGAAAAGAAACACCGGTGATGCACGCATGCGGTCACGATGTAAGCGTAATCAATTTCCCTGAAGCCTAGCTACCTGTGGCCATTCTCCATCTGCATTCTCTCCACGTCCCGATGAAAGTGACTTTACAACCACATATCCAAGGACTTCCATGAGAAGATTTTGCTAACCCATATTGTAGATGCATACTGCTGTGTTACTTGCTGATGCAAAGATGCTTCTCGACGCAAAATCCGAATGGTCTGGCACTTTAGTTGTCTTATTTCAACCAGCGGAAGAGCTGGCAGTGGGTGCACGAGCTATGATCGAAGATGGTCTTTACGATACATCCAGATTCGCTGTCCCTAAGCCAGATATAGTACTTGGACAACACACGCATGCTTTCAAAGCTGGTATGGTTGCTCTTGGCGGAGGTGCGATCTTAACAGCAGTGGATTCATTCGATGTGCGGATTTTTGGGAAAAGTGGGCATATTTGTCGTGCCGACTTGTGTGTTGATCCCGTTGTGACTGCCAGTCACATTGTGGTGCGATTGCAAAGTATTGTCACAAAAGAAGTGCGACCAGAAGAATTTGCGGTGATTGGATGTGCCAGTATTCATGGTGGTAGTACCGCAAACATCATTCCCGACTTTGTGGATCTGAAAATTTCAATCCGCTCATACAATCCAAGTATTCACGAACGCTTAGTTGCAGCGGTCAAACGTGTCGTTTATTCGGAGTGCGAGATTTCTGGTTCTCTCGCCATACGAGAACCGGAATTCACAACGACTATGCACGCTCCTCCCACTGTCAATGATTTTCCAGCGGCGGAAATACTGAAGAAATCTTTTGGAGAATATTTTGGAAAGAACTTGATTCCGGCTGATCCTTTTGGTGCCAGTGAGGATTTCTCGTACTTGGCGTTGGGGTGTGATGCTCCTTATGTTTTCTATAACTTTGGTTGTGTCGACGAGGATACTTGGGAAGACGCAAAGACTAAAGGAACCATGGAGAGTATTCCCCATAATCATTCTGCATTCTTTGCACCAAAGATCCAGCCAACAATGACTACTGCTGTAGATGCCTTCGCACTTGCGGCTTTGACATTCTTCGATAGAGGCGGAGTCAAATGATTAGGTACTTAGGACATGTCTGTGGGTGATGGGTGTGGAGAATGTGATGAGAAAATTTGTACCCTTAGATTCCCCGACGAAGGATGAAAATGGAAATCTGTATTTATATATTGTGCTTTCTAAAGCACTTTACAACGCAATTATAGTTTATTTTTATTAGTGACCATTCATTTGACCTCTCCGCCACCAAGGATATCTTTTATATTGATTTCCCCACTACCTCGGGGTAATGGTTGTGCCTGGTTAGGTCCTTCCTTCCAGCCAATCATGTATATCATCCTAAATGTTGCGGGTATTGTACCATCCTCGTTTCCATGCAACTCTCGATATATTCCCTCGTTTGCAAGAAGTACATCCTTCTTGATTGCACCTGCCTCCCTTCCTAATATGGCATTGCTTTCGCCCATCTGTTGTAAATCTTGCATCAGGGCAAATGTGTCGGGAAAATCAATGATAATGTCGTCGATATCTACCGTTAACATCTTGAACCCCGCTTTCTGCAATAAACCTCCAATGTCTCTGACATCCGCTAGCGGAGAAACGTGCGGAGAAACTCCACCTCTTCGCTCCATATCTGCGAGCTGCAATGACGTTCGTAATTCAAATAACGTATCGCCACCAAACATCGCTGCCATAAATGGTGCATCAGGCTTCAATACGTGATTGATTTGCGCAAGGAGTGATGGAAGGTCGTTGATCCAATGCATGCTCAAAGAGCTCAGCACTGCATCAAATGTTCCAGATTCATAAGGTAATCTTTCCTCATCATCGAGCACTTCGCGTGTGAGGTTTATTTCCTTGTTAAATGGCAAATCTTCGTCGCGGTATAACATATTCCGAGATGAATCTGCAGCTGTAAGACGGGCGATACGGGAGGAAAGTGGAGGAGATGTAGTTTTCGAAAGGTCAATATCTGGATCTGGTAAAGTGAGAGCCTTTGCTATGTTACATGAATTTGCGCCAAGATCTAGGACATGATCAAAATGCCTGTTGATATCCTATAACATTATAAGCTACTTGATCTCAATTGAACTGGACAATCTCACCAATAACCTTTCTGAAAGTCGCATGGCTACTTCATCCTTCAAATAATCCACCTGTCTACTTTTCTCCTTGTCTAAAGCTGCACGTTCTTTTTGTAGATATTTAGTATGTCTATCGAAGACCTGCAAAGTAGGTGATCCCGGGGATTGAACTGCATAATTTCGAGATATACATAGTCTTCTTGTTATCAACGGCCTTGGAAAAAACGGTCGTAAAGCTAAAGACTTCATGTTTGGGAGAGAAATGTATTGTAGACAATTATATAAATAAGAAGAACATCATCGACAATCCTCAAGTCAAAAGGATCAGATATTAAAGTTTGTGAATGGTGACGTTAAGGATAATCATTTGCAAGCAAGGCTACTAGGTAAGCTTGAGACTAGAGAGCCTTACATTACCTAAGAAATTAATCCCTGTTATTCCCTAGCAACGATGTCCCTTATGTCGCGCGTACGGAGTGGAAACTCAGTACAATTGAAACCTCTCTAGATTCCAATCTCACCAGGAATTCATCAACAACAAATATCTTTGCGTTTGATATCTTCAAGAAAAGGGGCGAATACGCCATAATATTTTGCGGATGGCGGATCACGAGCAAGGCTAAGTTTCTGCAGCCAACAGCGCACTTCGAAAAGCACCAGTGATTTGCCAACACGATCCGGAGTCCGTGGAAAGAATTAGGATCAGAGACCGACAAACAACTTTGACAATTGGTTATAGGCGCGCTCCGTATTATCGTCTCGATTTGTTCTCCGACCGCAAGAGCATACAGCCCGATTCAGAAGGCCGACAGAAAGACGGCAACGATGGCGTCCTCTGCAGGAAGCTTTCTAGGCCGTGGGAGCTCCAGCAATAACTCGAATATGCGGGGTCTCGTGCAGTTCATTGCAGATCTTAGAAATGCTAGAGCTAGAGAGCTTGAAGAAAAGAGAATCAATAAAGAACTGGCGAACATAAGGTTGGTTATTACTTCTCTGCAGGTCCAAGGTTTCTCATGCAAGGCTGACTTTTGTTCCTCATTCAAGACAGAAATTCAAAGGTCCGAAATCTTGCCCAGAATAAAGGGGTGTGGCTAATTGTGACGAACAGATGGAAATCTCAGTGGGTATCATAAGAAAAAATATGTCTGCAAGGTAATTCGTTCGACCGCCTTTCACGGATATGCCTCTAATAAACACCGTTCTAGCTGTTATACATATATATCCTGGGGTGGAATGTCGATTTCGGCCATCTTGAAGCGGTCAACCTTATATCTGCCAATAAATATTCGGAAAAACAAATTGGATACCTGGCAATGACCTTGTTTCTCCACGAAGGGCACGAATTGATACATTTAGTCGTGAACAGTATCAGGAAAGATTTGACGGATCACAATGAATTATATAACTGCTTGGCATTGCATGCCATTGCTAATGTAGGTGGAAGGGAAATGGGAGAGGCGCTGAGTGGGGAGGTTCACAGGCTCCTGATATCACCGTGAGAAAGTCCGCTTCATCTTCGTTCTGTATTGTCTCTAATACCACAGCAGGACATCCAAATCGTTCGTCAAAAAGAAGGCAGCTTTGACTCTCCTCAGACTCTACCGAAAGCATCCCGACATAGTGCAACCGCAATGGGCGGAACGGATAATATCTCTAATGGACGATGTGGATATTGGTGTTGCTCTCTCAGTCACCTCCCTCGTGATGGCTCTTGCTCAAGACAATCTCGATCAATACAAAGGATGCTATGTTAAAGCTGCAGCAAGAGTCAAAAGGATAGTCGTGGACCAAGAGTTCACCCAGGACTATCTTTATTATAAGGTACCCTGCCCGTGGCTTCAAATGAAACTTCTAAGATTGTTACAATATTATCCCGCATCAGGTATGTTCCACTATCCGCAGCCAAATATATACTAACAATGCTTAGAGGATACACATGTCAGAAATCTGATTCGGCAGTCCATACAAAAAATTCTGGATGATGCGTCTGATATGCCTAAGAACGTTCAGCAGAACAATGCGCAGAATGCTGTTTTATTCGAGGCCATAAACCTTGTCATCCATCTTGATACCGAAGTAGATCTGATGAAACAAATCTCAACAAGACTAGGAAAATTTATCCAGTCACGGGAGACCAACGTTCGCTATCTCGGCTTGGAAGCCATGACACATTTGGCTGCAAGAGCTGATATATTAGATCCTATCAAGCAACATCAAGCAATTATCATTGGGTCCTTAAAGGATAGAGATATCAGTGTGCGGAGGAAAGGTTTGGATTTGCTATACAGCATGTGTGATCAAACTAACGCACAACCAATTGTTGGCGAGCTCTTGCAATATCTTCAGAATGCGGATTTTGCAATCCGAGAGGAAATGGTCCTAAAGATTGCCATTTTGACCGAGAAATACGCTACTGACATTCAGTGGTATGTTGACATTTCATTGCGACTCATTGCAATGGCGGGAGACCATGTCAGTGATGAGGTTTGGCACCGAGTCATTCAAATCGTTACCAATAATGAAGAGCTTCAAGTATATGCAGCACAGAACATTTTACAGTATGTAAAAGCGGACCACTGTCACGAGACACTTGTAAAGATCGGCGGATACATACTTGGCGAATTTGGCCACTTGATTGCAGAGGACAAAGGTTGTAGCCCAATCGAGCAGTACCTTGCATTACAAGGGAAACTACAAGGCTGCTCATCCAGTACAAGAGCCATTATATTATCATCTTTTATCAAATTTGTCAATCTTTTCCCAGAGATTAAACCTCGACTTATGTATGTATTCCAAGCATACAGTCACACCTTAGACTCTGAGCTTCAGCAAAGAGCTTGCGAATACTTGGCATTGGCAAGCTTACCAACTGACGATCTTCTCCGAACGGTCTGCGACGAAATGCCACCCTTTCCGGAACGTCAGTCAGCACTACTTTCACGGCTACATCAAAAGCATGCTGGAACTAGTGATAAGCGAACTTGGATTGTGGGAGGCAAAGATGCTAATGCTAATGAGAAAGATTTTGTGGTTGCCAAGAATCCAGGTCTCAAGCGTACTTTCAGTACTAATGGAGCCAAGTCCACTGCCGCCGGAGCCAACGTGGGGGTCAATGGCACTAACGGACACAACAATGGCTCCAGCAACGATCTTGCTGGCTTGGATCTTATGGATCAAGGTCCGTCGGAACCAAAAACCCTTAAAGCGCCAAACTTGGCAAGCGCAGCCCATCTTTCACCGGATTGGGAGATTGGATACAACAAACTTCTTCTCAAAGCGGAGGGAGTTCTATATGAAGATGGACAAATTCAAATCGGAGTGCGATCTGAATATCGTGGCCAAATGGCATGCGTCATCCTATACTTCTCCAACAAAGCCCCATCTCCTGTCAGTTCTTTTACCACAACACTTGATCTCGAACCAAGCGAGAAGGAGAACCTGTCATGGGAAGTAAAAGGTCTGCCTGAAAGCACAATTCATCAAGGTGCACAAAGTCAACAAATGATAATGTTTGAGTCTAAAAAGGTGTTTGAAAGGAGCCCAACGATTAGAATCAGTTACCTGGCTGGAGCTCTTCAAGCTTTGACACTGAAGCTTCCAATTACCATACACAAATTTATGGATCCAGCAGAATTGTCAGCGGATGATTTCTTCAAACGATGGAAGCAAATCGGAGGAGCGCCACGTGAAGCTCAACGCATCTTTGGTGTCAAGGGTGGTAAGGGCGGCAGTCGTGAATTTACTGATGGATTTGTTCGTAGGACCATAGATGGTTTTAGATGGGGTATCTTGGATGGTGTGGATCCAAATAAGAAGAACTTTGTTGGTGCCAGTGTGTTGCATACTGGTGAGGGAGGCAAATTTGGTTGTTTATTAAGACTGGAGCCGAATTATGGAACCCAGGTTCGTATTCCCCATTCCCTCAAGCTTCTAGTGCTAATTATGACATTCAGATGGTTCGCCTCACCATCAGAGCAACAGATGAAAGTGTTCCACCAGTTCTAATTAAGCTTATGGAGGAAAGACTGGCTGTTGGTATTTCGACGCAGCCTGAAATGCAATTGCCACCTTCACGGAGAGAAATCTCTGATGCGTTTGGTAATATTCTTGTTGAGTAAGAACACACAAACTTCTCACAGTCAGAGAATGAGATTAAACGCAGGATGTAAGATGCGTAAGGGAGATATAAAATAATGTGGGAAAGGATTTTAAAGGGATGAGGTTTTGAAATTATAGTGGTATTGATAGTGATGGTGAGCCATTTCAAAGCAATATTGTGGGCATGAGCTTCTTTTCTCTCCTGATTGTGGAATTTCTATGGGTAGAGTTTAGTAAATAAAAAACACTACGTAGTAAATCGGTAGCTGCGAATTCAGTGAAAAATGCGCGCATCCTATAGGTACCTAGTCATAGTCAAATTTTGGTATTCTGACTCCTTGCTACTGGTGTTTTTATGTGTGCTGCCATCGCTTTGGCTTCTGGCTAGAGATGCCTCCTCGAATGATCTATAGTTGAGCTTCGGCCATTTCTTCCTTTTTTTTTGCTACTCCTCATTCACATAGGAGTTCAGGTGATTATGAGACCTCAGCGTAGCTCTCTTGAGATATTCAACATGAATATGTTGACTTTGCCTTGAGGGCCTAAACCACGTGAAGTACCTTTGCGTGGATACGAAATCTGGATGGGTTATACAAGATAATGGCTTCAACAACTAGGTGCTACCACCTGAACCAGTTCAAATGAAAGTTGGCAGGCATTAAATGAGCCCCTGGATACGCTCTTCGAGTCGTCGTACAGCCATTACCAGATACATTTTCTGGGGCATGCGCAAATTGGTCTTACATCTCATATTACTACTACGGAATCTATATACTAAATAGGGCAAACAGAAGTCTGATAATTACAATCATAAAAACCATAATATACAATTTTTATGCCCGTGTGGGGTATGGCCCTAAAAACCGTGATATACATACAGTCTTTATGATTGCTTAGGGGCAAAAACCAGCTGCCGACGGTCACTTTTTAGTATGGACGAAACTACACAGAATCTGACAACCAACGTCTACCCTAGTGCCGAATACGAGGGGTTTATGTACCCAGTAATTTGTTCATTTCTACACCCAAAACTTTGCTAACTGACGCAGATGCCCTAGTCCCCGATCCAGCTCCTATAGATATGACTCAAACCCCGCGGTCTCGATGCCATATTTGATCTCATCACACCACAAAAATTAAACGACTACCTCATCTTCCTTGAGAAGAGCCTCGCAACACAAAACGAAGAGAAAGAGAATCTCGAAGCTCTTGGGAGATATGGCAGACAAAATATGTTCCACTACCTCTTCTCAAGTACCGCAGACACTGGTACGCATGGTCACACAAAGGATGAACTTACATCTGAAGCAAGTCCTCTCATCATCACTGGGACGGATGTAACTGCTGTTAATGTTAATAAAACTGGTTTTTGATTTTATGTGCTTGAATCTCCACGTGTGCATGAATCGCTCGTGGAAGAGATTAGAGCGACTTTCACGAGAGCAGAGGATATCGTAATGGGACCGACTACCAACGCATGTAAGTACGTGCACGCATGTATTGATGAAGCTCTGTGAATGGGCACCACTGGACTTTCGGAGTTGCAGAAAGAAGTATTATTAGGTGGTATATATATTTATGAGAGCTTCATGCCAGCTGAAACTGATGAGATAGACGGGGACAAAGAAGAGTTGAGAGTCGCGATGGGGATGAAGGATACAATTTTGTTAAGAGATGCGTGTGGTAGTTTGAGGACGATTTCATAGCGCAGTTTAGAAGACGTGTTTGATAATCCTTTTGTGACATGTATAGGAAAACAGCTGGCATCTGAAACGAACACTCACATCTGGACCTCCTTTGTGCCCTGATAATTCATCATGTTATCCTGAAAGATATTGCAGTACGTCGAAGGCCCAGAAACATTTAACAACTTTTGAATGTAAAATTACATCAACTATAACCACACTCCCGATACTCCTTCACCCCAAACCTTTCCATCAAGCCCTTCACCCTTTCCTCCCCACACCATCCCTCGAAAACCAATTCTACCTCACCAAAATAGTTTTCCCCCTCCCCAACCCTTACAAACCCCACGCTTTCAAAAAGTCCAATACTCGCTACATTCTTTCCTCCAATCTTAACCCTCAACTGCAGCAACTTCATTTTCCCCTCTTCCCTCCTTCCCTGAATACCCTTCCTATACTCCTCCAAAATGTTCTCCAGATTGCTTCTTAAATATTCAAGGAAAGTAACAACCGCCGATCTTCCCAATCCCTTACCTCTTGCGCTGCGTTCCGCAATCATAATTTCAATTTCTCCTATGCATCCTTCTTCATCCTCGTCTGCTTCCGATATGAACAAATTGACATCCCCTATCATCTTTGCAGGTGCATCTGATACTCCTTTCCTAATCTCTTGCGATGCATTCCTTTCTTCAGGTAAACAAATAATAAATGTCAATTTATCATGATCTGTCCTCCAACTCCTCTGCATATCATATTCTTCCTCGAGACTCAGGGGCTCAGAGGCGGTTGCTTGTTGGATTTCCTAGAATTATATTAGTCCCACTCTGAGTTCTTGAAAAAGTAGTTCATGTGTTGCGTATACATGCAAAACACAAACACATACCTCATCTTTCATCCACTCATGATATGTAATCACGTGTGATTCTTCATATGGTACGAAAAGTATCTTGTTCGTGGAAATGGCTGACATATGTTAGTTTTTTCATGAGAGGATTCAATGTGAACAAGATACAGTACCTGTATGTTCGTTGATCAACATCTTGATCTATGTAATATGTATATGTGTGGATGTATTTTCTTCAGCTACACAAAATGTGGAGACACAAGTACCTCGACAGAAAATTCGGAAACAGGATACGTTCACGTGATTCCCAAGACTGGACGTTATTTTCAGGAGTAAAGTTTCTCGTTCTCAAACCAGCAAAAGTGGGCAACTGATAATGCCAAAGTTGTAAATGTTTTGAGCTAGATTTTTCGCGAGATAAAATAAGCCACATAGGGGCTTGATCGTTGAACTCAGATTTGCCGTGAGAATTCTAGGATCGTCTTTCTGATATCCTATCCAAATGGTTCATTGCATGTCTGACACTTCGCTGCAGATTCGTAAAGAAAGTTCTTGTAAATCTGAATTCTTTAGGATTCATTCTTTTGCCTGTAGCGAACTTGAACATTTTAAGATCACGTGGCACTCAAATCACTTCGATTTTCCCTCTCGAGTTTGGACATTTGGGGCGTCCCGTTTCTTCACTAGATCCGAAGTTACTTTCAATAATGAATCGAAGATATAGCGGGATTCAAAGATATATATAATACGTTTTATTAATTCTTGTGATCCAATGCTCGGGAAGAAGAGAAATCCCCGTTGTTCTTTTAACAATGTATAAACCGAGGATTATCTCAACACCGATCATGACTTTATATGACTGAGAGAGGCTAGCATTCGAATACTGCCGTGCAGTTGAATTAAGTCGTTTGGGTCTAAAATCACATATCATTCCCACCATTTTTCCTTCAAGGGCTCCCGAATCACAACCCCTCAATCAGCCTCAAATGCCTAACCTCAAACCCCTCCACCCAATCCACAATCCCTCTCCACTCTTTAAAGCTCTCCTTCTTACTAAAAGCCATGTGTTTCTCCACACTCTCCCACCCACAAAACATAACCCATTCCTCCTTATCCTCCGCCTCCTTTTCTATCCTCCACCCGCCCTCGATCTCATACTCTTTCGTTTCGTTCTCTAACGCATGTTTTACCTCGTCAAACTTCTCACTAAATCCTTCCCTGTTGTGGGATGATACGTAATGTCTATTACATGATATAATGGGCGCACTGAAGGGAGATTTTTTCTTTGCGTCTTCTTCTCCGATTCCTTCATCTATTCCTGTTCGGAGGGAACTGAGCGCATCGCCTTCCACTGTAGTATCATATAATTAGTAATTATAGCCAGCCTCAAAATGCAGAAATCTACTCCTCAGACCTAACCCCAACCCCAACCCTAACCCCCCAAAAATGAAGACACAAGAGTAGTAAAACAATAAAAGAACCCACACTCACAATGCCACATCCTAATCCCCCTCCCCTCCACCGTCTCTCCAATCCCCACCCCCAGCACCACCTCCCCCCTCAACAAATCAAAAAGTCCCAAATTTTCCACACTAGGCAGGAATCTCTCATGATGTCCCGGACTTTCCCACGTCCCGACAATATATATATACGAAGGATTTTCCACCTGTTGATAGAAATGACAAGGGTATCCCGACGCTCTCTCTAGCACATGTTTGCAAGTGCGGAGTTTGGGGATCAGGCGCGGAGAAAGCGGGGCTGTGAGGGGGAGAAGCGCAAATTCTGTGCACGGCATGACTCCGAGGGGTGGGCAGCGTGGAAGGTGGGAGGTTTGGAGTAGGTTGGCAAGATAGTTGAGGAATTGGAATAAATATAATGAGAGGGGCGATTCAACCGTGACGTTATGGGGATAGTGGATACCCGAGATTAGCGAGAGAGCTTGTGAGTTTATGAAGTGGATATTGATGAAGAATTTTGACAGCGGGTCGGATGAGGCGGAAATGTTATAGGAGTAAGTATAGGAGTATAAAATTGTATAAATCTCAAACTATATGTATGGAAACCGACACAAGAAAAGAAGCAAGAAATCCAAAAACCGGAAACAAAAATCCATCAAGAGGGGACGCCCCGGCTTCATAAACAATTCCCATCAAAAAGATGCTGTATCAACCCACCAATCACAATCAGCGATAATTAGACTGCATCTGATTTGTGTTACATATTCGCGCTCGCCTCGTTTAAAACCCTGTACAGCGACATATCCGGAAATTCCACAACTATCCGAACCGTCCGAACCAGGTTTTGTGAAGGATTAATGGTACGAATCCCAGTCAATTTTTGTACTCCACTTTCTTCCAGACTCGGGCTGCTTTCCGTCTTTGAGGATTCGCAATCTATGTGCTTATATGTGCTTGGTAAAACGTTTCGTTATTGCAACATTGAGCGGAGGAAAGACTTGGTCAGGATCAGGCTTTACCACCTTCACCCAGTCGGAGAATGTAATAAATAAATGGCAACACTTGGAAGAATGAAACCTCTCAAGAGATTGAAATGACCTGGGAGGATGACATGGTTTGAACATTGGATCACAACTATATATGTATATATATATATTATATTCTTGTTCTTAAACATCCTTTGCTTTCTGATTAGATTTATGTATCGTATCGTTCTATACACTTTGCTATAAACCCCGTCCAGCAATGACATTTTGACAGTAGCATTCAAGCTAATTATCAAACCAAAATTTTCAAATGCTCGCTCATCTTATCTTTCCCCAAACGCCCGAAAATGCACATGAAATGCATGTAAACCATATAACATTACCATCTTTCGTCATCATACATACAACATCCACTAATTCGTCAATATATTAATCCCCTACTCAATTTTCGTGATCCCGGTCGGAACTGCCGCCCTTGCAAAATCCTCTTTTCGGATGCCACTTCTATCACACATGGCCCTAAAGATACCTCCTTGCTCCCATAGCCTAACTGGCTCATCTAATTCTGCAATCGTGCCCTTATCCATCACGCAAATGCGATCATATCCGATAATGGTCTTAAGTCTATGAGCAATACACAAAAGCGTCTTGCCCCTAAACCCCTCTTGAATAGTTCTTTGAATCTTCTCGTCCGTTTCCATATCAACAGAACTTGTAGCTTCGTCACAAACAATGATTTGCGAACCACGGACAAGAGCACGCGCAAGTGCCATTAATTGTCTTTGACCTAGCGAATAATTCAGTCCTTCATCTTCGACTACAGAATCGAGATGTATACGCCCTGTGACTTCGTCTTCGAGATTTGAGTCTGAGGCCACAAGGTCGGACTGTCGTAATGCGGACCAAAGTTCCAAATCACTGTGTTGGCTGAAAGGATCTAGGTTACTTCTGATGGTTCCTTTGAATAACGTAGGATCTTGTGGAATAATAGCAAGACGAGATCGGAGGTCGTGAAGTCCAATCTTGCTAATATCTACACCATCAACAGTGATTGAACCACCGGAAATCTCAACAAGTCGGAAGAGAGTAGACATGATACTTGATTTTCCAGCACCCGTACGACCAACCACCCCAATTCGTTCACCACCTTTTACGTGCATTGATAGGCCGGACAATACTAACGGAAGGTTCTCTCTATACCGCATATCGACATTGTTGAAGACGATCTCACCACTCTCGGGCCATGTAGGGCGAACATCTATTGTATGCAATGGTGCCTCTTCCTCCAACGAAGTACCGTAGTAATGGATACGTTCCGTGGCATTCATGCCATTCTCGACTTCCGCTAATTGGCGAACGGTAAATTGAATCATCTGAACGATAGAAAGAATATAAGACAACACCAATCCTGCAGTAGATGGTCCAACGGAAAATCTAGAAGTGATGACTAGGATACCCGTTACAAAAACAAGCAAATTTCCGATAATGTCCAAACGAGTAGACAACCATCGCTGGTTCGAGAACGTAAGAAAATAGGCAGAGTCCATCTCGTCAATGGCCTTTCTCAAATCAGTAATGAATCGATCTTGTAGTCCATATGCTCGGATAGTAGCTGTTCCTGAAAGTCCTTCACTAAATTTGGCAAACACACTTGATCGAAAGACTGATTCGAATCGCTTCATTTCTCGTGCCGATGCACGATAATATCCCGCTGCAAATATGAAGAGAAGTGCAAGAGGCGCCAAAGCGATAGCAAAATAATGGAAGTAAGCAATGATCAAGGCAAAGACCGAGATAATCATAGCCATAGTTAGAAAGAACATGCGTATGGCATCAGTGAGATTGTTGTCCATAACGTCAACATCTCTTGAGAAACGATTAGTAATACGACCCAGAGGAGTGGTGTCAAAGAAGGACATGGGCGCTCGGAGTGCCTTTGTAATGGCTTTGCTGAGCATCACCTTACTTGCGATTGTTCCAAGAATAGTGAGGGATCTGAGTTGAAGTGGTTAGCGGAATTGATACTCTGTTTCACAAGGAAGAGAACTATATATAAGAAACTTACAAAGCAAAGAAGAACAGCAGCAGAGCCTGACTAGCACCAAGCGCAGCATACACTCCAATATACACAGCAGTGGAGTATCCGAATTTATCGCTTGTCCACCACGATAACCATAAGCTAGTGGCTATATTTGCACCTTGCGAGAGGAGGAGGAGCAATAAAATAATCGGTGCGTTCAAAAGACTACCAGAAGCCCGGATATAATCGGCGTATACTGTCCATGAAACACTCTTGACGGATCTCTCCTCGGCTTGCATCAAAGCAGGCGCTTTATGCTTCTTTTTCTCGGTCTTCTTCTCCACTACGATACCTTCTTCCTCAGCCTCTGGCTCCTGTGATTCTTCAACTGCAGTTGTCTCCATAAGCTGTTGAAAACCAACATGGTTGTTCATGAGATTGCTAAACGTGTCAATCGCTTGAATTTTACCCTCTTCCATCCATATGATCCTATCGCAGCGATTCAGTACCCATAATTGATGAGTAGCTAAAATTCTAGCTTTGTCCTTCAATAAGCCCATAATTGCATTGTCAAAAATATGACGACCAACGTGTGCATCGACAGCGCTCAACGGGTCATCCATCAAAATCAAGTCAGCATTAAAATAGATGGCTCGTGCAATATTCATTCGTTGTTTCTGACCTCCTGATACAGTGATACCTCTCTCGCCGATTTCGGTCTGATCACCGTTCGGGAGCATGTCCAGATCGGGTCTCAAGGCACAAGAATCGATGACTTTGTTGTACCACAATTTGTTCATATCCTTTCCGAATAGTATGTTGTCTCTGACGGTCGCATTCTGTATCCATGCATATTGCGGGCAAAAGGCTCGATCAGCTCCCATAGTCATTTCTCCTCTTGTTTTTCGCATGTCACCTGCGAGAGCAGCAAGCAGAGAGCTTTTACCGCTTCCAACTCCACCTATTACAGCCACAAGCTCATTCCTGCCAATTGTGAAATTCATATTCTGTAAGCTGAATGGTTCTTCATCTCCATTGACAGTGCTTGCATCATCGAGAGGAGTGCCGTCGTTGCTTGGAATATCCTTGTTGATTGGAGAGGAACAAGATTTATCAGCGGCTTTTTCATCCTTGGATGCTTGTTTCTTGGCATCTTTTTCAGATTTAACCTCAGCTTTCGTCTGCTTCTTTCCAGGAGGCCCTGACTTTTCCGAATCTTGAGTAGCTGTTCGTTCCCAAGTAAAGTCGGCGCCTTTTAAGACTATTGCTCCTTCTAGTTCGTTATCTGGCTTAGCATCATCTTCTTGCTCTTCACTGAGTAAGAATTCTTGGATACGATAGATTGATGACCAAGCATCGATAACCTGGCCGATAACCATAGGTAGAAGATTCAACGGCAACCGCAATGAATTGAATAGAGCAAGCGACGAGAATACACGTGCTGGGCTCAACCCGTGATCCGTCAAACTGTAGGTGATAAAAGCTATCATCGACGCAAAAATGGGCATAGTCATGGAGACAGCGTTTATGGCATTTCTGATCGCCAGTAAGACCTGGATGGAACGAATCTCCTTATTTCTGATTGCAGCAAGTCTGTCAAGGAATGCTGTCTCCCAGCCAAAGTACTTTACAAATCGCACTGCCTGGAGAATTTCTTGTGTGAGACTTACTCTTTGATCAGTAATTTTGTTGATGGCCTTTCTTCTCGCAAACAGTCTCTTAACAGCCTTAGTTAATAAGGGAAGTCCAACGACTAGCAGTCCGAACCCTGCAAGGGCGCTGTAGGTCAAATTGATGAGGAGTAGTATGAGAGTTATAATGCAAGATATGGGTGCTGTCCAGATTAAGTGAAACATGCCGCTGGCTTGATCTACACGATACGTATCTGTACTCATAAGATTGACAATTTTACTAAAATTTCAAACATGTAAGTATAAAGGTAAAGGGTAAAGGGAACACGAAGTGAATGTATTCGTGTTATCCTCGATAGGTCGAGTAAAGATTCAAACTTACCCATTTGCCCATCCAGTGCCATCACCTGCTACACCACGTCCAGCATCTGGTACTCCACCTTTGGGACCGGCTGGTTTAGAATTTTTCTTGCCTTTCTTGCCTTTAGCTTGTTCAACTAGATCTTGAGCTTTTTGGGCATCCTTCTCGTCTTCTTGGCTTTTGATTGAACGACCGCCAGCCTTAGCTCGTCCGGAGATCTTCATTGCTTTTTCGAAAATGGCTGAAATAAGGACGGCTCTCGATTGCCCTCCAACCATCATTCCGCGGTATATAAAATGATTGGTGCCTAGGGATTGTAACATCTGCATTATAGTGATAC